TATGCGGCTGTCACCACGGACCCGCACAGTAATAACGCCACTGCATGCGCGTCTATGGTAGGGGTCGGAAACCTGCGGCTCCGGAGCTACACGCGGCTCTTCAAGGGCTGTTTCGTGACGGTTTATTTATTAAGGACCACAGTCTCGAATTCTACATGCATTGTGGCTCTTGAAAAATTGAGTTTGTGTTACCGAATTCAAAAAAAGTGCCTCTTCTTGGTATTTTGGTTGCCGACCCATGGTCTGTGGGTTTCTGTGCGAGTCTCTGGGTCTCTGTGTAAGTCTGTGAATCTCCACATGAGTCTCAATCTCAACCCATGGACTGGCAGCATCGCTGGCAGCATAATTTCAGATGTTCACCGCGAGGTTGCTCCGGAAGCCGTCCACTGGTTCACTCACCAACCTCCCTCCACATGAACACAGACACACTGCTGATGAACTCAACTTCCGAAATAATAAATGTCGATGTCCGTCTATGCGTCTCTCTCTCTCTCATGTCTCTCTATATGTCCTCTCTGAACTATCGCACTCTATCTCTCTATCCACTTTATTTGTTTTGTCTGCTCTGTCACCACTCTGTGCATCCCATGCTCTCTATAATCTAATCTCTCTCCGTCCCGTCCTCTCGCTTCACTCCCCAGTTCTCCTCTGTCTGTAACACAGCAGGTTGGCACAGTGCAGGTGATTGCAGGCGCTGGGTGCATCTGCCAGTCATCTCAGGCAGTCAACCCATAGCGCTTGGATCTGTCCTGTGACTTGCTAGCAGTGAGCTTTCCAAAGTGCACCGAGCCTGGCATAAGCGCCCTGGTAACATCAACGCGCTTAGCGGTGGATGACGGCTGTGGATGATGATGCTATGGCTGTTAATGTAGTGTTTACTCTTCTCTTTCCCCCATTCCCCTCCCCCCCAATCTCCCCCAAGCATCTCGCCAGTGCCCCCCTACGGAGTCCTGTGGAGTTCATGGCGGGGTCAGCGCGCTCCCTAACGGAGCGCAGGTTTAGACCGGGCCAGAGATGGTGCTGTGGATGATAATATAATTATTTATGCCTATTTATTGGGTGGCAGCGTGGCACAGAGGGAGCGCTTGTGCCTCACAACAAGATGTGTCTGGGTTCAATTCCTGACTAGGGCGCCTATCTGTGTTGAGTGGGTACGTTCTCGGCCCGTCCTGCACGGATTTCGTCCGGGTTCTCCGGTTTCCTGCCATAGCTGAAAAAAAAACCTCCCAACAAATTCATTGTTGAGAGTTTGGCTTCTAATGGGAGGTAAGCAGAGGGCCCGGACAAAAAAAAAACGTTACCACGCTGCATACGAGGGGATACCAGTTTAACACGTAGGTTTTCGCGACCAATACCACTTCAAGCTCCGCTCATATATATAATATTAGTCCATTAGTCCTCCTGGCCACCTCTCAGCCTCACGCAGGGGTCGGCAACCTGCGGCTCCAGAGCCGCATGTGGCTATCTAAGGACTGCTTCGTGACAGTTATTTATTAAGGACCACCGTCTCGTATACATCGCGGCTCTTGAAATATTGAGTGCTTTTTTACCGAATTAAAAAAGGCTCTTCTTTTTATTTTGGTTGCCAACCCCTGGCCTAACCCTATATACCGTAAAACGCCTGGGATTATCAATTTCGGGTAGTCCTCGGCTTACGAGCCTAATTCGTTCCTGAGACCCGTTCGTAAGTCGAACGATTCGTAAGTCAGAACATAATAATGGACTATTTAAATGGGCCTACGGTCAGTGTTATGAAATGTGTTATGGTTTAACAAAAGGCGAATCATTGTTGAACTCATAATTAAGAAGAAATATTGTACATTTGCATGTAATACTGTAAAAAAATACTGTATAGTAAATACAAAAGTTACATGAATACAAAAAACTGTTTTATTTTCACTTACCTTGAGTCCTGATGCTGGCTTGCTTGTCGGAAGGGGGACATTGAGTCACCACAATTGTACACACACACGGGAGCACGCACGCACACACAAAAGACAACGATCCCCGTATAGCCTTAACAGACTGTAGTGGCAAGTGCTGTTAGCGAGCACCTATGAATGCCAGAACGGTACACAAGGGGGTGGGTGGCCAGCACCACGCCCAACCGCCTTTGTCTCCCCAGTGGCAATGATTACACACCACAGCAGGTGCTCATTTGAGTCTGAGTCGACCTAGGGGAGGCCCAGGACCCGTTCAGATAATCGTCACTGGTGTTGACCGTGAGCGGGAATCGAACCTGGGTCGCTGAGTTCATAAAGCAGCGCGCTAACCGCTACACCAACGCGCCCCCCTCACACACACACACACAAAGGCACACACACACCAACACACAAACACACACACACCCCAACAGCAACGACCCCCCCCCCCCCGTATGGCCTTAACAAGTTGTTGGGGCAAGTGTTGTTAGCGAGCAGCGCCAATGAAGGCCGGCACGGCACACAAGAGGGTGAGTGGCCAGCGCTACCCTCGGCTGCCTTTGTCTCACCAGTGGCGATGTTTACACAGCGCACCAGGTACTCGTTTGAGGCCGATTTCGTAGCGCAGCACGTTAACCGTTACACTACCGCTCCCCACACACTCTCACTTTTACCGCACACACACACACGTGTGCGAGCGCACACACACACACAAACGCTCACTCCCGGCGTGAAGCCGACTCATTAACATCTCGCGGGGGATCGCTCCTCTGAACAAAATAGTTTGACGGGTCAGATTGCAAGCACGAGTTTTAAGTCAATGTTTTCTAAAAATTTTTTTTATATTTCATAGAAGCTGGTTCGTAAATCGAGGACTGTATGTATCATTAATATATTCTGGCGTTAGGTTTCCCCTTGTAACAGAGGTGACAGGTCTTTCAAGGACCGTTTTTACAGTCACGTCACCACCAGCGCTCCTCTTCCCCTTAGTTACTGACCCGACTTTCTGGGTGTCACTCAAATGCCCATCTCGGTAACATGCCCCGCTCCACCCTGCACACGTATCCCACCAACCTCCTCCTGGTTACAGCTACAATGATCTCCTGGCCACGTTCGATTCTCAACCTAAAAGTCTCCTATAAACTATATAGCTATTTATTTTATGTTACCTCGTAAGGCCCACTGAGCTGTATAGCTCTTTTTCAGAAGCGACGTGGCCACAAATGATGGCTCAACGAAGTCGCTTATTACGTGGAAATGGATAGCAGCCAAATACTCTAAACGCACGTTGATTATACATGTGTAGGGAAAAATCGGAGGACCCGGAGAAAAATCCATGCGACCACGGGGAGAGAAACACGCAAACTCCAAATACACAGCTGGCTTCAGGGTCGGGATTGAACCGACGATCTCCTGTATACCAGGCGAGGTAATATACATCTCGCCACCGTGGCACTCCTATCCGAGAGACCAAGCAGGCCCAACTCTTGCTTAGTTTCTGAGATCTGATGCTGAACAAGCGTATTCAGGGTGATTCGATCACACGTGATTCACTCTACCTCTCTGGCTACTTTATGTGCTGTGAAGGGCCATTTCCCGAAACGTCGCCTAATCTATACTTTTTATACTATTACCTGGACGGGCCGGGAGGTCCCTGTGAGCGCTCGGCTCGCAACCCTCACTCAGAATTTGGAGGGCGAAAAGCCCCGAGCGGGCCCCCCCGTGAAGGTGTGGGGGACCGGGCAATTACGCGAGGAAGTCAATTAAGAGTAACTCGCCTTTTGCTCGTCCAAGGACGGGTGTATTTCAGTAAATCTGAAACTTACAAGCGAAAAGCAGACCACGACGTGATATTCATTGCATCAATTCGTGTGCAATTTGTAAGGCCGCGGTGACACGGACTTATTTAATTTGAAGGTTATAATCCCTTGTTCATCATTACGTCCTTTTGACTTCGATGTTTCAATAGCGTTACGGAGATCACGTGACGTGAGGGTTGTAAGTTGACGCTGAGGAGGGGGGAGGAGGCGCCTCGCCCTCCCATGTGGAATGACGTCCCCCGCTAATTAATATTAATGTCGGGAGGTATCCATTTGGAAGACGTCACCTCTTTATGATTATTAATATTCATATTCTTTGGGTCTTTCGGTAAAGTCACATAGATAGGTTCAAAGAATATAACAAAAAAACTACGACGTTTCGATCGCAACACAAGCGTTCGTCATCAGGAAGAGGGGGTTAGCTTATAAAGGTAAACTTTTTATGAAAGTTTGAAATGGACAAATGTCAGCAGCCAATGTTAATGTAAGTGGTGGGCAGCAACCGCGACGGTGCTGGGTTTTCCCACCAATCAAAGGGCTGCCCAGTAAAAATTATTATTAATGTGGGGGGCTGTTCGATGTGGAGTGACGTCACCTGCTCATGATTATTAATTAGGGGGGGGTCCATGTGGAGGACGTCACCTGTTCATGAGTATTAATGAGGGGAGCTGGCCGACGTTGAGTGACGCCACGCGCGGGACACACAGACATTCTTGGCTCATTATAGTAGTAAATTAACAGGCGCATGACCACGTGGCTGTGGGAGATAGGGTGGGGGGAGGGATTACAAGACTGGGGGCCCAAGGGGTTGAAGGGCGGGGTTGACTCAGGGTTTGGGGGGGAGCTGAGGGGCGGGGCTATGTGGGGGACCCTCACCCCTCCCCCCGTCCTTGGGTGAAGAGAGTTCGTAAGGAGTGGGGCCACTCTCCCACACAACCTAAAGGGTGGGACCAACTCTATGTTTTTGAAGGCCCATTGGCCGAAACGTCGTCTATTATCTATTTATTTTTAAGGCCATACAACGGTGTTATTTTGTTATTGACGGGCGTGTGGAGTTATTTGGTTTAATTTTCACTTAAAGGGATGGGCTCATCCCCCCCCCCCCCTTGCAAGGTACGGGGCCACTTCATTGCCATACCTGCAGTGGGCGGGGTCACCTTTCACCTAAGGGGAGGGGCTAACCTTAAGGGGCGGGGACACGCTGAATTTCAAGGGGCGGGGCAATTCTTCTGTCCACCCGCCCCCCCGTAAACAAACCCCTCATCCCTCCACTGCGCGTGCCCAGGAACCGGGTGCCGCGCATGCGCACCGCGCGTATCGGGGGGATATTTGACGGCTGTGGCCGCCGTGGCCGCATCCCGTGTTTGCGAGCTCCTCTCCCCCTCTCACCTCGTTTCTTCACCTCGTCTCCCCTCACCGCGTCGTGACTCCTCGCACCTCCTCACCACCCCCGATGCCCCCGCGCCGGTGAAGAAGAAGAAGCCATGGCCGGTGCCGAGGACGGGCCCGAGTTGGGCCTCAATGCGGCCTTGTTGGCCGAGCCGGCGGGCGGCGCCGCGAGGCCGGCAGGGCCAGCTAGGCGAGGACGGGGGGCCCGAGGAGGCGGAGGCGCCGACAACAACAACCACGAAAACAACAACAACCCAATAGACAACAACTACAACAACAACAGTCGAGGTGACGGCAACAACGAAGACAACGACGGCAATAATGAGCAAGACGACGTCGGCTACGTTGAAGGACACAGCGAGGAGGTGGTGGTTGAGATGATTGAGGAGGTGGTGGTTGAGGAGGAGGCCGCGACCACGCACAGCAGCAAGGAGACGCAGACGGAGACCCCCGAGGCGGCGGGGGTCGCGGACCCCCAGGGCTCGTCCAGGCCCGCGCTCCCCGCCAAGAGGGTCTCTTTCCCGGAGGACGCAGGCATCGTGTCGGGCGCTGTGGAACCCAGGGACCCGTGGAGGCACGGTGGGTGAGGGTGGCTGAGGTGGTGGTTGGAGGTTGAGCGTGGTTGCGAGAATGGTGGTGATAATGCCCGAGTCCCATGGGGGAGAGTGGGTGAGATGGGCGAGTTTTGTGTCGGGGTGGGATAGTGTCATGAGTACTGGTGTGGTGGGTGTTCTGGCTGAGGTTGCATGAGTGCCATGGGTCGTGTAAAATGGTTGGTAAATAGTGAGAGTAGGAGAGGTGGATGAGTGTGTGAGGTGGGTGAGGATGGTGATGAGGGTGAGTGAATACCATGGATGAGCACCATGGGTTCATGCGTGAGTTTGGATGAGAGCCCAGGGTGATTGAGGTGGTGGTGAGGGTAGGTGAGTGCAAAGGGTCATTGTCATGAGTGATGGTCGTGAGGTGAGCGAGAATGAGGTGGGTGGGTGAGGGTGGTTAAGATAGGTGAGAGTAAGTAAAGTATAGTGGAGATGGGTGAAGTGTGGTCAAGGTGGTAATGGCGAGTGAGTGCCATGACTGAAGTGGATGAGGGGAAGGTGGTGAGGGGTAGGTGAATGTGAGATCAGGGATTAATATTGACTTGACCAGAGTAGGAAGCAATATTGTTACAGTCGTGGAAGCTGGGTAATAATATTTAGAGGGCAATAATCGGGCTAGGGTCAGGGTTATGGTGTGGGTTGGGGCTAGGGTCAAGGTCAGGGCTAGGGTTTGGGTCTGAGCTAGGGTTTGGGTCCGAGCTAGGGTTTGGATCAGGGATATGGAAAGTGTCACCCACTTGGTGTGTTATTGTTACCGTCAAGGTCACGGTTGGTGTTAGAAATTTGTTGTCGCCAAATTAGGGATTGTCGCACTGTCAGGATCAGGGTTAGAGCTGGGGCCGCTGTTGACCTTACTGCAACCTCACCACATGGTACCTGGACAAGGAAATGAGACGGTGCTGTAACTTAACTTGCCACTGTGATGCGGGCGTCTCTGTGTGCGATTGCACAAAACAGTTTACATGATTGCCCTTAACTCTCTTTGGTTCAGATGGAACACTGAGTAAAAAAACACTTAAGGAGTTTTATGCACTGGGCTCCTGGAGAAGGGACCACCACCCAAAACGTCTGTTTCATCACAACCTAACTTCCATTGTACCCACTTTTTACAGCCATCAACTTCGAAATTTTATTTCTTTTAGAGTACATGTACTTTAGTTTACCCTGAAGACACGCTCCATCAATATTTAACATAATTTATTGCTTGAGTTAATCGATTAATTGACTGGTCATGCTCGGGGGTTAGGGGACAGAGCAGCTGGTCTGATGCTGTAGCCCTGCCATCCCATGCCTGTTGTGAACTTAAAAAACGAGTTTCAACATTAGGACAAAAAAAACTGCCTACGTGAGCTGAATTGCATGTGGGCTCTGTATAAACATTGCTTGTTTTGACGTCATCTTTCATATCGATACAGATTGTTATTATTACGCTCACTTCAAGCGAACAGTGGTCATCAAACGGAGAGACTGGACACGGCTACAGAAATGGGGAATTTCCACCACTGCCTCCGCAGCAGAGATGAGCACCACCCCCCCCCCCCCCACGCTAGGCAGAGCACAGCTCCATATCGACCTTTCATATTTACAACCAACTGATTTTTATTTTCCAAATTCGTTTTGCATGAGAGACCCTGGTGAGCGTGCCACGTGAGATAAGACAATTAGATACGTAATGTAACAGTAGCAATGTAGTGCTTATTATTGCGGAGCCTCTGTGTCGTTGGCTGCGGATCGGGGAAGTTAATTTTCTGAGGCCACGGTTGCCGGCCCCTCTTCCCCCCTCCTTGGTGTTATATTTTTAGCTTTGGACGCTACTGTCGAGGTCATCATCACGGCCTACAAGGAGTCCTGCCTGAAGCTCAACGTGCGACCCATCCCCAAGCTTATCAAGCAGCTGCAGGTACGGCTGGCGATCGCCGCTTGACATCAAACTCATGGATTAGGGTTAGATGTTAGGCAGGAGCCGGTCCGGTGGGAATTGTGGAGGTTGTGAGATGATACAGTAATCCGTTAATTTATAATGGTTAATTTACAAGGGGTTAGCTTGCTGCACTATTAACTCATTGCGTAAAATTTATGGCAATGACAAACATCAGTGGCGAGTGATGTTTGGACCAGTCCCAGGCTCCCCCATCCCTTCACGAACTCATATTTACCAGTGTGGTGAAGTATGGTCACACAACCACCGTCACTGAAATGGTATGGAGAGGGCTTCATCCAGCAGTTTATTGGCAGGAGAAGAGTAGCCTGATAGGATGGGTTTGGTATTTATTAAAGTTGCTGATGTTGCAGCTGTTGGCATAATGGCCACTGTGACCCAACATGGGACATCGTGTACTAAATTTACATTTCTTGTGCGTCGATATGGCCTGCTAAAAACTAGCAGTTGTAAAGAATGTTATCATATCAATGTTGAGGTTTATTTTGGTTATAATTAGTGGTTTCTCTCTTCGTGGCTAACGGCAAAACGCATATTAATTTTTGTGGTGTTTTTCCAATAAAATAGGGAAAACGAATGACCGCTGAAACGTTTTAAAGATTTGGAGTTTTGGTTTGTGGGGGGCAGCAGCACTGAAACAGAAGAGTCCCTTTTCACTCTCCCGTGGTAAGAACTGCAGGCTTTTAGAGGTGCCCGTCATGGAACAGAGAGAGCCCCCCCTCCCCATGCTACAAATGAATCTCTCGGTTTAATCTGGTGTGTTTTGACTCGCTTGGCGAGCGGCTCAAGCTACCCAGTCGCGTGTTGCTGCCGTTGTTTTGTGACCGGCCCAAATGAGATTTGGCAGGAAACATCCAGCGAGTAACAGCGACCTGCGAGTTGTCACGCGAGGTCGGCATTTCTCGTCCGATTCCGCGCATGCTACCGCTAGTGCCCTGCCCCCCCCCACCCACACACCACACACCACACCCCCCCCATCACCAAAGGAGTGCCGCGTGCCAGCTTGTGGCTTGTGACCGCAGAGGAATCCCCGTAACGGGCGGCTCGCGCCCATCTTCATCTTCCTCGCGTCCCCATGAGCGCAGGGTGGCGACGTGTTGTTTGTTTACGACGAGTGGCAGTTGCGGAGAGTGAAAGAGCGGGTTGGTTTGTGTCTAAAGTCTGTGCTTGTGTGTTATTGTTACCTGTTTTACTACTCCCGTTGCTTTTTGAGATTGTGACGTGCGGAGCTCTCCAATTTGAAATCGGGTATGCTGCGCTTTGTCCGGCGCAATGTCTGATGTTTTGCTCTCTGCATGCGCTGGGAGCTTCTTCAAGAACTGAAATTGGGTTATTCTGCGTGGGGTCCCACATGACGTCCGACTTATTGTTTCTCCACAAAGTGAATAATGAGAAACTCCCAACAAGTCGGACATCGTGCCTAACACCCAGTGGTGCCATCTTAAATATCGCGTGGTTGCAAGTTGTTAACGGAGAGGCTTGCCATCACAACATGACCGTGGCAAATGCCCTCCTTCGGTTATTTCCCCCCCCCCCCCAACGACTGTAAAAGCAAACAAGATCTGAAAACAGTCCAAGTGTGTAGGTCGGCAGCTGGAAGAGGTGGGAGGGATGGTGGGGAGCTGTTCCTGTTTTTGAAACGTAACGGCGACCGATATAAAAACTGGGCCGCTCCAAGCGGCCTCCTCGTCATGAACGTAAACGCGCGGATAAATAACAATAACTTCAGCTTTTGCGTGGGAGCGTGGCGCAGCAACGCGTGATCGTAGACGCGCGCTGTCACATGCCTTCGGTTCGCAGCCACCCCTGCTTTTAGCCAGACCCGATAGAGATCTGCGGAAGTACTCGTCGACAATGAGATGTGTAACGATTTGCTCACGCCCCACATTTGTATTAATTTCCATGATTTTGGGTCACAATACAATTCAAAATTATATTGTTCTCTTGTTTGTACAGTCTCTTGTTTATCGACTAATTTGTACTGTCTGTAGAGTCTGCTGTTTCTGGTTTCTGTGCAGTCTGCTTTGTTTATGCTCTTGTACACGATATCTGTATTGTACACCTTGTCCATATTGTCTGTCTCTTTTGTGTGTGTACTGTCTTGCTCGTTTGTTCTGCCCGTCTCATCTGTACTGTCTTATTCGTCTGCAGTGTCTCGGTATGGTCTTGTCTCAATGAAGATGTCTTCCTCCATTTGTGTATTTTGTCTCATCTTTATTGTTCGTCTCGTCTGTATGAACTTCTTTCGCACCGTACGTAGCCAACCGTGTTCATTTGAGGTTCCAGGGAAGCACAACAAACGGTACCATCTATTAATCCATCTGGACTGACTCGATTGTTTTGCTTTTCTTTCGTTTTGACCATTTAAACATAGGGAACAAAAACGGCGTACATATTCCTCACCAAACATAATTGATGCAATATCCACACTAAATGAAATACTTACGTCGTCGGTATAAGAATCGACTTTGATTGTTAAATCATTACATGCCTGGCTGGGAATAATGTGTACGTTTTTGTAAAAGCGGACATGCTAAATGAATCTCTACTGCCGATGATGCAGCGTTGAGTGGTACACTTTTAATTTGAGAGACAGTGTTTCGAACAAGACTTCATCTCTCCCTGGGTTTCAGCACCACAAGTTAGCCCAATGACTCCGCACTGCCCGTGTGTGTGTATACGTGAGCGCCAATGCCTGGGCTGTTATTTCAATAACCGTTCCTTTTTTGGTGTACAAGTCAGCCCGAACCTTCACGGGTGCCCCAGGTAACCTAAGCCAGAACCTCCACTCTGCCCACTGCTACCTGTAAATTTAACCAAGAGATTTTGTTTGTGTTTTTAATATTGTCCCAATGTTATCCCGATTGTGCTATATCGGTGTCATGTCAGGAGATCAAAAATCCATTTAGATCTCTAGCAGAGCAGTGCATCTTTTCGTGTTGGACGAAGGTCTACGGAGGCAAATGTCACAGAACTACCTCCGAGTTCCCTTAAAGTGACCTCTAGTCCACACAGTCAAGGGAGCACTATTCCGTTGCATTTGAGAGTAACGTTCATCGCATGAGAGTGAAACTGATATTTAATGCTCCATGCTGGAAATTAACCAACTGAAGTAATGAAGGGAATTTAATGTATTATTCTGTGCAGCCATTGGTGACCTGGCTGAGACGATCAACTCACTACGCTTGATAAGCCAGTTTAATCACAGACTAGTGCCTGGATTTGAACCCAGGATCTCGGTGGCGCCGGTTCAGCATTCTGTCCTCTGAGCCACTCGGCCACCTTGCACACTGGGCGCTCTTGCCACTCCGATATATTTTGCCAACACCTCCCAGGGCGGTGAACTCTCCACTGGGGCTTCGGCACCTCCCAGCATTAATTTCCCTATTGAAACAAGTGATGCGAATATTCGTCAACAAAGTGTTTATTTTATTTCATTCGGTGATGACTGTGGCTGGATGAAAATCCCAAAACGTGACCATGACGATGACCACCATAAGTTTGCTTGCCAAATTAGTGACGAAAATATTCTTCAATGAAGAGTTTTTTTTATTCGTCAACGATGACTGAATGGACGAAAATATATAATCAAACGTGATTGTGGCGAAGAACAATCGCCAAAGCGAAGACAACTATGTGGAAACGAAATTAACAAGTCTGAAGATGCAGACTAAGGTAATTTGTTAACGTCAGCAGAGACTGCAGTCTACTGAGGAATACCAAACATGGTAATTGGTTATAAAAGTACACAAAAAATATTTACTGAGCTCCGATTGGCTGAGCTCATGATATTGAGGCTGAGAGAAACTGCACGCTCCTCACACCAGCCTTTAGGAACTAAGCGTCTGACTCAATGTTGTGAATTCTTTAGTCGAATAGACTAAGAGAATGACCACATGATATCAGCACTCTCAGACTTGACTCAATCTCCACAGGTTGTCATCGACGAGACCGAGGCTACGACTGAAATGATAAATCCCAACTAAATTGGCACTGTTTGTCTCCCCCTCATTGGTTGTGTGTCCCATAATGCACGGCGCTACCTTGCCCTGCTAAATGACGGCGGCTGATTGGTCTATGGTGGAAGCGGCATGATTTGCGTCCGTTTATGGAAAGCGAACTGATGTGACCTCGTGACGACCGCCTTATTAATTGAGTCGCTTTTTAGGGAAGCGTCGGGTTGATTGAAAACAAAACCGTTGCCTGTTTCGTGTACCCGGTTACGAGTGCGTCGGTGCGATTATTCCCTCGCCGGCGTCCTATGTCATTAGACTGTTTATTTTAATAAACAGGCGCTCGTCTTTTTAAAGCACAGAGCGACCGCTGTGGCTACCCAGCAGGGGGGCGGTCTCGCGTCCCGCTGTAGTTTTTGGCGGCTGTCGTGTAAAGTGACTGCATCGCAGTGTGTATTTAAGTACAGTGCAAATATTTGTCAGCGAAATGATTATTGCGCCTTTTTTCTTTCCATAACTTTTTGTACTTAACCACGTTGACGCTGATAAGAAACGGAGCGCTTTTATAAAACGATGTTTTATTTGCAATGGTACGCAGCTCCTGCTGCCACTGCCACCGTGGTGTAACGATCAACGGTGTAAATGAGTACACCGGACGTAGTTGATTGGCAGCTAGTGTCTGGTGTGACAAAATGTGGGTCCTCCAACCTCTTCCGAGACGTCTGGCCAAAATATCCCCTTGAGGGGCTGTCTAGAGCTCCCTGTAGTGGAGACCGTTCTGCCAGAAGTGGCAGGAGCAAGCGATTATGAAGCTGCACCTGTACTTATCATTTGCGTTGTGACACTTGTCACTGACAGATTTTAAGAGGCCCCCAAAACCCAGGTCCTGTATTTGTGGTTGTCGGGAAGGTGATTTCGGATGAACATCAAGTGGCACAGTAAATTGGACACGTGCTCACGTGTGGCGAGAGAGGCGCCACTAGCTGGGTCACATCGGGATTTAGCTCATCTTACATTTGAAGGAGGGCGTCAATCCCATGGATAGAGGAGAAGAGCCAATGGGATCGTGACTCTCTTGCCCGGGCCATGGACAGGCACGTGGACGACGAGTCTTCGCAGTATTTAAAATTCTCCAACCGGAACCTGGGCAGGTGATAATGATCCGTGCTGGCACACAGCAACAAAGGGATCGCGTTCTCCTGCCGCGCCGCTGCTTGCTTTGCCGCCGCTGGGGTGCGGCGTTTAATCCGGCCGGCAGATGCTCGCGCGCCACGCCGCCGCCGCCGCCGCCCCCGTGTCGCTCGCACGCTCGCTCGGCCGGCTCTGGCGAGCGACCGCTTGCACTGTAAATGGCGCCGTGCCAACGTCGGCGCGGTGCCACAACCGTGCCAGGCAGAGGCCCACAGACGGATACTGGGAGGAGGCGATGGAATGACAGACGGATAGAAACAACGACTGACAGATAGAAGGACAGAAGGAGGGAAGGTGGGATGGACGGATTGACGGATGGACATGGAGGTGATGGATGGAGGATCCGAGGGTTGGACGGACGAGTGGATGTTTCGGAAAGTGTCTGCTCATGGCCATGTATGTGTACATATTTACAATATAACTCGTGGATTACACCTTCGGTAGTGCTCTTTGTTGCTGGCCCTTTTGGCGTTTTGGACCTATGCTCAGCAACTGATAGAAAAAAGAGGTGTAGACCAATGGCAAAGTGCTTAGCACGCTGCTCAATGAACCTGGCTACATAAGTTAAATTTCCAGCCATGGCTCACATAAGTTGTGAATATCAGAACCTGTCCTGGTCTTCCCCTAGGTCAATTGAGCCTTTAAACAGGTACATGGTGCGGTGTGTATATGTCAGTATTGGGGAGACACAAGGCGGCCATTCACCTCCTTGTGCCCCCTGCCGACCTTCATAGATGTTCACTAACTGCGCTTGCCCCAACAGTTTGTTGCGTATTCATGGGGGGTTGGGGTCTTTGTCTTTTTCTTTTTGTGTTACAGGATATCACTGAGCTCAGCGGAAGAGTGGAATGCCTCGATCTCAGGGGTAAAGTTCAACGCCAACTCTCTTAATTTCTTTATGAGTTAACAAAAAATGAACTTTCATCTTTTAAACTTGGTAATTTTTAAAATAGAATCCTCGACATCTTTTTGTTCTTCTTTTGCCCCCCCCCCCCCTTACCGCAAGAGCCTTGCGGCATTCCCAGTGCCTCGGTGCGAGGGATTAGCCGTGAGTTCACCCCAATTAATCAGACGAGTCGGCCCAGGTTTTTTAGAGTGCGCACGTCTCACAGTGCCGTTCACAGCTAAGTGAATTATTGATAGCTTTCCAAGCAGCCCAGCCAAGTGCGCTGACCTCACCTGATGAGGGCTGCTCGCAAATCCTGGACCGGCTCGTTTGGCAAAACTGGGCTGGAATTTTCTGAGGAAATCCCTCTCTGGCTTCTCCGGTAATTTAATCTTCGGCTCTTTTGAGGTGTTGTGTTGTCCGCTGCCTTTTGTTATTGTTGTTGTGTTCTTACAACTCACGTAAATACAAAACAGAGACATACAAATTATTACCCTGGCATAGGTGCATACATGCTCAACACACATGTACACACGCAGAGGTTTAGACTCACATAAACATATACACACAGACAGATTTGCAAGTAGGTATGCATATATGCACACAGAGTTACATGCATACAGACTCATAGATAATAATAAGCAGAAACATGAATAAGTTAACGTAATTTCCTGCTCAAATGAGCATTCAGGTTATGCTCATGTCCTGTTTAAAGCCTAGAATAAGTGGTGGAAATTCCACATTCTTTTGGCGGACTGGGAGTGCGTTATAATCTAGAGGACAACCACTTTTGATGTCCCCACTACGTTGTATTCATTTTGTCAACCCCAGAGGAAGGGATGATGAGCTGAGTCAACCCCCAACCAGGATGTGAACTTGCAACCTTGGGATTGCCAGTCGCTTGCTCCACCACTCGGCCAACTGACAGGGAACTGGTAGGAAGGTCAATTGTCTTGTAGGTGCCCGTTGGCTGGTTTAAAGTTTAAAGTTGGCAGAATCGCCAACTTGCATCCGTAAAGTTTGTACAGTTTATAGGGCGGATGGTGCAACAGTCGAATTTAATTAGGATTAATGTGCGCAGCGTTCCAGTTGAAGTTTATTTCATGAGCCGCAGCAAATTACAAACTATTTGTGTTTTTGCAATAAGTGGCAAGGGGGTGTAACATTGGCGCAATCATTAGCGTACTACTCTTACGTACCCGGTGACCTCGGTTTGATTCCCAGCAATGGCTAACGTTGGTTGCCGAGCAATTTCCGAACTGATCCTGGCCATCCAACCTTCTCTTTACTCAACCCACACTAAACGAGCGAGATGAAGTATGATTGAACGTACAAGGGCTGTGCACGTATGTGTGACAGTGGCCAGGTGTGTATATGTGTGTGTAAAGTCACTGCTGCCAACGCACTCCTCGCATTTCATTTTTAATTGATTTAGTTATTTCTTTGTTCTCGAAATTCGTTTCCCTCTGTATGGTGTGCGGTGGCGCTAAATGCCAGAAGTGAAAAGAGAACAGAGTAAAGTGCCCAGATTATGGGGGCATAGCACACTCAGCAATCAGACCCTGGTGTGAGCCCTAACCCTCACAAAACTAGCCAATCGGTTTCTCAACCTAGCCCCTATTGCTGACCCTAACAAACCAGGCCATCAGCCACTAACAACGGTCATTGATCAGATCCAAGCCAAACCAGCCAACGAGATGCCAGCACTGGCCCTCTCCATGATGCTAACCTGACCCTCAACCTGACACATCGCCTGCTTCCCTCTGCACGTTCCCTTCTACTCTCAATGCTGGCCTCACAAACACATGTCCTTCCATCGCCGTCCTCCCATCTTTTCTCTCTCCTCTCCCCCACATCTCCTCTCAACTCTCCTCTCTCTTTTGATTTAAAGCTTTTGTGACTGCAGGGATTCATATTCTTGGTTCTTTCGGTAAAGTCACGTAGAAGGGAAACCCTATCCCCACTCCCCTCTTATTTTCTCTCAGCTCTTCTCTCTCCCCACTCGCACTTCTCCCCTTTCTCCTCTCTCAGCTATCTCCTTTTGTCTCTCCCCTCTCACTTCCCCATTGTCACCTTTTCCCACTCTCACCTCTCTCCCCCGTCCCTCCTTCCTGCAGCGGAGAAGCTGGACTACAAGACATGCGAGACATTGGAGGAGGTGTTCAAGCGGCTGCAGTTCAATGAGGTCAACGCTGAGTCCACAAGCCTGGATGAAGACGTGGGTGTCTTTGTATTTATTTATTTAGTTTCCAACCTGATGGAAGTTTCTTGGGTGGGATTCCTTGTTGCTCCCTCACTGACTCATTTACCCCCTTTTTTTTGTGTACCTAGCCAACCTTGGCCGGCAATACGCAAGATGCCGTCACCGGGTTTTTTTCTACTGCTGAAGCCGGGCTGTGCCGTTGACGCAATGTGCGACGAATCGGTCGAGAAGCGCTTAAGCGACGCGCTGACGCCGCTTTTGAGTTGTGCCGACTTGACGTAGCAAGTGATAAACGCGTTATTAACACCGCAACCTGGCCCTGCTTGGCCCCAAACCAGATTCGTACATCTTGCGATGCCAGGGTAGCACAGATTGTTTCTGGCTCGTCTTGACAAACAAGTTGATGGTATAGCACCCGTACCGTGAGGGGGCCCCCCACTCTGGGGCGGCTCAGATGTGCCAGTGGAGAAGGGGAAATCGATTCCACCGTGAAGCAGTTTTAGTCGATAAGTGATCCTAAGCACGCCTATCTCGTCCTGTCACTCTCGTCCTCTTTGTTCAGTCGCTTCCTCGTCAATCACTCCTTTGTTTCTTTCATACTACATGAGTTGCGAGTCCCATGCAGCCTCGGGGCGCTACTGGCGTTGTGTGTGGGTGTTTGCTACAGTCTGCTGACCCTGCCAATGGGAGCCCGAGAGGTTACACAGTGTTGTTCTATGGGCTTCTAGTTACCCGTGCTTCACTCTTAAACTATAAAAAACTAAACTTTTTATTTAACCAGGTAAGGCCCACTCCTTGCAGCAGTGCCTGCTTGGTGGCCAATAATTATACCTGATCAATACTCGGCATAGTTCATAAGTCAAGGCACAGATGTGTCATTATTGCGCTATTCCGATGCTGCTGTACTGGCGGATTCAAACCCGTTTGAGCGACGTCGCTGCTCGAGTGTCGCAATGGCGCACCCTGTGCCTCTGTCCTCACCGTCTCTGCGGCCCACACCCTGGGCCTCTGTCGTGCGCAGGGAGCCTCGGCGCTCTTCGACATGATCGAGTACTACGAGTCGGCCGTCCACCTCAACATCTCCTTCAACAAGCACATTGGTGTACGTGGGTGGCAGGCCGCGGCCAATCTCATGAAGAAGGTCAGACCCTCACCCACAAGACGCCACACATACTCACACAGCCACAGGGCACCAACACAAAGACAAAGATCCCCCATATAACCTTAACAGACTATTGGGGCAAGCGCTGTTAGCGAGCACCTATGAAGGCCGGCACGGCACACGAGGGGGTGAGTGGCCAGCATTACGCCTGGCTGCCTTTGTCTTCCCAGTGACGATGTTTACACACCGCACCAGGTACTCATTTGCGGCTGATTCGACCTAGGGGAGGCTCAGGACTGGTTCAGATAATTGTCACTGGTGTTGGCCATTAGCGGAAATCGAACTCGGGCCGCCGGGTTCCGATCTCAGCATGCTAACCGCTACACTACCGCTCCCCACAATACACACAGACACACGCACACATACACCGGATACAATCGTCATGGAAAACCAAACCAAAAAAAAATTACTTGTTGGCCTGAACCGTGACCCCCGAATCATGACTATTCATCAGTCACTGTGAGCGTGAGAGGAGCAAATGGTTACTTGCTTAATGTCTCCATCCCATGCCACGCGACCCCGCTCGTATCTCTCCCTCATCTTATCCTTCCACTCGGTCATCATGCCTCCTCTTACCCACTCCCTCTCAATCGCTACTCCATGTCGTTTCACCATCATCTGCCCCTCCCTTCCTTGCCCCCTCTCATCACCCCTCCCTCTGCTCCACCTGTGTGTTCATCCCCTCGCTGTCCCGCTGACTTTGCTTCCTTCTGCCTGACCTCACAAGACGGGCAGCCTGCAGATCCTGGACGCACGCAACTCGCCCGTCGCCGACCAGGCCCTGCCGTTTGTGGCGCGAGCGCTGCGCATGCACAGCAGCCTCGCGGTGCTGCACATGGAGAACGCCAGCATGTCCGGCCGCCCCCTCCTGCTTCTGGGTCAGTCGGGTTGGCCACGTGGCGCAGGGGGAGCCGAGTTTGGGTTGCGGAGGGGTTAAGGGTCGCTGTGCAGGGCTAATGTGGGCGGACGTGAAGCCTCAACCCTTGGTTGCGCCCGCTAATATTTCAGCGCAGCCCCTGCAGTTCGCTTGACACGATCTTTTCCACCCTCCCCCACGCCCCCCCCCCGTCTCCAATTTGCTGTCTCTTAAATAAAATTTTCCCATCGCCGCCGTTACCATTCCGACAACCACCGCCCCCACCTCACTCCCCCCTGCCCCCCCCACTTTTTCCCACCTCAACCACCCACCTTGCCCCACCTTTCTCCAGTGTCTGCGCTGAAGATGAACCTGGCGCTGCGGGAGCTGTACTTGGCCGACAACAAACTGAACAGTGGCCAGGACGCCCTGCAGCTCGGCAACCTGGTCAAGTTCAACAGCACCTTGCAGCTACTGGACCTGCGCAACAACAGCCTCATGGATTCGGGTGCGAGCGCGAGCCCACGGCATTGTTCACTAGCTTCCCGGTAGTGCTTGGTAGCACCTCGGTGGTGTTTCGTGGTGTCCGGATGGTGTTTGATGGTGTCCGGGTCACGTTTGATGGTATCTCTGTGGTGGTATCTCGGTGGTGTTTGATAGTATTCTAGTGTTTGGCAATGTCCCGATAGTGCTTGGTAGTATCCCAGTAGGCCTTGGTGGTGTAGTGTCTGGTAGCGTCTCGGTAGCTCCCCAGTAGGTGCATGTGGACGTTTGCGTGCGAACGTGTGACTGGAATGCACGTGTGTCCATCCCCCTGTACGCGTGCAGGCCTCCAGCACGTGTGCGAGGGCCTCAAGGAGCAGAAGAAAGGCCTCGTGACACTCGTCGTGTGGAACAACCAGCTGTCGCACGTGGGCATGCAGTACGTGGCCAGCATGCTGGTATGTGCGACACCCCTACTACATATGACGTGCCCACACGCGTGCCCACACACGGCCCACGTCGCCACCACCCCCCAACCCGCCCATGTGTACCTATTCACCATTCGTGTGCAACCAGGGAATATTTTTTTTGATGGGAGGAGGGGGAAGCAGCTTTTGTATCACATCACTTAGCCAATGGGGGCCTGTGAAAGTTATTAATTTAGGGGGCACAGGGTTGTGGGTTTGCATCCTTTTTCAAAGTAGGGGCAGGGCAGGCAGCATCTGCTCCCTGTGTTGGCACGCACGCCTCTCTTGGGCAAACCAGCGTGATCATGGTCATAACCGTTCTTCAGCATCTCCGCTCTCAGTCCCCACCTCGTTTTCCATTTTGATAGACTTATGTGACCTTGGTGTTTTTTGCTGTCATTTGTAAATATGTTTTGTACATTCGACCACCGGGATTTAATTTCAGCTAAGTCTCTCCTGGGGCTGTGCGTTTTACTCATCATTATAACGATATACATGTGTAAAAAATGTACCTTGTTTCAAAGTTGCAACGGGCTGTCGCGTGTTTGTTGGGCGCGTGCTTGCTTAGCCGTGCACACAGAGCCTGGAGACGCTGAACCTGGGCCACAACAGCGTCGGCAACGAAGGCGTCCTGCGGCTCAAGGACGGCCTCATTGCCAACCGCTCCGTGCTGCGCCTGGGACTGGCCTGCACGCGCATCACCTGCGAGGGTAAGCGCGCAGCGTCGTACAGTCGCAGCACACCAGGCCTCCCCGTGCCGGCCGGCGTGTCCCTGGAGGCCGGAGCGAAACGGCGCCGGCTGAATTGCCCCTGCCGAATTTCCCCTGCGTCACTTCGACGTTGCCAAGCCTGGCTCACCTGGTCCCCCCCCCCCCCACCCCTCCTCTGCCACTTCAGGTGCAGTGGCCGTGGCGGAGTTCATCGCCGAGAGCCCGCGCATCGTCCGCATCGACCTGCGCGAGAACGACGTGAAGACGGGCGGCCTCATGGCGCTGGCGCTTGCCCTCAAGGTCAACACGTCGCTCGCCCGGCTCGACCTCGACAAGGAGCCCAAGAAGGAGCAGGTGGGTCGTGGCGGCGGCGCCGGAGCCGCTGTCAGGGGGAGAGATCACTGCGGCTGAGGTCAGAGCAGGGATTGAAACTGAAGGTTTTCTTTGCTGAGCATCGAAACGGACTTTCTGATACCTTTGGCGAGGAACCACACATTACACACACAAACATACATCCACCTTGATCACTTTTGTCACTACAAGGACCTCTGGCAGTGACAGACTCCCACTAATTGCACTCCCATTAGTAACGCAGTGTTGTTGCCGGGTCGGAAATATTCCCCTCGTACCCGATCAGTGTGGCTAAGATACTCGCTGTGACGGGTAAATATAATCTTCCGGCTGCTTACAATTCGTAGGCCTCATGTCCACGGGACCGTATGACATGGAAGTCGCAGGCCAAGTTCGGCCCGCGGTTCGTGGGTTCAGTCGTGCGTTTTAGTTTTTCGGTACCCAGAGAGGGTGGCCTTGCAAAGGGGAAGCCTAAAGCCGGGTGACGGTGACGCTGTGAGAAAGGTGATTGAGCGGCGCTTGCCCAGCTGCTTGTGTTCTTCGAGGTGCGCCGCCCTCTTTAACCGGTTGAACGTCGATGAAGTGGACCGGGGATGAGGTCACGGGTCTGGGGCAGACCTTGTGACCGGGGTTATGATGCACGTGAGCAGAGGTCGCCCATAGTCGCGGACAACGGCCGTAATGACCGTGCTGTGGCAAATGGTGTGGGCTCACGACCTTGCTGACCTTATATCTGATTGTTAATGTTATACTTAGGTCCAGGTCTCCTTTGAAGTTTCTGGCCCAAATAGGCTCTTAACTGCCAATAAGCAAAGGTCATCTATCGATCCGTCGGTTTGTTTCTACCATTTCTTTTTGTTGCACTTGGTATTTTATTTTCACCGTTTTTTAATCTGAATAATTGTTATAGTTTTTTTTATCCAATTCTATTCCAATTGCGTTATCCGCATCATGTCATGAGGCGAGCTTGTCTTTGATTGTTCATAACTAAACAACCATAGAACGGCCCTTGAAGATGACATTGGAAAACTACTTCTGAAGTCATTCAATAGGCCTCTTTTTCCAAACTGGAGTCACCATTCATATGCCCTGCATGTCATTCAAACCGATTTCCTCAGAGCTAACATTTAGCCAAATTAACTGCAAAACCAATTATAATTGTGATGGTTATTAGTTTTTGCAGTCATTTCTGACTGGGCTGGGAACGATCAACTCACAACTTGAGAATCAGTTATTTTGTATCTCCGTCTCTGAGTCATTGGGTCTCTGTGCTAGTGTGTGCATCTCTATACAAGTCCGTGGGTCTCTACGCATATAGTCTTTACTTGAGAACCCTGTTTTAATCGCAGCTGGTTAAAACTTGGATTTGAACCCAGGATCTTGGTCGTACCAGCTCAGCGCTCTAACTTCTGAGCTACCCAGCCACTTCCTGTAACAGTAAACTCAGATGTTCTTGACACGAGATCTCCCTGCGGGCTGTGAGTGCGCATTGCAATTCGCCGTTTGTTTATTAGCGAGTTCCGTCTTCCTGGCCGATGCTTGCCTTGGGGAGGACGCTGTCACATCGTGTTTGCCGCGAACCGGCTGCCGTGCATGCTTCTCTCTCAAGCCCGCACGCACGCGCGCGCGCCAGCCTGCTCTTGACAAAAGAGCAGATGCTGTCCAGCGGCAGACAGAAGCAATTAGTGTTTTGGACAAGAGATTTGGTTTCCAGGCGACGACGGAGCCGGCGATCGGGGCAATGGGGGCGATCCTGCCGCACTGTTAGGATAATTATAGACGGAGTCTGGTTGATGATTGGTCAGTGCCGCCCAACTCGAGTGCGGAGGCTCGTTAATAATAGATGATCAGCGTCGTGTGTGCGCTTCGACACCCCGTTGTGGCCACCGCTGCCATCGTCGCCATCGACGCTACCGCCGCTATTGCTGCCTTTTTGTTTGTGCTGCTGCTGTGTTAAGGATGCTGGTGCTCTCTCCTTGGGCTTCCAGACGTGGATTTAGATCATCTTTACCGGATTTAAAAACAAAGTTTTGGCTTCGCCACATTTAGTGGCGAAGTCCTGGCGGTGGCACGCATTGCGATGAAGACTCCAGTTGTAGATCTCGCAGAACAGCGCAACCCTTCGTACTGGAGAACTCTGTGAACGGAGACAATGGAGAGCTACCTCTGAGATCCTTCCAAGTGACGTCAGGTCCACACCTGTCTTTGCTTGGCCAAAGACTAATGTTGGTTGCATGATGGGTGAACCGGTGTTTTAATTCAAAGGGTTGTAATTTAGCCAATTTAAGTGCAGAACCAAATTTAATATGTCGGACTCTTTTGGGCAGTCATTGTTGATCATCAACTCACGCTGTGCTTGTGAATTTGGTTTAATCACAGGCGGCTGAAAGCCAGATTCACACCCAGGATCTCAGCAGTGCCGGCTTAACACTCTGACCTCTGAACCGCCCGGCCACCTCAATTTCACCGGGGTTGGTTTGGCAGTTTAACGGATTGTCCAAAACACTTCCCCCCCCTCCCCCCCCCTTGGCGGTTTGCCCTGTTGAGTGTGATGGAGACATCAGCGCTGTGCTGGTTATAAATAACCTGGACGGATTCACGCAGTCTCGTTTAGCTAATGGGAAAACCCATCAGCCTGGCACACACAAAATACATATATATCCGATGGCCTGAAACCAAATGGTAATGTTCATGCAAATAGGTGTTTTTAGACAGCAACAGCCCAACAGGAAGATGCAGCATGCTTTGCATGAAGTTGTTCTGCTGGTCCATCTTTCTCCCATAACCACTCAAACCGTGAGGTCATTGGGGAACCGTGCTGGCATCTCTCCTCGTTTTCTTCCTTCTCTTTGCCCCATCCTAAATCCCTTCTTAGCATGTATGTGCTATTAAGAAGGACCATTTCCAAACAATTTGTGTGTTATGTGTTTTTGCTTCTAAAGAAGCCTGACTGACAGATGTGAGTTTTTTGTTATTTGTGCATCACTGCCAACGGTTGTAGCAGCATCACCACATTTTCATGATCTCATAGGTCAGCTGGTTGTTCTGTAAACCCATCCGCTCTGCGACGTTCTGAATCCCGCTGTTGCCTAAAGCAATAAATGCCTTGTGTCCCAGATATTTCGTGCTGGTGGCTATCACAGGCTGTGTGAAGATGGTAATGTACGAATATGCTACTGTCGTCTTGACATGAAAAGCATGTTTCGAATTTCCCGTTTGTACCTTTGTTGTTCAAATTATATTTTTGGGCATACGATGCTCGTGATGTATAACCTGCCTGCGACGAAATCATCTGGAACCCGCTCGATCTCATCTGATCTCGGATGCCAAGCAGGGTTGAGCCTAGATACTGCTAGGATGGGTTGACTACCTTGCTCAGACAGGATAAGGTTCTTGTAGTCCACTCAGTCGCGGATGGCAGGCCGGTCAAGTGAGGCCTGTACTGGGGGTTATAACCCGCCACGACCCATACAGTAACGGGGGGCCCTCACTTGGCAGTAGTTTAACTAAAGGGCTCTGCAATCCTATGAATATTCAAGTTTTAAATTAATTCCACATTTTGTATGTATATGTGTGTGTGTATTTGTTTTAGTGATTCACTAAAACAAATAAGCCACTGCTACCCCCACTACCCCCGCCAACTCGCGCCATGCATCCCCAGGCCCCGGGGTTACACGGGGCCAGGAGACAACATTGGAGTTGTCTGCGCAGTGCGCGGCGCTAATCCTAAGCGATGACGGTGTTAATGAGCTGCGATGCGTGCTTGCAGCTTCCACTCCGGTCCCCGTGAACATTAATAACCGCGCCGTTAGTGCTGCGGCGGCCCCACGGCAGCGCCAGCGTAAATTATTATTTCAGCGACGCGTCGTGCATCACACGCGATGCCTCCTCCCGCTCACTTGCGAGGGGCTTCTCTCTCCCTCGCGTCTCTCGTTCGCTCGCTCGCTCCTTCCCTCCATCCCTGCCTTCCTCTCCGCCCTTTCAATCCCTCCAAACTCTCCCTCCATCCCTCCCTTTCTTCCTTCATCCAAGAGTGCGTCGTGGCCAGCGCCTCTGATGCCACCGCACCCTCGCCATCGCTTCTTTCATTCTGCACAGATCCCACAAGCCGGTTGCACAGTCGAAAACCCGTCTTATAAGAATCGACGGTATAGCGTCACCATCATCACCATCAATCTTGATTTGAAGCTTTCGTGACTGCAGGAATCCATACTCTTTGGTTCTTTCAGTAAAGTCACGTAGATAAAAAATGTATAGATCACGCCGTTTCGATCTCAACACAAGCAATCGTCATCAGGTGAGACAAACACAGCAGGAGAACTGCTGAGGTAGGGGGAGCAGTTGGATCTTCACCTTGGCCAAGTGCTCAAAATTGACAATTTATGACTTAAAATCCGCGTGATTATGGCGCTGACTTTAAGGAAGGCGAAACCATGAAGGCTCGCACGCGTGGGTGGGCTGGAGCTCCGAACCGCACGCCAGCCGGTGCTGCCGTGAGCGAGGGTCACCAGCCGGTCATGGGGATACATAATTATATATTTTTTATATATATTTAAAAATCACAACGATGCGCAGCTGTTTTGTGTTCACCTCTTTGTATGTGTCTGTGTGTGTGTTTTTAAACGCTTTTGTCTATGTGCCATTTATTTTTCCGCCGTTTGAGGCTTTGTTTATTTTGTTTGTTGGGCTGGGAGTGGGTTTTTAGCTTGGCAAGCTGTGTGCATGCATTGTTTCCACACAACACATCCACAAGTAAACAAGCATCGGTATACAACACTTTGTATGTTGAAATTCTTTCGCACTTTATGTAGACAACCGTGCTAATTAGAGGCGCAATTTGTTTTAACACCCTCTGATTCTAAATGTTTCTGTTTTTATATTGCCGCATCAACTTTTAACAAATTTGGTCACGTCGATTACAGACCGTACCAAGGTTAATGACGTCATCCAGACCATTAAGAAAAGCGAGTGGGGCTTGGGCAGGACGTGTAACAGCCAGAAGGGACAACGATTGGCCAAGAAGAATAACGGAGCGACAGCCAAGGAGTGGAGCACGCATACGAGAGGAGGACGTCCACGGTGGAGACGGATCGGAGAAATATCCTCATGCGGGTCCCCGAGTCGATTGTTGCATTGCAAGATCATGAGAGGGTGGCGGTGGCTTAGGGAGGCCTTCATCCAGCAGTAGATTGACCATAGCTTACGGTGACAATTATGATGATTATTGTCTGCGTGTAGCTCTTATCAAAGAATGACACAATTTTAACAGTAGTTGTGTACATGCAGTCAATACGGTGACGGTTACAAAGTTATCTATCAGGTGGTGTCTGGGAATTCCACGGAAGTTGACAATGACCGGGATGTTACCAATACATTTGAAATCGACAGTAAGTTGTGAGTGACATCACCAGGATTTGATTGTCGTTCCGGTTAGCCCGCCTTGCAGCTCCACTACAAATATGCTCCACTTGGAAAAGTAAACTAAACGTTCGTCATATTTATGCACAAGTATAAAAAAGACTGCCCGACAGAGGAATAACTATGTAGTAAATTTTGATTTAAAGCTTTCGTGACTGCAGGGATTCATATTCTTGGTTCTTTCGGTAAAGTCACGTAGAAGGGAAACAATAAAATAATAAAAATATAAAACAATAAACTACGTAATAGTCGACGTTTAACAAATGGCCCTTCCCCATAGCACTAGCTGAAATGTTGTCTTCTACATATATACAAATGAAAGTCTGTCTGTTCAAAATAAAAATCCACACCGTATAAGCCATCACCGCCAAACTTGGCAGAGTTACCTTTTAAAGCCCCGCGGAAAACCTCGGCTACATGGCGAGCCGAAATTTTATATAGGGGGCGCGGAGCCCCCCAAACGGCACCCCCACACGCTCCCAGTGACGTCACAATCCCTAACCCAGCACGTGTGAACCTGGCCCCGCACATCGAACAGTTACATAATGACCCCCTCCTCATGAAGTTAATATAAAATTGACGTTGGTTGCATCGCCCAAAAACCCCGTTGGCGATTCCAATTAACGGTCAACCTCCGTGACCACGCCCGTCTTTTCGTGCGAGACAAACAACACGGCATCGTTCACGCTTCAAAAAAAGCTTCACTGTATTCAGAAGGAGGGGGTCAGTGCCGTTACAGCAACTGTTAAGATGTTGCTGTGCCATGGGGCACTGTAATAATGTAATGTAATGTGCCACAATGGGGTAGGAAATTATACTGCATGTGATTGTGGGCAAATGTTCTGATTAATCACGAAGCTTGTAGTCTGCAAGTAGCAGAGTAATGCAGCAGGCACAGCAGTTGCTGAAAAAAGGTCTGATTTACCAATCTAGGACACATTGAACTCAAAAGGGAAAACAAGATATTCATTGACACCCCTCCTTCTAAATACAGTGATTGAGCCACTCCCCATTCACAATGGGGGGTAGCAGGTACCCGGGCAACGCCGGGTAATTTCCTGCTAATATATTAATATTTTCCTCTTTGGGGCAGTGTTATTCACTAATGCGTTTTTGTTACGAGCTTTATTATTTGTCCAGATTGTCTTGGATCAGGCTTAAGAGACTGGTATCAGGCTACAGAACACTCTTGGCATGCACGCCACCCCTACTGCCTGAGACCGCTAAACAAACAATTAAAAGGTTAATTGAACTCTTGACGTGTCAATCAAGCGGTTGATTGATTTGGATATCGACCTGTGATGGCAAACGCAAGCAGGCGATTATGTTCCCGTCCGTGCACATCTGACCTCGAGCCCTTGCGCGTGTTTCTGCAGGTGAAGAGCTTCCTGGACACGCAGAAGAGCCTACAGACCGAGATCCAGAACTACTGCAAGCGCAACCGCGACGCTGCACGCGACCGGGAGGAGGACGGCACGGGTCCCCCGTGTCTCTCCTCGCCCTCCTCGCCCACCACGTCCTTCGCTGCCCTCGACCTGCAGTCGCAGCCGCAGCAGGAGCAGCAGTCGGCTGCTGGCACCCAGGTCGAATCGGACGGAAGCGTCCCTCGGCCCGCTGGTCGCGACCGGGTGGAGCCGGGCGCAGTGGAGGAGCGGAGCCTGCTGTTCGCGCATCAGCTGGTGGCCACCGCGACGTCCCCGCCGCCCCCCATGCTGCTGTCCCCTCTGCCGCCGCCGACGCCGCCGGCGCCGCCTGCACCGCCGCCCCCGCCGCCGCCTGCCGCCGTGGTCAGGAAGCCCAGCCGGTTCCGGGTCACTATCTCGGAGGAGCCGTGGCAATCGCAGGTGAAGAGCGGCGCCGTGCAACACATGGTCAGGTCCGGCAGCCAGGACCTCGGGGGCGGGAAGAGCGACTCCCAGCGGCCAGGCGTCGGGGCGGAGGAAAGCGGTCGCGGTACGGAGGGCCCGACGGCGTCGTCGGGCGACGAGCATCGCGTCCGGAGGGACGGGACGCAGCTGGGAGTTTCGCAAGCCGACGGAAGAGCACGTGCGCAGCAGTCGAGTGGGGAGGCGGTGCCGGCAGGCCCAGAGGACGCGGCTCTCGTGAGAACGCCAGAGTCGGATCGGTCAGAGGTCGTCCTGACCAATGATCTCGCGAGGTTAACTTGCGACGAGCGTGGCGCGCCGATGGACGGCGCCCGGGGCGGTAGTGGCTGGAGTCTGGGGAGCAGCGCTATTTTCGAGGGTGCGACAAACGAGGATCTCGCGGCTGTGACTTTACCGTCGGACCGGTCCGGCCGGGGCGAGCGAACGGCACGGCATGGGGAGCCTGGCACTGTCGCCGAGGGCGCCGCATGGCGACCAGGGAGGGACGCTGCCGAAGGGCGGCGAAAGGAGCTCGTCAGTGGAGGCAACGGTGAAGACGACGGCGCGACGCGCGTGCCCGGAGGAGGCGCCAGCTGCAACGGTTTGACGCTCGGCGGCGACGGCTCCACGTTCGTCCTGGACCACAACAGCGTGGACCAGGCCGGCCTGAACGAGCCCCCCGAGGAGGAGGCGGCGGCGGTGGCGCCAGTGTCAGTCGGACCTTGCAGCGAGTCCGAGCTGGAGCTGGCGCTGGAGCGGGAGCTGGAGCGGGAGCTGGACGAGGAGCTGGACCACGCGGCGCCTACCCCGGCCGTCCCCAACGGCCTGCGGCCCGAGCTGGTACCGGACGGCGGGTGCCTGGCCACAGCGGACGGGGCGACGAAGAGCGCCGACGCGCCGCCTTTGGGCTCGCCGGAGGACGATGCCGGTGAGCGTCGGCGTGCGTTAGTCACTCCTTCCAGCTCGTGTTTAAAAGCGTTAAGGCATTGGCATCGTCCATCTGCGCGTATGTCCTCTTGTCTTTAATCGGGTTGGGGGAGGGCAATATACCTCTCGTAAAGCTGATCCAATGTGAATTAAACGGCACTATAAATTGCTATTCTGGACAGAGTATATAGAAAACTGCCAAAATTATTGTTAATGATATACTCCAATGCGTGCATCGTGCACTTGAGAACGGCCATCTGTTGGCGAATCGACGCGTCACCACGCGCCCAGCACCGCATGCGAATTTGACCTCTCGGCCCCTGCTCCTCCTCCTTGCTGTGTCTCAAGGCGCGGATGTGGGCGTGACGGCGGGCGTATTCGGTCGGGAGATGGAGCAGCATTCGCAGGGAGGCAGCCAGGAGACGGCGCACTGACGTCACCCGCACCAGGTGAGGGTGTCCCCCCCTCTGCCCGTTCGCCCGCGCTCGCTCGGGGCCCCGGGGGGATGCCTTATATCGCTGGTCTCCTCGTAAGCCAAGCAGGATGGAGCCAGGTTTCTACTTGGATGTGTTACCGCCACCTCCAAATGGCGCTTACCAGGTTTTGTAGGCGCGCGGCTGCGAAGTGTAGCCAGGAGGTGGTGTCACCCCCTCGGCTACAGTACAGTGCTGGGTTGCCCCCGGGTTCTCCGGTGTCCTTTGACATGGAGCCAGACTCTCATAAATGCACTTGGCCAGCCTTGCCAATGTTTCAGGACTATCCCTGAACGTTTTTTTTTTAGTCGTCAGATATTTCCGGATATTTAAATGACATCGCTGTTGTAATTTATCATTGTAACTCTTGCCTCGTTGTTTTAACTGTTCTGATGATTGTGTTGTGATTCCAGGTTTTCGTGGGAAGATTAATTCGCCGCTTCCCTTCCACGCCTCGTGGGACGCCCTGAACTTCAGCGAATTGAAATTTGTTGAATTTTTAATTTCCCTTCGTCCCGGCTGACGTCTTATCTCACCCCGTCGCTCCTCCGCCTTCGATTCATTCATCGAGAGACTCGCTCTTTAAACTCCACACACACACACTCGCACACATCCTTGGACAATGCCGCCGACCCCATCCCTTTCCAACCAAAGACTGCCATGGCAAGATTTTGTTTCGCTATGTACAGGAAGCCTGGTGGCTCCTCTTGGCGATTTTGGAGTCTCTAGTCCATGTGATTCCGAAACGGTCAACACATCCAAAGCCTGCTCACCCTCCATTCTCACCTTGCCGTTGTTGTTTCACTGATTTGTGATTTCTCACTGGACTTTACGGTGGCTTGATGACTCGCGTGAAGGGAAGGAGAGCGAGGAGGGGAGAGGGACAGAGGAGGAGAGTGGAGGGAGGGGGATTGGATTCAGAGGAGGAGAGCGGTATTAATGGACACGAGGTGACTCGGAGGACAGGGCGAATGATGAGAGGGAAGGCATGGGAGAAGACTGGAGCGGAAATGAGGAGAGCAAGTGTGAGAGAAGAGGTATGGAGAAAATGAAGAAAGCGGGGGAAATAGCAGAGGGAGGAGCGGAAGAGTGAGGAGTAGATGAGGAGGCGAGCGGGTAGGCGAGACGCAGCGGGGATGCCAGGAGGGGCAGAGCGCCATCAAGAGAACATGCAACGTTGTCACAGATGTACATGTGACCAATTTGAAATGTACACGAACCATAGTTCAGGTTTGAGCGTCACTAAATCCACACATCCAAAGCTTTAATTGGAGGCTGATATATTTACTTAACGTGGGTGGGGGGCGTGTACAGGTCTCCTTTATTTTGCCGAGCACCGGGGTCGCGCATGCGATGATGCGGCTGGGATCTGGGCACAAAACTGCTGCTTTGCACACTCTCCGCACGAGCCCTCTGCCGTCCCAACTCCTCCGTTCATTGCTGGACGAACATTTGATTATTTTGAAAACATTTTCCCCGCCCTCTTCCTCCTCACATAATCCCGAGCATCCTGAATTTGGTTGCACGTGTTCGGTGCGAGCGCGCAGCGTCGTTTAGGATGTTTCCGTCGGGGTCCGCGTCGGCACAACGGGGTGGGGGAGGCATCCAGCGCCGGCAACGATGCCAACGACGGCGGTGGCTTTGGTGGCGAGGAGCGGTGGGGAATGGTGGGAGTGGCGATCGCGTGTGCATGTAGTTAACCTTTCTTTACTTGAAACGGCGGAGTGTCCACCCCTGCCTGCCGCCCGTGTATCGCGTGATGAGCGTCGCGCGTGCCCGACCGCCTTTGTCTCCCCCACTTCCCCCCCCCCTCCCCCATCGCGTGCGCTGTGGGTGGAAAACGTGGGCCTGGCATGCTGGGAAGAGGTCCGTGGGCCCAATTTCTAGCCAAGGTGTTCACTGGGTGAGGTGGCTCGCATCTCTTAAGCCTAATTAATGACTTAATTATTTAGTTAAGACTCTTAATTATCTGGGAGAAGGGTCCTGGTTGCAACTCAAGCCTCCTTGATATAAGAGTTTGAACGTGGACGGCGAGATTCGCTCGGTTAGACTTGGGTTAGAATCGTGAGGTGGAGGGTTGGATGAGTTCTATATATATTACACATGGCGCTTTATGTTTTTTGTGTTTTCTCTTCATTTGTGTTTAAATTTTTTTTGAGTTTGTCAAAGGCTTGCGGACATGACAAGGGGAGGGCCCTGGTGGTGGCATTGATTTTGAGGTTTATTATCAAAAAGAGTTAATTGTTTGCGATTCCCGAACTCGAGATAATTACAGTCACGGTTTAGGTGTAGGAGTGTACAAATGATCCATTCGTAATATTAGTAAGTGCTGTTCGTGAGCACTTATCAAGGCTGGCACGAAACACGGAGAGGGGTTGGTGTGGGCCAGCCCCATTAAAGCCCAACTGACTGTCTCCCAAATGCTGATATTCACACAGTATGCAAGGCCCTCCTTTAAGGCCGAGTCAACCTTAGGGAGGCGCACAAGAGCGGTGCAAAAACTCTATCACAGATGTCGAGCACGGCCAGGAAAAGCACATGCACACATACACATAGGCATGACAAACGCTCACATAGTCTCGTACATCTGTCACTTGCAGAAGCTGCTTCTGGTTTGCCGTTCATTGCTTTGTCAGGCCTAGCTGGGGTCTCGTGGGTTGGAGTGTGGGCTTCACATGGGTTTATAATTCACACTGCTCCCGCCCCCACTCGTGCTCCACGTGGCGATAGGGAAGCTTTAATTGCTTTTACAAACGACGTAATTCTGGAAACGCGAGTGAACGCAGAGCGGTCTCGCAGCCCTTCCTCGGTTGTGTGCGCTCCCACTTGACCTGTAGAGGAATCCACCCAAATTGCCGCACCGTCGATCGTTCCTGAGCTGGGCTGCGGCTCGGCTTCGGAGAGATGCAGACTTTTGGTTTGGGGACTGGGTTTCAGCTGAACTCTCTATGGGTTTTGGCCGGGTTTAGACGAGACACCGACTGGGTTTGGGTTACATTTAGAATGTTCTGGGGCTGGTTTTGGGCCGGATTTTAGCTAGGTTCAGACTGGGTTCAGGCCGGCTTTAGACTGGATTTGGGCTACATTTGCTTGGTATTTAAGCCACATTCAGGCCAGGTTTGATCTTATTTTTGGGATATATCTACATCGAGCCAGGGTTATCGGATTACCTCCCTTCTCGCCCTGATCTCACGGCGACCGTGCTTGTGTTTGCATTACCGATGTTATTATTGTGTTATTGTTGTTTTAAGCCGTTTATTTTGTTGGCTCCAGATACAGATGGATGTTACGACTCGCAACGCAGTTGTCAAGTTTGCTCGCTATGCAAGTGCCTCCCATACCCTGAGGGACACGGAGATATTTTATTTTTAAATCGCACAGGGAGCGATTGCGTTAAAGTAAATAAAATTCGGTTAAAATTAACTTGCCTCCCCGAGCGAGGCAACGACTTGGAGATTCGTCGGCGGGCCTTCGTGTGGACGATGATGAAGAAGGTCGTGGGGACCAACCACGTCCCTCCAAGCGACTGGAAACAAAATCTGGTTTAGGTTTAACCTCTCGCACCGCTTATTGAGAATGCGCGCCCGAGAGAGCCGCATCACAGCACAGCCACAGCAGCGGTCCTATGTTCTCTATATTGATTTATATTCCATGTTAGCTCGCAGGCAATCTCAAAACGAGACGGAGAAGAATTAATTCTTGGGTAGAATCGTGAGCCCCGACTGGCATGACGATGCGGAGATGTGTAGCATCGATGGGAGGTGACTCTTTACATGCGTGTTGCTCGCACGCGGTGTGCTGCGGTGCACCTAAAAACACAATGTGTACGCGTGTGCACGCACAGCGCGGTGTACGTACCCGAGGCATGCTGTGTCCACATGCAGTAACGCGGTCAACGCACAGTGTACTGCGTGCAAACGCACATACACGCACCTCCGATTAGCATGGTTGGCTACGCACGGTGGGAAAGAAGTTCTACATACACGCTTTATGCATGTACAGTATACTTTGTCCATGTAATAATATGGTTGTGTGTGCGCATGCACATACACAATCTAACGTGTACACACACACACCACGCGGTGGTGCTTCATGGGCAGTTACGTAAATTATGCAACCTCCGTCACATTCAACCGAATGATTCGTGACGGGTGTCGCTTCGGAAGTTGTCGTAGTGTTAGGAAATTGATTGCTCTGTGGAGAGAAGTCGGGTGGTTTGAGGGACACAAAACCCGAACGCGCCGTCGCCATTCTCGCGTCGGTGACACAGTGAGTTGTGTCCGAGTGTGTCCGACACCGTGGTGTTTTACGGACATCGAGAAAGGTGGGGGGGGGGGGGGGACATAACTTCTGTTTTAAGTGCAGCCACCAATCGGTTGGCGTATGGCGCCCAAGTGAAACGGGGCCACGTCAGGAATGCACCGGCGTTTACCCACGTCTCTTGAGTGGCCGAGGTGTACTTACAAATTTCTGGAACTGCCCCTCCCGTGAGCCCCACACAGCCTCTGATGCTTCTCGCTCTCATGGCTCAGGTGGGAAGAGGGGGTTGAGACCTATCTGGATCTCCCTTGAGGGGAGTTGGGGGGTATGTTGAGGGGTGGAGCTAAGATTCTTGATCACTGCCAGGTTCACTCACCAGCAGATGTCAAAGTTGCCGTGGCTGTAGCTGCTGCTGCTGTTTACATTCTGGTTCAGTGCAGTGTTTTTGTTGACATTTTTTTGCATTTTGGGTGTAATTTTCACCCCCCTCCCCCCCCGATGGCTGATTTATTATGTTCGTTGACATGAGGCCAGGCCGTCAATAGCACGCACGCGCTGGGTGACCGTCGCTAATCAGGGGGGAGTGGTGGTCGTGGCGCTGGGTTTTGTATTTGCAGTGCCTGCCGTCCGCATCTCTCAGTGTGCAGTACACGATGAGAATTGGAAGCAGTGGTTTGTCTACCCTGGGAAGCCTCACTGGGCCCTCTCTGATGTGCGTGGTATTTTTCAGGTCGTACCGCGCTCTGTTCGGCGCGTTGTCTTAAGTTTCGTTGCCCGTGCTGGGACTTCTTCGGGAACCAAACGGGGTTCCTGAAGAAGCTCGCCAGCGAGTTGAGCGGAGCGTCTGACGTCGTGCGGCGGAAAGCGGCACAACCCAGAAACACATCGGAGAGATGTACAGCAGCACAACGGCAAATACCTGCACAGTAGCAAGCCTCACTTAGCCCCAAACTTCCTAATGCAGGGAAATGTTTGGCCACTTCCCTTTTAATTAGTATATTTTGCGTATGCCAAATGAATTGAGCGCCTGGAGAATACGCACCCATGCGAGAGGGGATAGCACACGGCCATATCGTGGCAACGATACTGTAGAGAGCAGACCTTTCGGGGTTTGCTAACTCTGACAACCAGGAGACCCTGCAGCAGGAAGCCATGGCCAGGTGCGTTAGTGGCACGATCAACGCCATTGCCCGTGTTGACCTCTTGACCTTGGTGGAGGGCGGACTGGGCAGGCGAGTTGGGACGATGCTGAGGCTGGGTGGGAGATGCGGGGGGGGGGGGGCACTCGTGTTAGTGGTCAGGGTAGGGGTCGGGGTCGGCAGGTAACCCCTGCGCGCTTCGAGAAGCTCTCCCGTGTTTGTTTTTAAATCTGCACTGCCTTCGTGGCTCGAACCCGAAACTTTTATACGCGATTGCGCGTGTCTGTCCGCCGATCCGAGACGGTTCTGGGCCCGGCGCGCTGCGCACATCTCTGTCTAACGCTCTCATCCCATGATTTGTATTTGTCCCTTACATAGTAATAATTTAATAATTGTCACTATAGTAATATTGTGTATAGAGATGTTATTTAGTTTCACGTTTTGCCTTTGCGTTCTGGGTGTTAATGCGTCCGCTTGTTCTGGGGATTTTTTTGCGGGGGGGGGGGGGGGGGGGGGGTGACGTGTTTTGCCTTTATTTAGTTTTTCATGTTTAAAATCATCCTTAGTATCTGTGCTGCTGTTGGCAATGAGTAATAATCGCGATAATAAAAAAAAACTCAAATCAAACGCTTGGGCGGAGGGGAGCGCGAAGGCAGCAGGAACTGCGACCGAAGGGGACCCGGCGCGTGTTCCAATTTTATTCGTGTACAGAACCTTTTCGCATTGCTGGGTGAGCGGGTGGGTGGTTCAGTGAGTGAAGAGATGCCCCAGTGGTTGGGTGATTTGATAAATGGATGGATGAGTGGCTGGGCGGGCGGATGGGTGAACGGTTGGACGTGTGGATAGGTGGATGTGAGTCGGTGCTCGCCATTGCGGCGAGGTGGGTGATTAAAATAATTGTGTGGGGGGAGTGAGTGACTTGGGTGTGTGTGGGTGGGTAGGTAATTGGGTGGGTGAGTGGTTGGTTTTTGTGGATGTGAGTAGGTGCGTAGTTTCACCGGAGGGCGGGGAGGCGGGTGATTAGGTAAGTGGCTGGTTGAGATGGGGAAGTTGTTGGTGGGCAAGTTGTCGATGTGAATCGGTGAGTGGCTTCGTGCTTGGATGGATAATTGTGTGTGTGCGCGCGCGAGTGCATGTCTAAGTGGGTGGATGATCAGGTGGGTGGGTGGAGGAGTTTTTGTTTTTTTTGGGACGTAGTGCGGTTTGCCTTCTATTGTAATAACTGCCCGGACACCACACTGGGTGTGTGTGTGCATGACACTAATCCGCCGCTGGGCCCAAGCGGTGCACGGACAGGGCGTGGGTGCGCAGTCTGCGAGCTTCTCTCCCTCGCGCTGCATCGCCCCCCCGCAACGTCGGGAGTCGAGGCATTGGGGTGGGCGAGCGCGGTGGGAGATGAGGGAGGGCAGCGGGGGAGAAGGTGTGGAGGAGAGCGAGAGAGGGAAGTCCACGGCGGGGTTCACTTCATCAAGTATTTGTGGAATTCTATCGATCCACCAGAGTTGACCTCCACCCTCCTGCACCCGTCCTCCACCTCCATCGTCCACCCACCATGGTCTCTCCCGTCCATCCACCCACCTCCCCGTGCCTTCATTTTAAATAGCTCTGCCGTGTGTACATATTATATATAAATACAGTATATATGTGTGTGCGTGCGTGCGCGCTCTCATAAGTTGGCATCGCATCTTGGTACTGCTCTGTTTTGAGTGTGGAGCATGGTTCTTCAGAGCGTCGTCCACTTAATTTAAACATCTGTCTGCCACCCTCCTCCACCCGTGCCCTCCCATGTCCCATAATCGCTGGCCACCGCCGCTGCTGTTGCTGCTGCCCTGGTGGTGCAGGGCGTGTTTTCACGGAGGGGTGTTTGACCGATAAGCTTGGTCGGAGATGGTGCGGGCTGTGTACACTTTTAGGCAAGGCGGGGGGAGGGCGAGGGCAGAGGGAGGGTGGAGGTGGTGTCATCCATGTGCCCGTCCGTGTATGATCGTGTATAAGAAATAAAACATGCGTTTTGCAAAATATCCCCGGTCGTCTCCTGTCGTGGTGTCTGTTTTAGTTGCTAAACTCAATAACTCGCCAGATGAAAAAAACAAATCCAAATATCCCAAAGCTACAAGTACTAACAGCCAATTACTCAATTATGATTACACACAGCAACATGAGGGGGCAGGTGAAGCAGTGTGCCCGCGGGCTTCATATCTGAGGGGGCTTCATTAAAAGGTGAAGTGGGGAGGCCTCATCTGGAATTTTACCCCGAGCCTCCAAAACAGCCTTTAGGCAACCCAATGATTCACAAGAGGACAGAAAGAATTGTCACCATCAACGAGTTCGAGGTCATCGGGAATGGTGTTGTGTTCCACCAAGCAGGAACTCAAGAGACCATAATAAGTCTCATTTGCAGCAGTGACCACGGTATTAACATACGACGGTGGCTCAGCTGGCTGAGTAGCAAAGTTGTTGCCACGAGACATGAATACAATCTAAATTTGTGCAATGGACATTTCCGCGGAGCTTTTTACACCTTCCCGTGGACCGCAGGTTTTTTTATCAACTGCCCTAAACTCGAGCGGTGTGCAACCTCCCCCCTCTCCGCTCCTTCATGGGTGCAGGGAGCCAGGGCAGACTGAAGGCAGGCGGAGGAGGGATGCGGCGGGGGGTTTGGCAGCCGTGACCTTCATCAGGGCCGAGAGCGAAAAGGACTCCGAATCGTAAATCGCGGCTGGCAGAGAGGAGCGGCGCAGCGTCTGGGGTGGCGGGGCTCGGGGTGAATAAATCATCGCGTACGCGCCCTCGCCTCGCGTCTCTGAATTCATGCATCACCCCCGTCCTGCTCCGCGCCAACACCCATGCCCTGCAAGCACGTCTCCCACTCGCTCTCCCCACTCCCCTCCACCAGCAACCGCTCGCTCTCTTGTGGCTCCCCCATATCCTGCCCCCCCCCCACTCACCCTTTCCCACACGCCCTTCCATCACCACTCGCCACACTCCCACACCAGGTTGCCACCTCTTGCACTGACCAAACCCAGTCATATCGGTATCCCGTGATCACGTTCAACACAATTCCACCAGATGTCAGTACAAATAAATTCCTGCCACCCAAACACAGATGCCGATTCCCAGACTGTCTGGTAGCCCAACAACCGCAGCTACACATCCATCACACTCACTCACCCCTACCATATCCACCACACTCACTCACCCCTACCACATCCACCACACTCACTCACCCCTACCACATCCACCACACTCACTCACCCCTACCACATCCACCACACTCACTCACCCCTACCACATCCACCACACTCACTCACTTACCCCTACCACATCCACCATACTCACTCACTCACCCCTACCACATCCACCACACTCACTCACTCACTCACCCCTACCACATCCACCACACTCACTCACCCCTACCACATCCACCACACGCAGTCATCTGTGGCTTCCCGCACAACTTTCACGTTCCCCTCCCACACCAGCCGCTCTCTACACTCACCCACTTCTATCTACTGCCCTGAGAGGTGAGTGAAGTACCATTTTTGGACGTGTGAATGCTCAAAAGTACATAATCGCATTACTTTTTCATTAAAGTACATTTTCAATATATTGTACCAACCATTATAGTTGGTAGAATATTGGATACGTATTTTTTTTTCATATCGAAATATATTTTTAGTTTTGGACAAATACAATATCTATTTAACACGTAGGCTTTCGCGACCAATATTATTCATAATAAAGGTTTTTGGGTTAGATCGCGTTTATTTATAAATGTGTCGTAACCCTCCACCACCCGACACGGCCAATCAGCAAAAAAAGTGTCACGTTGACAAAAGACAAATAATTCACTACTTCAGCCCACCGGTGTGTTGAAGAGTTAATCCACATTTACAGTTTGAGTACGACGTTTCGCTGGTAAATACTTCCAGCATCATCGGGCAATTCGCCAGAATGGTAAAGCCCTCGCTTGCTCCCGGTTTTATATAGAGCAGCAGGGTGACGTCATCACTTAACTCATCAGGTGCAGTGATTAGAGGCGGAGGGGGGGGGGGGTAATGTAATTATATAATCGATTAGTAATCAGTCATTGGTTATGATTAGTAATGAGTTGTAGATTAGTAATTCTTTAAATCAAAATGTAATGTGTATTATTTAATACACATTACATTAAAGACGCATTACCTAAACTATCAACAGAAGGTGTATATCGGATTAATTGTTCATGTGGCAGCTGCTACATTGGGCAGACGGGACGTAACATCAGCGTAAGACTAAAAGAACATCAGAGAAATATTAAATTATCTCAAACACAACTGTCGGCAGTGGCAGAACATGCTTGTCAACAAGGACACTCAATTGATTTTGACAATGTTGCAGTGGTGTGTAAAACTAATTATTACTGGCAAAGACTAATTAGAGAATCCATTGAAATTGAGAGGAACAAGAATAACTTTAATCGTTCTGACAGCTACCGGCTTAGTGCGGCCTGGAAGCGTATTATTAAATAATACACATTACATTTTGATTTAAAGAATTACTAATCTACAACTCATTACTAATCATAACCAATGACTGATTACTAATCGATTATATAATTACATTACCCCCCCCCCCTCCGCCTCTAATCACTGCACCTGATTAGTTAAGTGATGACGTCACCCTGCTGCTCTATATAAAACCGGGAGCAAGCGAGGGCTTTACCATTCTGGCGAATTGCCCGATGATGCTGGAAGTATTTACCAGCGAAACGTCGTACTCAAACTGTAAATGTGGATTAACTCTTCAACACACCGGTGGGCTGAAGTAGTGAATTATTTGTCTTTTGTCAACGTGACACTTTTTTTGCTGATTGGCCGTGTCGGGTGGTGGAGGGTTACGACACATTTATAAATAAACGCGATCTAACCCAAAAACCTTTATTATGTACAATATCTATCCAAGCTAGTTAACAGCAACTAAAATTACAAAAACAATTCAATGTTATTGGGGATAAAATTAATCTAAAGAGAAAGACAAAACAAGAACAGACTAAGTGCGTGAAAAAATCCAAAACTTGGGTTCAAACCTTTATTAGAAAACCAAAACAGGAGATCGGGATCCCTGAATTCAAGACGTCCATAGCACCATCGGCTCATTTTTGGTACAAAAGTCACAAACGCCAGAGCCACGTTATCCGGCAGCTCGCGACCTGTACACAAGGATCGCTCGGGACACCCTCGTCATCGCCAGCATCTAGGGGAGGGGGTGTGGGTGGTAGTGGCGGCGGTGGTCGTGGTGCTGGCACTAACGGAACCGGAGAAAGTTCTGGGCCACAACCTTGATTTCTAAGGATCGGTGCGACCGACACGAGCGGCGGTTCACAGAGTTGCCCTAAAGTCTCGCGGTTCACCGCTCGGCTCCCTGAGGTTACGCACATCACCACCTGATTACGTCTCCCGGGGCGGCATTGCCGGGCACGAGGAGGAGGTTGCAGAGTGGGCGGGATGGGGAGGGGTAGTCGAGGGGAGCGAGGAGGGTAGGGGAACGGCGGATCTCTCTCTCTTCTTCTGCGCCACTCAGCTGTCCTTGCCGTTCTTGCCGCGCTTTGCCGTCTTCTTGGGGTTGACGGGTTTCGCCTCGCACGTCGCGCAGTTCCAGCGACCTGACCACGGCGGGGGAGGGGAACCAAGGGTGATGATGAAGGCGAGGTGGATTAGACTCGGGCCAAGGTGAGAACAAAAAACACACCCAAAGTGGTGACTTTTGTTCACGGGTTCTCACCCAAAGCGTTGCGCACACAACAACCGGTAAGCCATGTGCAACTAGCTGTGAGTGAACGCGGGATTTCGACTCCCAATGCAGTCTTGACGAACTCCACAGCATGCGGTGGCAGCACAGACGACAACACGCCATGTTCTCCTCAACGGGCATCAATAACGATACGCAGAGATGTGCTGCTCACAAACGGCAGCAAGGCACAGCTCCCATCATGCCTGCGTGCATGTCCTGTGACCACCGCATTGCATGTACAGCACGCTCAGCCTCGTCCACTCAAGGCATAAAGATGGCAGCGGTGCGGTGTCTTCCTGCCGATTGTAAGCAGCACTTTTTGGCGTGTCGTTCAGAGTATTTGGCTGCTATAAATGTCAACACGAAAAGCCACTTCGTTGACTATCATGTGTTAGCCAGGTCGCTTCTGAAAAATAACTACATAGCTCAAGCAGGCCTTATCTGGTAAAATAAAGGCTTAAAATAAAATTAAAAGAAATAGTTTAATAGCCTTGAGTTTTAACAAATGTTTCCAGCCTGCATGCTGCATTCTCCCTTTGCGACCGGTTGCACGGCAGATTTACCGGGGCAATCCCACTCGCGAATTAGCCCCACGCGTGGGTGCGCTGGCCTTCGTGCGGGTGCTCACTAACTGTGCTCATTACAGACAACCTGCGCAGGGGGGACCTGCATCCGCGTGCGTGTGTGTGTACATGCGCACGTGCGTGTGTGTGTACATGCGCACGTGCGTGCGCGTGACGTGGCGGACGCCGCTCACCCATGGGGATGTGGTCGAGCCCCACGCAGAACGTGTGGTACCCGCGGTCGCACTTGTCGCAGAACATGAGCTGCTCCTCGTGGTGCGGCTGTCCGCACACCACGCACGTCTTGCACTCCATGCACTGCCACGGGTACGTCTTGATGACGGCCACCAGCTCGTTGCTCATGTCCAGGCACGATGGGTGGCCTGCGCGCAACGCGGCCGGTTCAAAAAGTGCAGTCATCTCACCGAACTGGGCCATCCGAGAGAGGTTTTACACATCAGGCTGCGTGTTGAGCGTTGTTCGTCTCGAGCTTTCTCCACGCGCCGCGCCGCTTACCGAGGGCATCCTCAGGAATGTTCAACTCCTGAAGATGCCTGTAGAAGCTATAGTGTATGTCCAGGTTATACATCCCTTGCAAATTACTTGAATTAGGAAACCACATAGCAACACCGCCCGCGCCGAACCCCCCCGTACTGTCACCCATGCCCACTTGCTGGCTGGTGCTGCATTCCATCTGTACCTCGCAGGGACAGCCGCCAACGGGAAGTCCCCCTGGGGCAGGGCGCCTCGAGATCTACCGCACAAGAGGCGCATGCGGTGTACACATTATGCGACGACACTCACCGCTGTTCTCACACTGCGAGCAATGCACCAGCGACTCGGCCTTGCCTTTGCGGTTGTTCTCGCGCCCCTTCAGGCAGATGCCGCACAGGGCGTTGTACACCACTTTGGGCTACGGGCGGCACGCAGGGGGGGGGGGGGGGGCAGTCGCTCGTTATTGCCCGTGACGGATCGGCGCACGCACGTTACAGCTCATGTCACCGGCGGCACAATCAGCAACGCCACCGCCGCCACTTCTTCCAGGCCGGGCCGGGATGAGCGGAGAGAACACGGCGGAGGCGTGGTTTCACGCTGCACGACGGCCGCGGCGCCTCCACGGTCATCCATCAGAGGCGCGGCGGCGCCGCCGTGGCTTGGGTGAGCGCGCGCGCGTCAACAGCGCCAGCGGCCACCGCTGAAACGAAACCTCGCAAAGGTGAGCATTAACGAGGCCAAGAGTTGAGCCTGGAAGAGGCTCACAAGATCGGCCAAACATCCCCACGTGGTCGGACTCTCCGGAAAAGGGAGACTCAAGACTCGACGAGGCTTCACTGAGTAAATGGGTAAGCAAAGGGTATTGTTGTTGTTATTATTATTATAGCGTGGGGCTCGGCTGGCGTTGGGGGAGGAGGGGGGGCAAGGGGAGGTTGCGAGGGAGGAGCGACGCGCCCGGACCGCCACCGCTCGGAGAAGAGAGCAGACAGAGACTGGGGCTGAGCATGAGAACGTTTTAATTCTCCAAGGAAACAGGACAGCACAGCACAGCCGGGAACCGGTCGCAGGCCAAGTACACAGCAAAAGCCGACAAAAGGAGAAGGGAGCGTATTAAAAATGTTTACTCTCTACCGCAATTCCGTGAAGACAGTAAACGACAGTGGTTATTCTTTCTTTTGAAAAAGACAGCAAACGATGCCGGGGACTACGCTACCAAAGTGAAGAAACGTAAAAAAGTGGATAGTATGATAAAATCCTTCGGAGCGGCTACCACCACTCAACAAAGTGCTTCCGTCAATGCGTACACAGACCACGACTCGGAATTCCGGAACACGTCAACGATCTCTTGTAAACAAAATTAAAAAAATAACTACTTCATGCTCACGATAATTAAAAAAAGCTCAAGCTGTTTACTCGTGCTTTTCCAGCGCTACGAAAAGAAAGTGCATCCAAGGGAGAGATCAACGTGCGGTTCAAGCATCCCGGGAAGGATTAGGCCCCCAGTGAGAGCGATCGCACAGCCGAGGAGTCCCCAGCGTCGAGCGGTCTTTGCCTCCGTGTGCGTGCGCAGGTTAGGGATTTGGGTCAAGGATTAGGTTCAGGGGGTCAGGAGATTAGGAGTTCAGGTTGGAGTCAGCAAGGGCTGGGAGTGCAGGAGGAGGACCTAACGTTGGGAAGAGGTTGGGCTCAACGACACAGGTGCTTGGGAATGATCTTATATTTTCTTTAAAAGTGCCTGCGTTTGCGTTACTGATGACATCCAACAGCTATGTTAGTAACAGTAAGAACATACACATACACGACACATCTATGTACAGGGAGGGTATGGCGGTGATCGTTATACAGTTAGTGTTCTGAACACAAAAAAACGTGTCCGGCCATCATCAGCTCGGCTCTGTGTTGCACTGTGTGTGGCTGTGCACTTGGGTCTCTATGAGAAGGAGATCTCTGCTACAGGGGCCACGCGGGTTCCATGGGCCACAGGGGCTACACTGGTTCCGTGGGCCACAGGGGCCACGCTGGTTCCATGGGCCACAGGGGCCACGTGGGTTCCGTGGGCCACAGGGGCCACGCGGGTTCCGTGGGCCACAGGGGCCACGCGGATTCCGTGGGTCACAGGGGCCACGTGGGTTCCATGGGCCACAGGGGCCACGTGGGTTCCATGGGCCACAGGGGCCACGCGGGTTCCGTGGGCCACAGGGGCTACGTGGGTTCCATGGGCCACAGGGGCCACGCGGGTTCCGTGGGTCACAGGGGCCACGCGGGTTCCGTGGGCCACAGGGGCCACGCGGGTTCCATGGGCCACAGGGGCTACGTGGGTTCCATGGGCCACAGGGGCCACGCGGGTTCCGTGGGTCGCAGGGGCGGAGCCGGGGGGGTAACAGGGGTGACATTCTGCGTATAAGGGTACGACAGTCGGTCTGGCGGACTCCGTGCAACTGCATTGTCAGAGTGTGTCGCCAACCGATGGCGTCTAGTTCAACAGCCTGACTCTCTAATCATTCTTGAAATAAAAATGTGTTGAATGTCACCGCGGCCTGAAATCCCGGCTCCGCCCCTGACAGGGGCCACGCGAGTTCCATAGGCCACGTGACCTTTGTGAACTACAATGGCTCGAGAGCTCCGTGAGATCTGTGGAACTACGTGGGAGGTAGGGCACGTAAACCACCACTCATCGGGCAGCGTCAGGACACCACCACGGCAATTGGAAAGGTACGTATGGAAATTAAGGTAAGATGCATGTCAAACAAACAGCTCTCATCTTGTGGCTACACTATTCTGTGTCCTGGGCTGTTCCAAGCAAGTTTTGAAGCTTCTTTAAAGATGCCTTGGAAGTTTCAGCAAAATGACAGCGTAGTTCTCTCTGTCTTGATGTCGCTACAGTGACGTCTAATGCGGGCAATCGTGACCAACTGGGCGAGTGACTGATATCGAATTTGATCGAGGTTCTAAAAAGGAAACAGATCAGAAACCGTGACACGAATATAGTTCAAACTGTAAAAGTTCTACATGTAATTCGCCTCCTGTGGAGTGTGACGCTGAAGCTGAGAGGAAGTGGCCAAAGCCCACTCGTCGCGACCGGGAACGAGCAGAACGGTAGTTATGTCATTCAAACGCTGCACCCGACCACGACTGTACAGGCTGTGTTGTCATCAACGAAGCCTCAAGACCTGCAGCTCTGACCAGCTTGGGACACCGTGGCTTTGGTGCGTATAGCTACAAGGTAAGAGCCGTTTGTTATTTACGTCTCCCAGCGAGAGGTAGAAGGGAGGAGAGGACAGCAGCGGCACTAGGGACGGGCGCCGGCATTCGGCATGCGAGCCTGCGCCGGAGCTGGCGTGGGAACGGACATCGCCGGGACGATGACCGGCGCGACAGCTTGCACCGGCGCCGGCGGCCTGGGCGAGGCGTGAGCCGCAACCTCCGCCGCAAGCGCCGGCACGGCCAACGCCGGGGGAGGGGGGGCAGGGGCCGGGCCGGCGAGCGCCAGGCCGTGCTTGCACGTGCAGGGTGCCGCTAGAATCAGGGGCGGTTTGGCCGGCGCCGGAGCGGCCCGAAGTGGCTTGGGGGGTGGCCCGGGGAGGGGAGCGGTGGGCGGCGCGAGCGGGAATGGCGCGGTGGTTGCCGTGGAGGTTGCGGTGGTGGTTGCGGCGGTGGTTGCGGTGGTGGCGCCTGGCTCTGTGTGCTGCGGTGCGTGCGCCGGGTGCGGCTGTGTGCTGCTGGCCGCCGCCTTCTCCGCTACCTTGTACCCGGGCACCGCCTTGTGCTGCGCCAGGCGCGCCGCTGCCGCCGCCGGGTCCTTGGGGGGGCGGCCGGGCCCTGGGCGCGGGGGGGGCGCCGGCTCCTCGGCAGCATCGCTGGGGCTCTCGCCATCCGAGCTGCTGCTCGTGCCGCTGTCCTAGGTTCGGGAGGGAATGAGATGCGGGGACGGCGCCGGGGACGGCGACGACAACGAACGATCAAACTTCCCGACACACACCCCGCAGGTGGACGTCGCAGTTCGCACGTCCGCACACAACGGCAGGTGGCTATTTACCTCTTAACCAGGCGTGGAAAGATTCATCGGCACCTGTGATTTGCACGGTTGTCTACGTATGGTGCGAAGGTTCAACATACATACATACGACGCTGACTGCAATCAGATCTTTGTAATAAAAGGGTATTCAGTCCACGACGTATTTGTTGTCACTCAGAGCACACGGCTATCACGGAGGGGCCATCTTGGCGTCGCGACACGTGGGTCCGATTATGCGTTTAAGAAGCGATGGGATCCAATTCGTGTCTTCTATGCGGGTGGTTTGTGCGACTCCAAATTGTGACGTTTCACTGCATTGCGGGGAGGAGAGTGCTCCGACCAACGCAATGGTTGTGGGCCAGTGTCCTGGGGAGCTGAGTTCACCATTCACTTCAAGATTAATAATGGTGATGGACAATGACACTGATGATGCAAGTGTGATGGTGATGATGATGCCGATGTGATCAATGATGATAATGATGCGAGAAATAGTGATGCCGATAATGTTGATGATGTGAGAGAGTATGGCCATTATGTCACTGGTGATGATTGGAGGCACGCAGCATTGTGAGAGTGCGCGCATGCCGGTGCGTGCCAGTGTGTGACGGTGCGCGTTTGAGGGTGCACTTGTGATGGTGCGCATAGCGGTGCGGTGCCGCGGTGCTGGTCGTTACGGAGGTCGAGTCGTCCCCGCGTCGCCCCTGCGTGTCTCCGTCTCCGTCGTCGTCCGAGTCGGCGCCGTCGCTGTCGGGCGCCGGCAGCTCAGGGTCGAGCGGCGGCGCGTAGAGTGCCGTGTTCACCGGGAGGTAGCGCAGTTCGCTCGCCGAGTACCTGTGCCCACGCGCAACAACAACGGCAGTGACGACAAAGATGACAACAATCATCCCCCCGCTTAGCCGCGTGCAACGCCGGGGCAAACGCTGTTCGTGAGCGCCTATTAATGCCAGCACACCAATAGCACGGCACACCAAGGGGGGCGAGGATAAGACAGCATGAGGCGCTTCTGAACGCTTTCAATTCTCCAACACCGTTGTCCGAGCTTTGCAACAGTTGCTCAAAGCACTAGCCACCATGTAACCGCTTCGCATACACACATATAAAGACAAAGACCCCCCATATAGCCTTTATACTTTTGGGGAAAGTACTATTCGCGAGCACCCATGAGAGCCAACACAATGCAAGGAGGGTGATCTTTTGAAGTTCTTTCCTTTACATACCACACCAGATACTCTTTTAAGGGGGAGGTCCAAGACCCATTAAAATATTCTGCATTTTTTATTGGCCATGAGCGGGGAATCGAACTCGGGTCGCTGGGTTCGTAGCGTAGCGAGCTAACCACTGCCCCACCGCTCTCCACAATGTTTATGCAGACGCACACACACACAACCCTGACCGCTTGCACCACAGCGACGTACATGTGGTCCACGCTCACCTCTTGTAGTACTCCTGGAACTGGCCCGGAATGAGGGCAACAGGGTAGGACCCGACCTTGGTCTTGTCGGGCGCGATGGCCTTGTACTTGCCATACGGGAACTGGATTGTCTGTTGGATGCCACAGAGGAGACAGAGACAGGCGTGGCTCTGTGTCCAAGTGTCCATGTGCAACTGCCTGCCCATGTGCCTGTGTGGTCTGCATTGACATGGGACAGCAGAAGACCCGTGTGTCCCTGTGTGAGTATGCCCATGTGTCATTGTAGTCTGTGTGTTTGTAGTATTGTGCTCGCAAGTCTGTCTGCTCGTGTGTTTGTGTGTACCTGACCACACGTGTTTGTACGTGTGTCTCGCTAACGGCACTTAAGGCTATATGGGGGATCTTAGTATTAGTACTCAAATTCCAGTATATATCCGTTTGCCCGTGTGCCAATGTCTGTCAACGTCTAAGTGTGCCCGTTTGTGTGTGCATGTCCAAGTGCCTGTGCGTCCACCTGGCTGTGTGTACATGTCTGTAAATGTACCCGTGTGCCCGTGTGTCGACCACGTGCCAATATGTCCACGTCACCGCGTATCCACATCTTTGGACGTGCAAGTGCATCCAAGAGTTCGTGCGTCCGTGTGTTCATGCGCATCTCTGTCCATGAGCGAGTGTGTCATAGGGTCTGTGCGAAAGCCCTATGTCCACACGTCTGTGCGTCCGTTGGGTCTCGATGTGTCCGTGCGTCTCCGTGTCTGCGTGCGTCCCCCCGTGCGTCCGCGTGTCCCCACGTGCGTTTGCAGGTCGAAGTAGGCGCGCCGCTCCTCCAGGCGCTCGCGGTTCAGGTTGAGGTTGTACTCGGCCGCCTTGCGCACGGCCTTCTTCATGTATTCGGGGGCCTTGCCCGGCTCCACCTTCTGGTTGCTCTGCTGTTGCTGTGTTCAGCAAAAACATTCACTCACTCAAATATACACTCAGGTGTTCACTCGCTCATACTTATGTATTCACTCATGTGTTCATTTGCAACTCACAAATGTATGCACTCACTCAATCACCCTCATTCACTCATACACTCACCCAATTACTCTTTGGTTCTTTTGGTAGTCACGTAGAAATAAAATCAATACATTTCCAAAAGATTTGCTAAATTTAGTTTTCTAAAAACTATTTCTCTCTCTAAAAATGTACCAGGCTCTCATAGGGCCATTCGATCTTCTTCTTTCCCTCGGTCGCTTCGGGGTGGATTCATTGACATGCTAATTTCTCTGCTCCAGCAGCAGCCACCAGCAGACCCACCTCTCTCTCTCTGCCCAACCCCCCCCCCCCTCTCTATTTAAGGCCTCGACACAGAGGCATTGGGTCTCTGTGTGTCAAGATTGTGTGTCTCTGTGTGTGTGTCTGTGTTGTCTCTCTCTGCTTGTGTGTCTCTGTGTTTGTGTTTTGTCTCTCTCTCAAATGTAGTTCTACCTGATGACGGTTGCTTGTGTTGACTTTACCGAAAGAACCAAAGAGTAATTCCTGCAGTCACAAAAGCTTCAAATCAAGTTTACTCACCCACTTGTACATTCTCTAGCTCATCCAAATACTCACTTGTTCACTCACCCACCCATCCACCCACTCACCCACCTATACATCAGTATTTTAAAGCAAGCACACATACTTTGTTTATTCATCATCAACACTAAGCATATTTATTTTTCATTAAAACTTCAGCCAAGCACTCACCGAGTACTCCTTGTAGCGGTCGGTGATCCTCTGCCGCTCGCGGTCCTGTAGCACGGTCACGTACTCGGCGTACTTGGTGGGGTACTCCTTCATCAGTAGGTCGATGACCTCGTCGCTGCGCAGCGCCGTCAGCCCTAACACGCGTGAGCGCACAAAACCCATCGGCATCATTTTAATAATTACACCGTGCCTCCCGTGCAGTGACATCTCCTGGGATCCCTGTGGAGGCACAAGGCGATGACCATGCCGCCAGCACACCACGGTCTGCTCCATTTGGAATTACATTTCGAGATCTTTAAGGAAGCAGTATTTTATCGTAAATGCATCCGGCAGCATAAACCAGGTTGGCTGCTGAGCTCAAACCGCGGAAATAGTAAAATGCACTACCGCCGGACCACGTCACTGCCCACCATACAAACGCCGATGTTGGTGAAGGGGCCCTGCCATTTGAGGATGCCCTGGGGGGCTCATTGGTGCTGCCTGACTACCCCAGGGAGTCGTTGTTGGTGCTGGGCCCCGTTTGCTTCGTTCCACGCTGTGCCACGGTGCTGTCCTCTCTCTCTCCTCTCTCCCGAGTTTCTCTGTACTGAGGTTAACGACCCGGCCCATTTGTTGACCTCTCGATGCGACCTAGCGTAGTCAACGAGTGCAAATTGGCACAGCGCAGGGGGCGAAAGGTGGGCCCTGCTTACCCAGCGTGCACTGTGTCTCCGTGATGACGTTGAGCTCGCGCAGGTGGAGCTTCTCCTTGTGTGACAGGTCGTGCCGCTCCAGGTCTAAGTGTCACACACAAAGACAAACATCCCCAGTATTGCCTTTAACAGACTGTACAATTAGCATGGTTGGCTACGTACAGTCCCAAAGATGTTCAACATACATACATACAAGTGCTGTGAGCAAACACCTATGAAGGCCAGCATGGCACACGAGGGGGTAGCTGGCCAATCGGAGAACCCTGAGGAGACTCGTGCAGAATAGGGGGGGGGGGCAACATACAAACTACACACAGAAATGCATCCGAGTCAGGAATTGAACCAAGGTACTTCTTGCTGTGAGGCACAGGTGTAACCACAACAGCACCACCGTGCCACCCAAATTATGGCGATTTCATGAGGATTTTTTACAACTACCAGTGAGGGGGTGGGGGGGGGGGGTCAGAGTAATTGCTGGCACACCTGGGTATTTGCGCTTGAAGGAGGTGACCCCAAGATACTCGCTGATCTGCTCCTGGAGCATGTAGTACTCGCCCCCGTCGTCCGAAGGCCACTTGTACTCCACGAGCATCTCGGCCAGGAAAAATGCTCCACTGCACACCGAGCTACGGAGCGGATTACAATGAAAAAACCTCAATGCCAACAATACTGTGTTGCCTTAAAAAGAAACATCTATCATATGGCCCTTCTTCATAGCCAATAAACAGAGGCCTGTAGAGAGACGGATTGCAAAAAGAGAGGAGACTGCACTTGCTTACACCATAGGGCTTGATGAGGATTACATTTTAAAAATGTAATCTGATGACAACCAGTTTTTAAGAGAATACAATAGATTTAACAACATACAGAACTGTGAAATGCTCTAAGCCTTACCTGCAAGAAAATATGGTACAAGCAGAACTCCGTCCTGTATCTTCACATTTAACTAGAAAATGTTATGTCCATCCGCCTATCGACTTTCCACACCATAATTATCCAGCAACATTTGTTTATGCAAGCAAACTGTGGACCGGTTTTGACCTGGGTCTCACCAGCAGTCAGGCTGCTGCTGGGTTACCAAGTGTTATGAGCAAGAACATTCCATTTAAACCATGGGATCCTATTCATTTCAAAAAAGCAAACGGGTTATACATCTATTATTGATTTTTCGATAATAGTTGCCGTAATCAAATTATTCCACAAGTGATGGGATTGACAATGGAACCTGGTTGCATTTTTGTAAAAATGTAACATCAACCGCAAGCGAATGTTCAAAACGCCCGGCGCCTTCCAATTTGATTGATCGGCAGCAGGCATTATGAGGCAAAAGCGCGAGGGCTCGGCAAGCTACCACATGGTGCGTTCCAACAACAACTGCCATTCGCCACTAAGTGGCGGTGACGTTACCACGACGCTTGTGCCAGGCCATGTGCACCTTGAGGCCACGTGAAGTGTCGAACGCCCGCGGGCAGGTCACGGGGCAGACCCAAGTGTCACGGGTGGACTGACTAAGATGACTGAGATGACTGTCTGATGCACCACCTGTGCCCCCTACTGTGCCCACCTGCTGTGCTTTAGCCACCCGGCGCTCCGCTCGTTGTTGTGAGCGTCGCTCTTCCGCCCTCCGTTGTTGTTGGAGGGCGACTACCTCCAACTTCCCAGTAGCGTCCTTCACGAGCCTCCTCCACAGAGGCCGATCTTGACACCGCTGGTACCAGTCATCGGCAAGTCCACTCAGCTCCACGTCCTCCTGTACCACATCACTCCATCTCTTCTCTAGCCCGTGCCACGACCGTTTAGCCCGCTCGATCCAGCGGAACAAAAGGTGTTTCGGCATGCGGTGGCTGGGCATGCGGGCTACATGACCCAGCCAACACAGCCTTGCCTGCCGGAGGAGCTCACCGATGGGACCTTACCCAGATCTTTCAAGGATTTGTGAGCTCCTCACACAATCCAGCCTGGTTAAACCCAGGATAGATCGTAGGCAGGCTAGCCTAAATGTTTCTAACCGGCGAAGATGTTCCATTAGAGGGGTCCACGTTTCGCAAGCGTAGAGAAGGGAGGGAATGACCGTGGCCGAGAAGACCTGAAGCTTAGTGTGGAGCGACAGACCAGGTAGCTTCCACACAGCGTTACGCAACCGATGAAAAGATATTGCCGCTCGACTGATTCGGAGTGAGACCTCTGCTGTTAAACTGGAGCCCGTCATAAGCACACTGCCCAGGTATGGGAAACTCTCCACTCTCTCCACAACTGCCCCATCACCGATTGGGAGTTGTGGGGGTGGAGTGTCCGATGGTACAAAATACCCAGGCAGGTGATTAGTTTTGGTGGGGCTGATGGCAAGGCCCCATCTCTTAGTGGCACGCTCCAGTCTCAGCAGCAGCGTCTCCAACTCCTCCTCTGAATGAGCAGCTATTACCAAATCATCGGCATACATAACGTGGTTGAGCAATAGGGAGCCATCCCTTGACCGCACCCGAGCATCGATCAGCCTCCCATTATATCTGTACCATATGGAGATTCCCCCGGTACAGCTATTGGAGGCTTCACGAACTACGTGGTCAAAATAGATGCTAAATAATGTGGGAGCCAGAGGACATCCCTGTCGCACCCCAAGGTGTACAGGGAATGGCTCTGACTCCCGGCCACGTAGTTTTACCGGGGCCCGCTCACCATCATGAAGGTCCTTAATGATCGTGAGCAGAGGGTCAGGTACTCCAAAAGCACGAAGAACAACCCAGAGCACAGGCCTACTGATGGTATTATAGGCCTTGACCAGGTCAATAAAGCAGAGATGTAGGTCTTGCTGGAATTCCCTACACCTCTGCTGTAGCAGACAGACAGAAAATATGGCATCTGTGCAGGACCGCCCTTTCCTGAAACCGCATTGGGGCTCCGCAAGCCTCTCCTCAGCGTGCCTGGTAAGGCGATGTTGAATAATCCTTGCCAGGACCTTTCCCGGCACACTGAGGAGTGAGATGCCCTTGTAGTTGTTACAGTCTGTGCGGTCCCCCTTCTTAAAGAGGGGGACCACCAGGGCATCCTTCCAATCCTGCGGAACCCATCCAGTGGTCCACTGTTGTTATGTCATATAGGGCAGTCTGTGCACAAACGCCACCCTCCCTCAGCATTTCGCTTGGGAGATCATCTCTGCCCGCTGCCTTTCCTGGTCTCAGACTCCGGATCGCCTTCAGTACTTCCTCAACAGATGGCACTTCAGCCAGCCACTCACAGGGGTGACTTCTTCTAACATTTGAGGCACCGTAGCCTCAGCAGGGTCATCCTCACTTTGTGCCATGATGTTTTCCTGGCTGAGGGATTTTCCCTCCCCCAGGACCTCACAGAAATGCTCAGCAAATCTGCAAACCTGCTCCTGGGGGTCGGAGATTGGATCACCGTTTTTTCCCCTAATGATGGTAATAGGTGTGGCGCTGCAGGTTACTTTTTTGATGGAGTTAAATAGAGATTTGTGATCGCGGGCCACTGAGGCAGACTCCATCTCCTCAGCAACCCGCGACCACCACCCATCCTTGCAGCACCTCACGGCTCTCCGAACCTCCGAGCGAAGGCTGCGGTAAGCCTCCTCATTCTCTGACGTGGGATTCTGTAGCCGATGACAGTGGGCCTGTCGCTTTTTCTCAACCATCCTGAACACCTCCTCTGTCAGCCAGGGTCTCTGGGGAGGTCTGGACCGCGTACCCAAAGCAGCCATTGCAGCTGCATGAGTCACAGTCCTAAACCTCACCCATTTACCCTCGACATTAGGAGGAGTAAGGGACGATGCCAACCCCAGCCGCGATGATGAAATTCTCGCTTGCAACTTTCATCAGATAACTGAGACCAGGCCACTTTAGGTTGGAATGGGGTCCTGGGTGTACACCCACCACCGGAGTGGAAGAATGGCAAGCGCATCTTACAGATGACTAGTCGATGGTCAGAGGGCAGATCAGCTCCAAGGTAGGTCCTGGTGTCAATGACATGGGCTCGCATCCGCTGGTCTGTCACTATGTAGTCCAGCAGATGTTCTTGCTTGGACCCGGCATGCATCCATGATGTTGTGTGGATGCGCCGATGCCGGAACAGCGTGTTGGAAATTACAAGCCCATGGGCTGCACAAAAATCTAGCAGCCTCCTACCGTTATTGAACTGATCTGGCCCATGCCCTCCAATCACTCCAGACCAGGTGCCAGCATCATGACCAACTCGGGCATTGAAGTCACCCAACAAGATTACTCTATCCCGAGGGGCCACTTTATGCCAGCACCTGTGATAGGAGGTCTTAAAAGGCATCTGACACACCGGCTTTGCCTGCATCCCTCCACTCTTCGCCTCCGGTTGATGGGAAGGCGAGCCCAAAGTAGCCTGGGACTTACAGCTTCCCACACCTCACCGCCACGCTCCTACGCCTCCTTCATTCTTTTGTTCAAAAGAAGAGCCACACCCTGTTATTTGGCAGTCTGCTGCCCCGAGTAGAGGACTGTCAACCTCATGATGGCAGGAGCCAGAACCGGTCCACCGGACCTCCTGAATGCCACAGAGATCCAGGCGGTACCGGTCCAGCTCCCGACAGAGGAGTGGCAGCCTCTCCTCCGCAGTGAGCGTTCAAACATTCCACGTGGCCATCCGTAGTGGCTTTTCATTGTTTCTGGAGGAGCCCCGAGGGTAGAGATTCAATCTCCTGGCTCCGCCAATTAGAGTTTGGCCAGGAGACGTCATAGACGCCTGTCCCCCCGGGGCCTCCGGCACCAGCTTATTAGTTACATATTTCAGTCATAGTTTAGTGGTAATTAATTGAAGAGGGAGGGGTTACCAGCCACTCGCACCCATCCAGAGCCCTTGTTTAGCCACTGTGGTGGACACAGACGCCATGAGGGGAGGAGCCAATCGGAACTGGCCCTCCCCCCACAGCACTGTCCACGACAGAGTTGCCCGTCCGGCACCGCGAGGAGGTAGGGGGTTGTTTTGCCGGACTGCGTTCCAATGGACACGAAAACACACACAGAACTGGACTTTTGTTGTTAGCGATTTTAACATTTGCTGTAAACGTGCAATGGCGGATTAATTGAACGCCACCGGTGAGCTCTCACCTCACGTCCTGGATGGTGTCGCTGCTCCGGGAGCTGTCACCAGACCCCAACCGCCGCCGTTTGGTCGGACGGGTCCCAGTCTCTTGAGCTCCAGCCTCCTGCGTGACGGTCTTCTGAGCTCCAGCCTCCTGCGTGACGGTCTTCTGAGCTCCAGCCTCCTGAGTGTCGGTCTTCTGAGCTCCAGCCTCCTGGGTGTCGGTCTTCTGAGCTCCAGCCTCCTGCGTGACGGTCTTCTGAGCTCCAGCCTCCTGGGTGTCGGTCTTCTGAGCTCCAGCCTCCTGAGTGTCGGTCTTCTGAGCTCCAGCCTCCTGTGTGACAGTCTTCTGAGCTCCAGCCTCCTGCGTGAAGGTCTTCTGAGCTCCAGCCTCCTGGGTGTCGGTCTTCTGAGCTCCAGCCTCCTGCGTGACGGTCTTCTGAGCTCCAGCCTCCTGCGTGTCGGTCTTCTGAGCTCCAGCCTCCTGGGTGTCGGTCTTCTGAGCTCCAGCCTCCTGCGTGACGGTCTTCTGAGCTCCAGCCTCCTGCGTGTCGGTCTTCTGAGCTCCAGCCTCCTGAGTGTCGGTCTTCTGAGCTCCAGCCTCCTGCGTGACGGTCTTCTGAGCTCCAGCCTCCTGCGTGACGGTCTTCTGAGCTCCAGCCTCCTGCGTGACGGTCTTCTGAGCTCCAGCCTCCTGCGTATCGGTCTTCTGAGCTCCAGCCTCCTGCGTGAGGGTCTTCTGAGCTCCAGCCTCCTGCGTGACGGTCTTCTGGGCTCCAGCCTCCTGAGTGTCGGTCTTCTGAGCTCCAGCCTCCTGGGTGTCGGTCTTCTGAGCTCCAGCCTCCTGCGTGACAGTCTTCAGAGCTCCAACCTCCTGTATCAGAACTTGCTGAGCTCCAGCCTCTGGTGCTGTGGTCTCCTCCGCACCAATTTCCAATGCTCCACCAACTTGAGATCGAGCGTCCTGTGTCTCTGACGTCTGCATTTCTTCTTCCTGTGTCACAGCCCCGTGGCCTCCTCTCTCCTGGGTCTCAGACACCCACGCTCCACTTTTCTGAATCACAGACTCCTGACTAGTCATGGACTTGCATGGATCCACCTCATTCACCTCCTCCATCTCCACGTCCTGAGGCACAGACTCGTCATCTCTTGCATCCCCCGTGCTCGTCACTTTAGCCATATGCTCCCCCACGCCCCGTGTTATGACCGCAGAGGTCCCCTCGTTCTTGGTCCCTGCGTCTCTAGATGCAACAGCCCCCACCGCCACTATCACCGTGCGCAATGCTGCCTCTCCGCTTCCCGATGCTGGCTTTTCAGTCGCTGGTGCTGCTGCCAAAGGTGCTGTTGTCGATGTTATTCGTGCTGCTGTTGCTATCATTGGCTCTGTCGATGTCGGTGATACTTCTGTCGATGTCGGCGATGCTGCTGTGGAGGATACTGCTGTTGATGATGCTACTGCTGCTGTCGATGCCGCTGTCAACGTGGATGGTGCTGCTGCCATTGACGCTACTGTCAATGATGCTATCGATGAAGCTGCTGTAGCTGAGGCTGCTGTTGATGATACTGCTGAAGCTGTTGTTGATGTGCATGGGGCTGCTGTCAATGATGATGTTGGAACTGGTGCTGCTGTCGTTGTATGTGGGATATCTGTTGATGAAACTGTCGATGTCGCTGCTGCCAATGATGTTTCTGTCCATGATGCTACTGTTGATGATGTTGCTGCTGGCGATGCTGCTGTCGATAATGTTGCTGCTGTCGATGTTACTGCTGTCGATAATGTTGCTGCTGTCGATGTTACTGCTGTCGACGATGATGTTGCTGCTGTCGACGATGATGTTGCTGCTGTCGACGATGATGTTGCTGCTGCTGTCGACAAAGTTGATGCTGCTGTTGATGATGTTACTGCTGCTGTCGACAAAGTTGCTGCTGCTGTCGACAAAGTTGCTGCTGCTGTTGACGATGTTGCTGCTGCTGTCGACAAAGTTGATGCTGCTGTCGACAAAGTTGCTGCTGCTGTCGACGATGTTGCTGCTGCTGTCGACGATGTTGCTGCTGCTGTCAATGCCGCTGTCCATGTCGATGGCACCCCTGTCAACGTCGATGCAGTTGCTGGCACTGGTGATGGCGGTGGCACGGATGATGATGCTGCGGACGGCGCTGCCGATGCTAACAGTGCAGCCGATGTTAACGGTGCAGCCTTGATTGCTGGCGCTACCACCTCATCGGATACCCCGTCCTCCGCCACAACCACCGTTGGCACCACTGCCGACGCTGGGACTGCTGTCACGTCTGCTTCTGCCGTCTCTGCCACTGTCGTTCCGAGTGCCACCATCTGTGGCACTGCCGCACCCGTCACCCGTGCTTCCGCTTGTGCTACATTCCTTGCTGCTGCTGGTATTGCTGCCTGTGGCTTTCCCGAATCGGGGGCCGCTCTTCCCTGGGTCTCAATCGGCCGGGGTTCAGATTTAGGGGGTAAAGGGCAGATGGGTGGCAGTGGAACAGGAGGAGATGGTGGTGTAGTCCCACCTACACCACTGTCCGAAGGCGGTGCAGCTGTTGCTGCTGGTCGTGGTGCTGGGGCAACCCCCGTATTCTGAGAGCCGTCTTCCTCCTCGGCCTGTCCAGAAAACCACCCGGTTAAAACGCACACGGCGCCTCACAAACGCGTGTTCACAAGGGTCAGGGCATTTCTAGTCAGTTTATGTTTGTGATGGGCAGCAGAGGGCAGTGCAGCAACGTCCATTGTTGTGTTTGCTGCTTCTCGATGCTCCCACTTCTACGTTCCACGCCGTCCCCAACTGGCACTAACCAGCGTGGCGAAGTATGGTCTAATTACGCCACCACGTGCCACCGCACGTCATCGCGAGGCCCTCGTCCAGCAGTGGATGGGCACACGAGCTGGCACCATGTACAAGTAACGCGTGGTACTGTTACAGCTGCTGCCGCCGCCGCCGCCCGTGGTTTTAAGTTTCAACTCAACGATCGCCACCCAGTGGACGAGAAGCCCCAAGCAGAGCACCAATCAGAGAGCACCTGCGGAGGAACGCAGCAAGGGAAGATGCGGGCAGAGTGGGGAGCAACGAAAGCGACTGGAGGAGATGGAAGGAGGAACGTGGTGGGGGCGGTGTGGGGGCGAGGGTGCGGGGGGTGTGGGGAACAGCGAGGAGGGGGGGCAGTGAGGAGGGGCATTGAGGAGGGGGGGGCAGTGAGGAGGGGGGTTACTGGTACTGGGCGGGGTACTGGGCGGGGGGGGGGGTACTGGGCGGGGGGGGTACTGGGCGGGGGGAGGGTGCTGGGCGGGGGGGGGGTAACGGGTGGGGTATGGGGAATTATGAGGGGAGTTGGAGAGTGAGGGAACAGCAGGTGACAGGGAGGGTAGCAATGGGGGGGGGAGGGTAGCAATGGGGGGGTAGCAATGGGGGGGGGGTAGCAATGGGGGGGTAGCAATGGGGGGGGGTAGCAATGGGGGGGTAGCAATGGGGGGGGTAGCAATGGGAGGGGGGGTAGCAATGGGGGGGGGGTAGCAATGGGGGGGTAGCAATGGGGGGGGGTAGCAATGGGAGGGGGGGTAGCAATGGGAGGGGGGGTAGCAATGGGGGGGTAGCAATGGGGGGGGGTAGCAATGGGAGGGGGGGTAGCAATGGGAGGGGGGGTAGCAATGGGGGGGGTAGCAATGGGAGGGGGGGGTAGCAATGGAGGGGGGGGTAGCAATGGGGGGGGTAGCAATGGGGGGGTAGCAATGGGGGGGGGTAGCAATGGGGGGGTAGCAATGAGGGGGGGTAGCAATGGGGGGGGGGGTAGCAATGGGGGGGGGGGTAGCAATGGGGGGGGGTAGCAATGGGAGGGGGGGTAGCAATGGGAGGGGGGGTAGCAATGGGGGGGTAGCAATGGAAGGGGGGGTAGCAATGGGGGGGTAGCAATGGGGGGGTAGCAATGGGGGGGGGGTAGCAATGGGGGGGGTAGCAATGGGAGGGGGGGTAGCAATGGGAGGGGGGGTAGCAATGGGGGGGTAGCAATGGGAGGGGGGGTAGCAATGGGGGGGGTAGCAATGGGGGGGTAGCAATGGGGGGGTAGCAATGGGGGGGTAGCAATGGGGGGGGTAGCAATGGGGGGGGGTAGCAATGGGAGGGGGGGTAGCAATGGGGGGGGTAGCAATGGGAGGGGGGGTAGCAATGGGGGGGGGTAGCAATGGGGGGGTAGCAATGGGGGGGGGGTAGCAATGGGGGGGTAGCAATGAGGGGGGTAGCAAGGGGGGGGGGGTAGCAATGGGGGGGGGGGGTAGCAATGGGGGGGGTAGCAATGGGAGGGGGGGGTAGCAATGGGAGGGGGGGTAGCAATGGGGGGGGTAGCAATGGGAGGGGGGGGTAGCAATGGGGGGGGTAGCAATGGGGGGGTAGCAATGGGGGGGGTAGCAATGGGGGGGTAGCAATGGGGGGGGGGGTAGCAATGGGAGGGGGGGTAGCAATGGGAGGGGGGTAGCAATGGGGGGTAGCAATGGGGAAGTAGCAATGGGGGGGGGGTAGCAATGGGAGGGGGGGTAGCAATGGGGGGGTAGCAATGGGGGGGGGTAGCAATGGGAGGGGGGGTAGCAATGGGGGGGGTGGTAGCAATGGGAGGGGGGTAGCAATGGGGGGTGGGTAGCAATGGGGGGGGTAGCAATGGGGGGGGTAGCAATGGTAGGGGGGGGTAGCAATGGGGGGGGTAGCAATGGGGGGGGTAGCAATGGGGGGTAGCAATGGGGGGGTAGCAATGGGGGGGGGTAGCAATGGGAGGGGGTGTAGCAATGGGGGGGGTAGCAATGGGGGGGGGGGGGGACGCCGGGATGAGAGGATCAGGAGGGAGAAGCAGCCAGAAAGGATGAGAGGAGACGTGAGGAGCAGAGGGCGTAAGAAACAGGGACAGTAAGAGGCAGCCAACCAGGAGAATAAGGGAGCATGGCTAGAAATGGACAGCAGTAGAAGATTAAGCCAGCACGGGGGAGCCGGTGGGGGTGCAGGGGGAGCTGAGGGAGCCGAGGGAGCCGGGGGAGCCGAGGGAGCAGGGGGAGCCGCTCACCGGGTCTCCGCTCCGAGTCCCACCGCCAGACGCCATCTTCCCTCCCCCCCCCACTCCTAATTTACCGGGGACCACGTGATCCACGGAAGCCTCGCGCGGACAACGCGTCCCGAGAAACGCGCTTCGTAAATCCGTGGATGTAAATACAGTAATGGTGCTGCGTGTTGTTATCGTGTCCAGCACGACGCGAACGATGACTCTGCGCGATGCAATGCGCAACTTTGCGTCGATCTGACTCGCAAATTGGAGCTGGCAGTTCACAAACCTGTCAACCCCTTATCAGTGTCTAACTTATTACATAACCAACTCAGACCTTATAGGTCACGCTGTGCCCTTATAAATCTCAACGTCCATCCTACAAAGTCCCATCACAAGGGAGAAACACAAACTATACACTTTTTGTACGTATTGAAACGGCTGTACGCCGTATGGACCTGAAAACTCAATTTCCTTGTGCAAGACTACGAGTAAGGGGCCGTCCATAAATGACGTCACGCGATTTTGGAAGATTTTTGCCCCCCCCCCTCGTCACACGGCGTCACAAAAAGTCAGACCACCCTCAAATATGACGTCACAAAGCTCTGCCCCCCCCCCCAACTATATTTTGAAAATAAAACATGTTTCAAATCGCTTTAAACTATTGTCATTGTAAGTATTTAATGTGGCGCTGCACTCTGATGTAGGAGAAAACATTTATTAAAACGTCTATTTAATTAAGTAGAACGTGTCTGTATTTATTTAAAATTGCGCATTTTGATGTGACGTCACATTTCTCAACCCCCCCCCCTCCGTCACATATCGTCACAAATGTCTGATCACCCCCCCTCCCCCCTAGGTGCGTGACGTCATTTATGGACGGCCCATAAACAGTGTGGGTTGACAGGTTTGAGTTCACCACCAGTGTGAGTGGTGTGAGTGATGAAGCCGGGGGGCTGTAGCGATGAGTCCCTGTGGGTCGGGGTTAGCCGCGCTACTTGTTGCACGCGACTGGTACAGCCTTGTTGACTGTTACTCACGAGATGGTTAGTGTCACAGTGGGCGAGTAAGTGAGTGGGTGAGTGATCAGGTGAGTGAGTGATCGGGTGAGTGATCAGGTGAGTGAGTGATCGGGTTAGTGGGTTAGTGATCGGGTGAGTGATCAGGTGAGTGAGTGATCGGGTTAGTGGGTTAGTGATCGAGTGAGTGATCAGGTGAGTGATCAGGTGAGTGAGTGATCGGGTGAGTGATCAGGTGAGTGAGTGATCGGGTTAGTGATCGAGTGAGTGATCAGGTGAGTGAGTGATCGAGTGGGTGAGTGATCGGGTGAGTGAGGGGGTGAGTGATCGGGTGAGTGATTGGGTGAGTAGGTGAGCAATTAGTTGAGTGATCAGGCTGTTGCCCCTGCGCAGCTACCAGACTGGAACAATGCTCTGCCTTTGCTAACAAGACAGTCGTGAGAGATATTTAAGTCTGTCCTGAAAACGCACCACTTTAAATTGGCCTTCACTCACCCCGAGTCCTGTCCGTGTGTCCTACAGGTTATCTTTGTTTCCTGCTTTCCATACACTGGGGCGCATTGGGAGCTAGGGATGAAATGCGCCACCTTACAAACGTGAATTATTGTTTTGTAATATTAACCCCCCGTGTCAACGCTCAACTAACCAGCCCTGCACTCGTACGGTGCTGGACTAATCGCGTTCGCATCGTCCCAAGGTGACCCCCACACGGCACGAATTGAAGGGACCGTGTTACCCGATTCCACCAGTGAATTATCCTCGTCATTGCATAGCGCTCGTTTTGTCCTCTTGAGTAACTAACTGGAATTGGTTCGAGTCACCACTGCGGGATTATTCCGTGTTTTGTTGTGTGTGGAATTACCGGGGGCAAACGAGAATTTCGCTTGGGCAAAGCTGCCAAAACGTCATGGTTTTTTTGGCAGGGACAAGTTCCAAGACTGGTTTGAGAAAAAAAATATCATCTCACCATTAACCAAGCCTCAGGTGTATTTGCTTGACCAGGCGAGGAGACTCAACAGGTACCACCAGGGTTGTGTCACGGCCCAGCGGTCGGGCGCTCGCCGCTCTATAGCTAGAGGTTCGCTGTTCGAATCGAGCGGGCCGCCCTGATTATTCCTCCGGGTGTAATAATCGTAAGTGACCCGTCACCAAACGTGACAAAAGCAAGAATATCTTTAGAGGGCACTGACGCAAACGGAAAAATCAAAGCAAAGACAGATTGTAAATGTTGTGGCTTTGCTCTCCAACACACCGGTGTGCTGTACTCGTAACGAATTGGCTAGGAGAAATCGACAATACCTCACAAACATTGGTAAACAAAATAATGTTTGGACACGTTACTTTTATAAACCGCTCATAGTACAATTCAGTTGTCGAAACATGGGTCACGGCAGGCGAGGTCTTGGGTCGCGGGCCATAGAGCAATAGCGACCTCTGTTGATAATATATGGTGCTGCAGGGGATTTAGTTAAAAACGTAATAACTGCGTAAATGAATGATTTACCTGCGTGAAGAGGGACGTGCGTGGAGTAATCCGTGGTGCATAACGTGGATCGGAAGCACAGAACTCTGACACGGGGGAACGTAACACAAGCTGGCAACAATACGCAAAGAAGCGCGGAGAGGTGAATGCTCGGAATTTCAGTGAGTGACAGAAACATAGAGGATGCGTGAAACAAGAGAACGCGATCAGTGACCCTTGAAAAGGGTAAAGTTGTCCTTTGCCGGACACACGTCGCTGGAAGGGCTCGGCGGTGGGCGATGGGTGAGACTGGTGACAGACGAGCAGCCAGGCGAGTACTTACGTACGTATGTTGAACTTCTTTCGCACAGTACGTAGCCAACCGTGCCAATCGGAGGCGCGTGGAAAAGGACAACGAACTAAACACACGCAAGAAACATTTCCAAAAGGTGAGTTTTCAATCCTAACTTGTGACAACGGAGAGTGCGAACGTCGTGGAGACGGAGAGATGGGACGTGCTGGTGTGCAGGAGTTGGGGGGGGGGCTGTGGCATGAAGAGGCATAGCGACGGCTTAGAGGGGCTCGAGAATTCAAGTTTGCCACAAATGTGGTCGGCCTCTGTATGGTTTTTAACCGGAGGCAAATCCAACAATGTTTCGTTACATTTCGTTCCAAAATGGAGGATGCGACGGTTGATTGGTTTCACTCGGGGCTGTCTAAAATCCCAAAATTTGGTTTTGAGTCTCGTGTTAAATCGCTTACAAATATAAATCATTCTCAGTGAAGCATGTAATTCGCCTGCCGTGAAGCATCCCATAGAAAGCATGCAATGCCCGCTACCTATATATGTGTATACATTATATATACATACGCGCACAAAATGCACAGAGTGCACACGCGCCTGTAATCCAGCTCTGTGGAGGCAGCAGCAAGGGTTGATCACTCAATTGTTGACAAATTTCCCTTCCCCTTAAGCTTCGAGGAGGTGCCGTACCCTGCCAGGAGAATGTGGTGCAAGTGTAGTGGGTCAGAAACCAGGGGAGACACTAGTTGAGGCAACACGATATGTATTACTATTTTTCTACAGGGCCCCTAACACAAAGGGGTAGCGGCCCCTTTACCCGATACCTGAGGTATGGCCTCCGGGCTACACTGCCCTAACACCGGGGACCCTGCTAATTCCCCGACCTCCAGCTGAGGCCCTAGGGGAGGCTATGCTGACACGACCGTGCCCGGGTCGTCGGGTCCTGACCATGGGCCTCACCGAGTTCCGGCCCTTAGAAGGACGACGAGCTTGGGGTCCAGGGTCCTAGCTTCAGCCGAGGTCTTCGGAGTGGAGGAGACTGACACTCTATCGTTCAGAGGTCCGACTTATATACAGGTCTGCCCCGGCCCCGCCTTCCTTCCAGAACCTTCCACCAGGTCCTGGAAGGGTGACGTCATCCCCCAATCCCCTCACCTCGGGTTTGTGGATTGTGTCCCAGGATCCGTTATCCCAGAGATCACCGTTGTTCCCTTTTGCCATAGTCCCTTAACATAAGCGTAGCCACTCTTCCGCCCCCTGTTGACCCAATAGTGACGCTACCCGCTGACGACATGGGGAGCGCGGAATAACATCTCCACACAAGCAAAGTGTGGGGACTAATGCCCATCTGTCCCTTCTGTGTTGGATAGAGCGTTTTATGTATGTATGTTGAACTTCTTTCGCACCTTACTATTGCTACTGTTGCTGCTTCTGTTGCTGTTCTTGTTGCCGCTTCCATTATTGCTGCTGTTATTACGGCGTCTGTTGCTTCTGTTGCTGTTGTGTATGCCTTTGATCAAGAGCCATGTAAAGAAGCCCCACTGGGCAATGCGGAATGTAGCGGTGTGTCCTCCTACATTCATGAATCGGTTACAAACGTCTTGACATAAACATGCGCGCGCGCCTCCGTGTCTGAGGATCGCACGGCGATGTGGTTTATGACGCTGATAATCTATACAAACTCAATGTTGATTTTAGAGTACACACGGAGAGCAACACACAACGGAGTTAAAAGTGCACGCGCCCCGTTAATTAACTTTCGTGTGCCTCTTTATTTATTCAAAGCTGAGCTACTTTTGGCCAGGCCGCATCACTCGGCAGGGCCATCGGAGCGTGTCTGGCTTGTGTCATCATAGCCAGGGCAACGCCAACCCCAACTCCATCCCTAACCTCGAACACTATCCGCCCTTTCCCGATCAGTCATCCTAACGCGAACACGAAACCTTGCAGTATTCCCAATCCATTATATTGCTCCCACACACACACACAGACAGTTGCACAGGCGCCGAGACGCGAACACACACGCGCATACATACACACACAGCTACTCACGCAGAACCACACATACCGTTGTTACACGCAGACACATAACAGTTACAAACACAGAACCGCAATTACACACACAAATACGGGTACGTAGGCAAACGACCCTCCCCGTATAGCCTTTTCAGGCCGCCGTTGGTGCAATTTATGTTTGCGAGCACCGATAGCACTCACACACAGACACAGATAAAGATCCCCCGTATGGGGCCGTCCATAAATGACGTCACGCACCTAGGGGGGGTCAGACATTTGTGACGATGTGTGATGACGTGGGGGGGGGGGGGTGAGAAATGTGACGTCACATAAAAATGCGCAACTTTAAATAAATATAGACAACACGTTCTACTTAATTAAATATACGTTTTAATAAATGTTTTCTCCTACAACATCAGAGTGCAGCGTCACATTAAATACGCACTACAATGACAATAGTTTAAAGCGATTTGAAGCATGTTTTATGTGTTTTTTTGGGGGGGGGGAGCTTTGTGACGTCATATTTGAGGGGGGGTCTGCCTTTTTGTGACGCCGTGTGACTAGGGGGGGGGGGTCAAAAATCGTCCAAAATCGCGTGACGTCATTTATGGTCGGCCCCTATAGCCTTAACAGACTGTTGGGGCAAGTGCTGTTCGCGAGCACCTATGAAGGCCGGCACGGCACACGAGGTGGTGGGTTGCCAGCACCACGCCCAGCCGCTTTTGTCTCCCCAGTGGCGATTTTAAACACCGCACCAGGTACTCATTTGAGGCTGAGTCGACCTAGGGGAGGCCCAGAACCGGTTCAGGTAATCGTCATCGGTGTTGGTGACCGTGAGCGGGAATCGAACTCGGGTAGCCGGGGTTCGTAGCGCAGCGCATTAACCTCACACACACAGTCACACACACACCGTACAGACCGCTATTCATGAGGCCCCCCCGGTTCAGTCTCCCCGGGCAACTACTCCCCTCGGCTCGCCCCGGTGTAATCGGATGAGGGCGCCGAGGAGAGGACACGGGAGAAAGCATTTTCTCTCCTTGCCTCCTGGCCAGGACCCCTATACCACTGGACTCCTGTCCACTGGACCCCCGAGAACTGGACCCTGCATTCGGGGATTTGGGAATTCTGGACACGCACACAGGTACGGGTGGAGAAACCGGTCATCGCGCACCAACAATAACAACAAGCGACATTTGTTACTTTTCAAAATGCAAACTCACCGTACGATCTTGTGAGTTTGTTGTACAGTATTTTACGTGTTTGCGTTGAAAGGGTTTACAATTTACAGGGAGCGCTGCTGCCAACAATATCTGTAAACCCAGGAACATCCGTTTCACAAAGCTGACTCTGCTGATGAGACACAGAGGGTGGAAACCGGTCCGGAAATAGTTTTGCTTGTTTAAACATGCGTCTGGATTATGTCGGTCTGGTATGCTCCCTTTTCACCACCCCGCACTGACCTGCGTGGTGAAGTATGGTCAATTCTCACGGCCCGTACGGCGGCGTGGGGAGGCCGTCATCCAGCAGTGGAGTGCCAACGTGGTTAATAATTACTGTACACGTCTAAGCGTGATGTATTTTACGCTAAAGGGCAGATTTTTAAGGGAGACGCGGCGGGTAGTTATTTTAATTCGTGCCTGTGCTCATATATACTCCATCGCTTAACTCCATCATTTAAAATTTGTGCCACAACAAAATTGAAAAGTGGGTGATTTATTTGTAACACCATTATTCCGCTTATTTGCCCACGAAAGCCTCACCGAGTCTAATGACTCAGTTTTTCAAGAGGCTCCTGCCAAGTTTACACAGTAAGGTGGGGGCGGGAGGTGATGCTGCTGCTGTTGCTTTGTGTAATCCCAATTGGGTCATTTTGCAGGCGATGTCTCAGAATTGGGGATGGGGTGGTTTGGGCCCTATCCCATTTACATTGCGGGTGTGGTTTGTTTAGTTGTGGGGGGAGGGAACCGGAGAACCCGGAGGACATTCATAAACTGTCTCCACGCGTCGTCCTCATGACAGTGGCCGTCTCTGGAGGCGATCTCAAACAATGCCAGCGTTGTTTGTGCTTGGGGGGGGGGGCTGTGCGTGGTGGTGTTGTTGTTTGTCCTGTGGTTTTGAGCAAATGAGATGGAGAGGAGAGCGGGTGGATCAGTGGTTTGCACAACTGCACTTGCATATTATTGTTATTATATCCAATTGCCCGAGAGCAGCCCGAGTCTCAAGAAATGTAAATAAATTATTTGGACATGTTGCGTTGGCAGTGGTGCTTTAACACACTTAAAGAAGGGTCGTTGCCCGGAACGTCGCCTATTTTGTGTTATGTGATTGCTGACAATATGGAGCGGCAGCTAATCTACCACTCACGCAACGGCCTCGTGTTCAAAGGCGCCAACTCGTTTAACCTTCGGCGCAATGCTTACCCGGGCAATAAATATCCCCTAGATAACCCCTATACGCTCACTCACCTGTGCAGGTACATACATGACACACCCATAACACACATGCGTGTGCAGCTATATGAAGATAAATACAAACATCCTCCGTATAGCCTTTAACAGACTGTAGGGTCAAGTGCTGTTAGCGAGTCGCACCTATGAAGGTCGGAATGGCACACGAGCGAGTGGGTGGCCAGCACCACACCCCCACACACGCATCTGTATAGGTACACAAACACACGCACCTGTGCAGGTACACACACGTGTAGGCATAAACACCTGTGTAGGTGAAGGTACGTGCATACACCTGTACAGATACACACGTGTAAAGGTGCATACGCACACACCCCTGTGTAGGTAGTCACACATTGTTTGTGAAACGTTACCCGGTAATGCGGTAATCGTTGTATGAACGGATTAACCGGTTCGAACGTCTGAAACCGCTAATCGATTCGAGTGGATTTTTTTTAATTGAATGAACCCGCTGATTGGCACGTGCGAATGTACAAATCGCACGGCGGCAGGCCGAATGGTAAATGTACTGTATGGGTGAATTAATGATAAAGGTGCAGCCCTGTAATTACTTGTTCACCCCACTGATGGCGGAAGGGGCCTCCACTCGAGGGAGCTCTGGAGGGCGTTTGGCCTACTCTTCAACGCTTACGAGACGTGCAGGCAAAAGAGGTCGGCGTACCCACACTTTACCCCACAATATGCGAGCTGGCGATCGATTGACTAACTGCATGGCGTGTTACTCAATTCCACAGATTCTCCGACCGTGGCAGCTCCCTTCATTTCTCAGATGAAAGAGTAAAAACAAAAGTTACGTCTATTGCTCTCGACATTTCTGTGAGTGCGGAAATTCGGTAACCGTTTTTTACCGGTTTTGTCATTCGGTTACCGTTGTTTCACGCGGTTACCGATTTAAGCTACCCTAGGGGCCGTTCATAGATGACGTCACGCGATTTTGGACAATTTTTAACCCCCCCCCCTCGTGAGACAGCGTCACAAAAAGTCCGACCCCCCCTCAAATGACGTTACAAAGCTCTGCCCCCCCCCCCCAACCATATTTCAATTTTGAAAAGAAAACATGCTTCTATTGTCATTGTAGTGCGTATTTAATGTGGCGCTGCACTCTGATGTTGTAGGAGTGTTGTTAGAACAATTCTATATTTATTTAAAGTTGCGCATTTTGACGTCACGTCACATATCTCAAACCCCCCCCCCCTCGTCACAAAAATCTGACCCCCCCCTCCCCTAGGTTCGTGACGTAATTTATGAACGCCCCCTAGTACATTCACACCTTTGCAAGTTGTATTGTCCGTCTCGCGTGTTATGGTGTTTGCTCTGTTCTCGTGTTCCGTTTCGCGTTGTTCCGGCACGTTCTATTTCGCCTCCTCTTCCCGCTGTATTGTGAAAAGCGCTGCCCAGGTAGAGGCAGGGCTGCGCTGACGCTCCCCAGCATCTCCATGGTAGCGGGCAAGGTGCACCACAGGTGTAATCTGCCGCCGCCCGGTAAGAGATAGCTCTACAGACGGCACAAACGAGACATACATCACACCAGTGGGCTTTCTCCGGGCGCTTCTGTTTGCCTCCACGTGTATTCATTGGCCGATGCCACCTGAATTATGTAGAGGACCGCAGAGCTTGGAGGGGAGGTTGGAGGATGGGATTTGGCGGCGCGCCGGCTAACCGACTGGCTGCTGCTGCTGCTTTTGCCTTCCCCGTCTGTGCTGTGGTTCTTCTTCGCGACCCTTGAGACAACCTCTCTCTCTCTATCTCTCACAGTTGCGAGTTTAAATCATTGGCGGAGTTTGACTTATATATTTGGTGAGGTGGGGGGGGCGCGCAGGGGTTAATTTTGCCCCTCACATTAGGAATTAAATGAAATAAGGTGTTCTGTTTGGGACGCCCCCCTCCCGCCGCCCATGGAATGTACAATTTGTAATCACCTGCTCGGTCATCATTAGACCTCCTTTGCCAGTACCAAAATATAATAATAGGGGTTTTCGCCCTTTTTTCTGGCAACAAAACTGAAACCTTTTTACGAGGATTCATGTTACTGCATTAACCACAATACCTGCAATCAAAATGCAAACAAAAAACATACTATGATAATATATGCATTGTCCTTGAAACTGATTGGTCCACACCATGACGCCTTTTGACGTCATCTGGTCGAGCACCAATTGGGTAGAGGCTCAAAAGAAAGCCGTCCCTTGGTGTGGACCAATAAGGACAATGCATATATTATCATAGTATGTTTTTTGTTTGCATTTTGACTGCAGGTATTGTGGTTAATGCAGACATGAATTATCGTAAAAAGGTTTCAGTTTTGTTGCCAGAAAAAAGGAGAAAACCCTATTATCACCTGCTCGGTGTTCCGAGGTCGGATTAGACGGGGGCGCATTCCTCTGAGCTGGTCACGAGCAGTCAGAAAAAACAAATACTAGAGAAGGCCACGCAACAATAGGGCCCAAAGCGTCCTGTGATATTAATCTGTGCCGCCACCACCCACTCGGTGTGAATTGGAGCTTCCGCGGATTTCTACCCGCGCCACGTGTCTCCAGCCGGTGGCAGCAGATTACACCTGTGATTCACCTTGCCGTCACCATGGGGATGCTAAGCTGATCCTTATCTGGGGAGGCGAGGGTACTTAGGTGGGGGAGGTACTGTAGACAGTCGAGGCTGAGCACGAATGGATTTCTTCCTGACTCAGCGATTCTATTGCCGATTCGATGCCACGTCTTCATTTGACGCCATCACTCGTGCCGTCTCATTTGCGTTGCTCTGTCTCGTGCGCGCTGTCGCGTTTGTATTGTATCATTTGTATCGTTTCGTTTTGTGATGTCTCGTTTGTATTGCCTGTCTCGCCTGCCCTGGTCCAGTTTGTATTGCTATTTCTCGCCCACTACTCTGCACTGCATGCTCGCCAATCCGACCGATTCAAGCGATATGCTGCCCATCCATTTCTTCACCCCCTTTGCCGGGCTGGCGAGAACCACCGAAGGCCGAAACCGGTCCTGAGTGTTCCTTCCTTGGACAACAACAAACGCCGCGGTGCGTTCCCGCGCAGTACGAGGCCGTAACTAGGGGCGGGGGGGGGGTGTTGAAGTGGACAAATAATTACTCCACTTTTCTAATTAACATACGTCGGTAGGGGGGGGAGCAATGAAGAATCTGGGTGCCGCCTACCTACGTGGAGGCGTTGTGGATAGGGTCGTGCGCTACGTATTCTACTGTAGCAACTGTGTTCATATGGATGGACCGGTCCCCGTCATGCGAATGTGGAATGTGCGCCATCGGCTCTGGGTCTCCAACGGGGTTAAGCGCAGCCTCCCTCCTCCGCCGGTTTGGCTTTGACCGCTCAGTGCTTGCCCGCCCAGGTGAGCCCACCTGCCCCGCCAGGTGAGCTTTACCTGATTGGCCAGGTACAGACGGAGGCGGGGCCTATACCGTTACCTTCAACCACCGTGACCGCCCCCTCCACCATCATCAGCCCCAATACAACCACGACCACCTCCCGACCACCTCCCCACCACCCACGATCGCTGGACCACCGCGCGCAATCCAACCATAACCACCCACCACCATCACGACCAACACCCCAGCCGCCACCAACCATACGCTGCAGTAATATCCACTTCAAGCTGCCATCACCACCGAATATTGTGCCACCACCAGCAACACCCATGATCCATATACCAGTACCACAACCACCACCACAATCCCGATACCTATACCACCACCACTCGAATCGCCATTCCAACACCAGCTACCACCACTCCACGCCATCTCCACCATCACTACTTAAACCCCATTACTACCACCGGCACCACCTTCCTCAATCCTCCTTTCTCCCACCCCCCGCCTCTGAGCTAAGCTGCCGCCAACAGCCAATGAATGTCCGTGTCGGGCTCGGGGCAACGAGGCGGTCGCCTAGCTATAGGTGCAGCAATAAATAGCAGCAGCAGCAGCTGTAGTAAGAAGAATAAGAAAATAATGATATAATCCGCGTGAGCCATAGAGAGCAGCCGGTATTTACCTGTGCGAACAGGAAACCACCACCACCACCATCCCTCCCCTACTGTGGGTGCTCGACATCCTACACGTCGCCTCCTCCTCCTGCCTGTCGTGCGTGTCTGTGTGCAAGATCGCGGATGCGATGTAGGTCTGCGCTATAGGGGTTGCGAGTGAGTGAGTGAGTTCATCTCTCACGCACGCCGCCAGCTCCCACCCCCTCTCTCCAACTCTCTCACACACACAAAGCTCTCCACCATCACCACCAAGCGTTGCCCGGCGGCAGTGGTGGTGGTGAATGGTAGAAGCTCTGTTAGCCCTCGTCACCTCGTCGTTCGTCTCTCACTCCGCTCTCTCTCTCTCTCTCGAGTTGTATAATCGTCTGTCCTATCGCGTGCGAGTTGTGGAGCGTTCACCGCTGACGCTTTCACGCTTCCTCAACTATTCACCGGTGGGAGTGGTCTCGGTTTGTAAAAGAGAGAGAACGGAGGTAGTTTACGGTTTAATTATTTCCTTTAATGTCTTTCACCTCGACCGTGGGATGACGAAACGAGGAGAGATGGGATGAGAGAGGACATGACGCGAGAAGAGATGAAACGAGGTGAGATGATTACGAGCTGCTGCTGCTGCACGCGTATCCGTGGCGACGCGTGCGTTGTCGGCGTCTGCTGGATCTTTCCTCGGTCACGTCGAAGTCGGACTGACCAGAGGATCCCAGTTGGAGTCCACGTGTGGCTATTGCTGGTGAGCGTGGTTGCCGTGGCTGGCGAGGGCGAGGTGAGGGTGGTGCTGACACTGGTGATCGTGGTGTTGGTAACTGGTGAGCTGCTGGAAATGTTGACGGTGGTTGCTGCTGGTGAATGGTGAGGGTGCTGGTCTTTTCTCCTGTTGGTGAGGTTGAATAAGAGTTGTGGTGGTGGTGTTGGTGGTGGTAACTGGTGAGCTGCTGGCAATGTTGACAGTGGTTGCTGCTGGGTGAATGGTGAGGATGCTGGTCTTTTCTCCTGTTGGTGAATAAGAGTGGTGTTGGTGGTGGTGGTGTTGGTAACTGGTGAGCTGCTGGCAATGTTGAAAGAGGAAGGTTGCCGCTGGTGGTGCTGATAGGTGAGGGTTATGGTGTTCTTGACTGGTGAGTGGTGGAAGTGCTGCTGGTGAGTGGTGAGCTTGCTGCTGTGTGGTGAAGGTAGTGGTATTGCTACTGGTGAGTGTGAGAGTTGTGCTTGCTGGTGACTGGTGAGTGGTGAGCGTGATTCTGCCGCTGTTACCGATGAGGGTGCAACTGCTCGTGTGAGGGCGAGTGTGGCGTTAGTTGCTGGAGGGTAGTGGTGAGCGTGGTGCTGCTGCTGCTGCAGTGGCAGTCACTGGTGCATGTGGTTGTGCTGCTGTGGCTGGTGGCTGTGGAGGTGGTGGTGGCTACGGTGGTGAGGTTGTTGTTGCTGCTGGTGGTGATTGTGGGAGTGCTACTGGTGTGGCAATTCACGAGTGAGTGGTGGTGCTGCTGTGGTTGGTGGCTGTGGAGGTGGTGGTGCTACTGGTGGTGAGTTTGAGCGTGGTGGTGGCTACGGTGGTGATGTTGTTGCTGCTGGTGCTGATTGTGGGAGTGCTACTGGTGTGGCAATTCACGAGTGAGTGGTGGTGCTGCTGTGGTTGGTGGATGTGGAGGTGGTGGTGCTACTGGTTGTGAGTTTGAGCGTGGTGGTGGTTGTTAAGATGGTGCGGTTGTTGCTGCTGGTGGTGAGTGATTGTGGGAGTGCTACTGGTGTGGCAAGTCATGAATGAGTGTGGTGGTGCTACTGGTGGTGGGTTCGAGCATGGTGGTGGTAAAGGTGGTGCGGTTGTTGCTGCTGGTGAGTGTGGTTCTGCCAGCGAGGATGCTGACACTGGTGCTGGTGAGCGTCGTGTGACTGCTGATGAGGATATTGCTCCTGTTGGTAGCGGTGCTGATGATGATGTTGCTACAGCTGCTGCAGATCGTGGCCGTGCTGCTGCTGTGAGGAGCGGTCGCGTAGCGGTTAACGCGTTGTGCTACGAACCCTGCGACACGAGTTCGATTCCCGTTCACGGCCAACACCAGCGACGCTTATCTAAATCGGTCCTGGGCCTCCTCTAGGTCGACTGGCTGGGCGTGATGAAGACCACCCATCCCCTCCTTCGTGTGCCGTTCCGGCCTTAATAGGTGTTCGCTAACAGCACTTGCCCCAAGAGTCTGTTGAGGGCTCTACGGGGGGATCTTTTCATTCGTAATAACTGGCCCCAAGCCAGACCTCGCGTGCCCTGGTCTGGGCTGGGCGGGTGTTGGACGTGTTTAGTGTGCGTGTTTAGTCTGTGTTTTTACAGCTCTTTTGTCAATCCACTGCTGGATGAAAGCGAACCCACGCCGTGCCTGTTGCTCGGAGTGTCTGACCGCGTGCTCAGGAGGCGGCTCGTGTGGCTACTCTGGGGGGAGGGGGGGGTAGAGCGAGTGGCTCGCAATCGGAATGTTGCGGGTTCAAGCGCGGGTTGGGGTTGGATGGGGCTTGACTCAGCCCACTCTCCATCCGAGCTCCATAGAATGGGTACCTAGTTGTGTGGAAGTCCACAGTGGTCGTCTTGTCTTGGATTCACCCAAAAATGGGTAGGGGGGTGATTGACCGCCCGCCTCCCCCTCCACGAGACCCCAGAAATTGTTTAAAAGGATTCATATTTCTGTACCGCTCGATCACTCCCCTTACCTCACCAACCCAGGGAAGTTTGTAAACCCCCCCCCCACCCCGCCTCGCCATAGGAACGTGGAATTTCCCAGCGTGGCTCGTTTGTGGCGTAGCAGACACACTCCGTGGTGCGTTTACGAGCGCTCGTGTGAGCTCACAATCGCACCGCACTCTCACACTGGCTGCCGCTGTGTCTTGGGGGGTAATGATTCACGCGAGGCGTGGGAGGAGGGGTTGGGACGGAGAGCGCGGCGGGACACAACGTGGAGCATTTACTGCGTGTGGTGGGGCTAGGGGGGGGAAGGTGGTGGCGGGGGAGGGTGGAATTCGTGGTGCGTGATGACGCGGGGGGTGGTAATTGCTGATTGCGAGACGCGGTCCGGAGCCCCGAGTTGAACAAGGGCTTTCCTTCTCCTCCTACGGGGTTACTGGACACTGCTGCTAACGGCTCTGGGCGATTGCGCACGCGCGCGCGTGTGTGTGTGTTTGAGTTCAAAGGCAAAGATCCCCCGTGTAGCCTTAACAGACTGTTGGGGCAAGTGCTGTTAGCGAGCACTGATAAAGGCCGGCACGGCACACGAGGCGGTGGGTGGCCAGCACCACGCCCGGCCGCCTTCGTCTCCCCAGTGGCGATGTTTTCACATCACACCAGGTATTCATTTGAGGCTGAGTCGATCTAGGGGAGGCACAGGACCGGTTCAGATAATCGTCACCGGTGTTGGCCGTGAGCGGGAATGGAACCTGGGTCGTCAGGTTCATAGCGCAGTGTAGCGCTAACCGCGACACCACCGCTCCCCAGAGCTACACGCACGGTAGTGTAGCTGTATGAGCGATGCCCCACGAACCTGGTGAGATGATTCCCTATTCCCGCGCCCACGGCCACCGACACCAGTGACGATTAACGGGCTGCTGGGGCAAGTGCTTTGAGCAAGCAGCAATGAAGGTCGGCACGACACACGGAGGCGATGGGTGGTGAGCACCACGCCCGGCCGACCCGGCTGGCTGACTCACCAGTGCCGATGCTTAACGCACCGCGCCAGGTGCCCACTTGAGGCTGAGTCGACCTAAGGAAGGCCCAGGACTAGTTCAGATATTTTCATCATCAGTTGCCGGCTTCATGGCACAGTGCGCCAACCAATTCGCCACCGCTTCGCACACACATAGAGTTACACACATTTACACAACACACCCGTGGTTAAATACACGCACACACATACCAGAGACACGCACGTGCACACAAATGCCCCCATTGAACTCACGGTTGAACATACACACTCATGCATCCGTCATCGTTTACAGAATCTGACTGGCTCGATTTTGCAACAATATTCCTCCGTCTGTTTCGTCGCTCTTTCAAGTTACAAACAATACCGACGGACGTATCACTTATCAGCCCTGGTCAATCCACTGCCGGATGAAGGGCTCCCTCCAACAAGCTGTTCGTCGTCTCACGGACCCGCGATGCAACAATCGTACAGACACGCGTCTAATTTAAATTAACTCCACTGCTGGATGAAGGCCTCCCCCCACGGCGCGTCGGCCATTGACGGTTGTTTGACCATACTTCGCCGCTGGTCAGTGCGAGTGGGTGAATGCGGGGAGCATAGAAGTGCAGCGCAACGAGTGATTTAGCCGCACCGCCCCCAATTTCCCACAACGGAGCCCCTGCAGCCTATAGCACCTGTTTCTATTTCAACGTACGATGGTGTCCCATAAAAAAAAAACACACTTTCCATACTCAACCCTGCTTTAACTTCTCAGGTGTGACGAGACCGGGGTGTATCACGGGTGATTTGACCGTACGGAGGTGGCGGTGCGCTTGCCTCACCTCGGCAAACAATGTCACCTGTGGGGAAGGTCATCCTCCGCCCCCCCTAGGGGACCCGCCGTCTCAATGCGAGCGCACACACGGGGGGGGAGAGGGAGGGGGGGGGCAGACAGCTGAGCCAGGTGCGGTGCTGTGCCAGGTAAAAAGCCCGCGCACCTGCGGGTATAGGCCGTGTGGGTGGCAGGGCTGCCTCAACATCGTCAACATCATCGCCATTGTTGTTATCATCATAATAGTCACCAAGACATCAACGCCAGCATCATCATCATCATTAACATCGTCAATGCCAGCACCGTCATTACGAGCACCATAATCAACAGCTATGCTCGGCTATCAATCGCGTCTGTCACTGTGCACCGGTCTTGGAGCCTGATGTGTGTATGTGTGCACGTGTGTGTGAGCGGTAGTGTTAGCGGTTAGCGCGCTGCGCTATGAACTTGACGACCCGGGTTCGATTCCCGCTCACGGCCAACACCAGTGACGATTATCTGAACCGGTTCTGGGCCTCCCCTAGGTCGACTCGGCCTCAAATAAGTACCTGGTGCAATGTATAAACATCGCACCAGGTACTTATTTGACAAAGGCGGCCGGGCGTGGTGTTGGCCACCCACCCCCTCGTGTGTCGTGCCGGCCTTTATAGGTGCTCGGTAACAGCACTTGGCCCTACAGTCTGTTAAGGCTTTTGGGGGCATCTTTGTAGCAGATAACACACTGAGCTACGGACCCGGGGACGCGAGTTCAACCACCGCTCACGACCAGTAACTAGTGGCGAGTATTTAAACCGGTCAGGGGCCTCCTCGAGGTCGACACTGGAGCGACAAAGGCAGCGGGGAATGGTTGTGACCCCTCCCCCAAAAACCATCTTGTGCCTTGCCAGCTTTAATAGGTGATCGCTAACAGCACTTGACCCAGCATTCGCCAAGGCTGCATGGGGGATCTCGCCATTGTTTACATACTGCAGCTTCACTCAACGCGGTGCTTGCCATGCGTTTAATGTTCGCTCCCCGTGACCATGCAGATTTCTACAAGAAGCCTCCGGCCCCAAACTCTCGGGGTTCGGGTTTGCCTCCTGTCTCCAAGTCTACAATCATTGCCGTCAAACGCTGCCGTTCGTTTGCTTTGGGTTTTAAGTCAAACAATATTTCTCCTCCCACTCCCTTCCCTTTCGGACTTGCCGCATAGTTGAGATCTCACGGGTTAAAGTCCTGCTTGCTGAGGTCACCGAGGGTTGGTTCTGTCTTGGTATTGCTGGGAGGACACAGGCGGGGGGGGGGGGGATTGACCGCGAGATTTAAAGCCCAGCGCGCTCACCGTTACTACAGGGCAGCAGATTGCAGTGGCATTTCTGATAAATGATTCACCTTGTATCGATTCAGCAAGCCCCCCCCCCCCCCGCCCCGACTGGTGATATTAATCGTGGGCATTAAGGGCTGTGATTTGATGCAACAGTTTCGTCTCGTTTTCATTTGCATCAATTCTGCCTTGATTACTTTTTTATCGTGCAGTGCAAAAATATTATTCGGCCAGGCTTTGTGCTCTTGAAATTCTTCAGCACTGCGTAGCCGCAGTGGTAAGTGGCCACGTGGTGCCACGTCTGTTCAGTCTCGCGTCGTCAATTCGCTCGACCGGTAGCAGGGTCCAGCGTTGTTGACGAGCTACCGGCTGCGGTTCAGGTGAGCCAAGTCGCGAGGAGGTCAAAGGGCAGAGGGAGGCAAGTGGCGACACAACCATGGAAGGGACCTCAAGTCAAGGGCTCGTGGTCAGGTGCTCGGCGAAATTTCTCGCCAATTTCTTCTTTCCTCGTGCCAAACGGAGGTGGTACTTGACTCGTAGCCATAGCTGTGGTGAGAGGTTGTATATTAGATGTGGTGGTCCGAGGTGTGGATATTTTTCCAGGTCGCTGGTAAACTGGAGTAGGTGGCACATGACTCGTAGTAGCCATGGCCGTAGCGAGAAGTATACTGGACGTGGTGTGCTGGGTGGGGGTGAATTTCCTGGGTTGCTGACCCAGATGAACCCAGACATCCGGCAACAACCAATATGCAAATAGCATTCTATGGGCCCCTGTGAGCGGCTGACATTTGGGCGCAGTTTGCACTTTGTCCCCATGAGTCCTAACTTCCAGCAAGCAGTGGAGTCGTTAATGCTCTGGTTGGAAAAAAGCTAGACCGCTAGAGCGATGGGAAATGGAGGCTGTCATTCCCACGACTCCTCCATCCCCGGGCTGAGTGAAGAGAATAAACCACTGCTTGCAAAACCAAACCGGGAGGCTAAACGAATTATATACGACACGAGACCCACGGGTGGATAGAGATGATAGGATGAGACCACGTGTCGACCCAGAAACAGCAGCTGCGGGATCTGGCGGAGGGGAGAACGTGACGGTAGCGAGGAGGAGCGATGGCGGTGGCACCAACGGCTTCGGCCACGATGACGCCGCGATCGTAACGAGTCGATGAATCAGCTGCTATCAGTCCAAAAGCATCAACAAAACCTCTTAAATCATAAATATTTTGGTTGGAGTGCCATTTACGTTTAGTTCCCCCCCCCCCCTCCCGAACACGAAGTTCACCTCCGTTGAATGATCGCGGCTGTTCAAGGTGTTTCTGTTTTTAAACGGCTCCGTGACGAATTTACAGACAATGTAAGCTTTACAAAAATAGCCCAGCCCGTGTCCCGACTGTCGCGCAACTGACTGCGCGAGTTATGCGAGGCCCCTTTGAAAGTGTCACTCGAGAACGGTGGCGGAGGCGGCTGCGCTGCGTATACACAAGTACCGCTCGCACCGTCTTGGCTACGCAACTGAACCTCCCCCCCCCTCCCCCCCACCACCCCCCTCGCATTGCGGCGCACGTGATGACGCCCACGCCACTTTGTGCCGTCGTGCGACAGGCGCAGCGCCCGCAGGAGGAGAGGAGTCGGGAGCGGAGTCGGGCGAGGAGGCACGCCGCACCTGCACGGAGGCCGATGCGTTACAACCTGGCGCCGGCGGCCCGGAGCCGGCACCCGAGGCCGTCGCGCCCGCCAACCCGGAGCCGCAGGAGTCCGTGCTCACGTTTCTGAGCAAGCGCTTCGGCATGCTGGCGCTCTTCGGGAGGGCCATCCCAGGACCCATTCCCATCGTGAAGGTGCCGATGATCGCGGCCGGTGACGGCGACAGCGTGAAAGAGACGGCTGTGACGGCGGTGGTTGAAACGGAGACCGACGGGAGGGGAGCATCGGTGCGCGCTGAGTCCACCGTTCAGACACCGGGCGTGGAGGTGGATGCTCACTCGGCTGACGGGGATGACCATGGGGATGTCGCGGCTGGGGTGGATGTGGGCAATATAAACAGCAGCCACGGTTGTGATGCACAGCGGGACAACACGGTGTCACAACCGGAGCCACCGGCCGGTGTTGACAGCGACCGCATACCCGATCCCCGGGTGACTCGGTGCGAGATGGTGCCCGCGATTTTGGAAAAAGTTGCGGGCGATGATGGTGACGACAATGAGGATGACTCCGGGGTGGAGAGCCAACTGGCAACGCCGTCGTCTGATAGGGGCGAGACGGACAGCAACGCCGGCAGGGGCTGCGACGCCGGCAGGGAGAGCAACGTCGCCACGGCCACCCCCACCATCGCCGATCGGCCGTTTGATCCTCCGGAGCAGCTTGAGTTCATCGATGCAGACGAAACGAGCCGAGAGGCCCCCCCTTACTGCGCCGCTGACGAAACAGTGGGCAGTGGCGGCCCCCCCGCGCCGACGGTAGCAGCTGATGTGGCCGCTGCCGGTTCCGTCGTCGCTGATTCACCTACGGTCGACTCGACCCCACCGAGCGCTCTGCCTCCGTCCGACGAGCCGAGCAACGGAGCGCGGCATGCCGATCCAGTTCCGGCCAACGGCCCACACCGTTCCAGTGGTACGCCAGCTGGAGATTGTCTGGAAACGAATTTGGTGAGCGGCGATGCCCGTGAGACCGGTGCGGCCGGGCCCACCGAGTCTGATGGTGAGAGGTCGCGTTCGTCTTCATCGGCGGCGCTGGGGTCGGCGTCGAGCGTGACCTTAAGCGAGGGCGGCTGCTCAGACTCGTCATCCGGTCTGGCATCCCCGGCGCACCACGGCTACGTCCACACGAGACAGCGTGCGGACACGAGTGCCTCGCTGCCGCGGCCGGACAGCCTGAGCATGGGCACCGGCGGCGCCACCAACAAGTCGATGCCCGACCTCGTCTTTCGGAAAACGTCGCCTGTTCTCACCAGCCCCGGCGGCGGTGACGACGACACTGATAAAAAATCCCAGCCAGAGCCGGACTCGCACAGCTTCCTGTCGCGCCTGCCGAACATCTTCAGCGGCCTGCGCATCATCAAGATTGGCGGCAGCGGCGGTGGCGGCAGCGAGGAGTCGGTGACGGAGATCAAGCTGAAGGACACCGACCTGGCCGTGATGAAGCTCAAGAAGGCGGTGCAGAGCAAAGTCCAGCTGGCTGAGGCCAACGCCGCCGGTGGCGGCGGCGCCGGTATTGCAGGCGGGGGCTCGTCGGCCCCGCCAGCGCCGCAGTCGGCATTGTCGAGACGGGCGAGGAGGGATCATGATGGTCACCCTAAGCTGCTGTCGGTGACGGCGATCGGCGATGAGTTGCCGACGAATCACTCCTGGCTGCCGGCGCCGGGGGTGGCCGTGCTGGATGGGGAGAGGAGGGCGGAACAGGCGGCGCACAGCGGGAGCCGATCGCCGCCCCACGGCCGGTCGCCAGACTCGGAGACGGTAAGCGGTGCAGACTTGCAAACCAATTATTTCCACGTACGACGCCCGTCGTACTCCCCCTCCTCTCTCGCGTTTGGAAACTCCTGCTCGGCGATCGGTGTTAATTGGCGACTGGGCTCGATGCCTGACCAACGTGAGCGTACCATTTTATGTGATTTTAAACTGCCTCTTTCCAATGTCAGTATATTTGGAGTTTGCACGTTCTCCCTGAGGTTGAATGGAATTTTATCTGGGTCCTCTGGTTTTTCCCTCTACATTTAGAATCAATATGCATTGAGAGTTTTGGCTGCTATAAATTTTCACGTGATAAGGCATTTTGTTGAGCTATCATTTGTGGCCAGGTTGCTGCTGAAAAAGAACTTTACATCTCAGTTGGCCTTACCTGCTAAAATAAAAAAACGTCAGTTTTAGTTTTCGTCTGTACGGGGATAGAGTGTTGCTCCCTCGCATGCGTACATTTTCTCAGGATGCTCCGTTTTTCTCCCACTTGTATAATAAATACTCATCAATGATTGGCTGAAAATAACTAAAAATAAAAACCCAGTATAGCAGGCGCCCTCTTGAAAAAGAGTCATATACGACTCGGTGTGGCTTTCTTAAATCAATCATTAGTAAGTAAAATGCATTTTACGACTTTCCCTATACGAGTGATTTTATGGTAGCCGCTTCTGCTCAAAACCACCTGCAAATGCGCCGTGTCTCCAAAGCTAAGCAGGTCACAACCTGGACTATACTTGAGTGGGTGAACGCCATCTACAAAACAGGTTGTTGTAGGCTGCTGTGGGGCTATGTTTGTCAGCTGAAGGAAGTGCATAAAAATCTATTGTTGCACTCTACTATGCTGTAATATGTCTATGCACCACGCCTTGAGCGACCCTCACTGCTAATTTTCCACATTCCAAAAATGACACCGCAAATTACTCGATTGGGATCACACAAACACATCAACAGCAGTCATCACCACCCCTCCCCCACCTACTGGCAGACGTGACACCCCAGGTCACTCGTGCCGATGAGAAGGCTGTTCTGGCCTCGCGAGTTCTCACCCGGTTTAACAAAATAACCTTCCATAATCGAGGTTTTTGGGTCAGATCGCGTAAATATAAATCTGTCGTAAAAATATAAATGCGTCGTAAATGTTGTGGGTTTACTCTCCAACACACCGGTGTGCTGTACTAGTAAATAATTGCCATGTTTTGTTTACGTGACAGACCTTACTAATTAGCCGTGTCGGGTGGTGTCAGGTTTAACTAAACATTTATATGAACGCAATCTAACCCAAAGCCTCCATTATGGATATTGGTCGCGAAAGCCTACGTGTTAAACCAAAATAACGTTGACGAGCAGGGTGAAGCGTGGTCGTATAACCCCCCTGCCGATACCAGCACGACACAGGGGGGAGGCTGTCGTGCGGCAGTGGATTGAGAAAGAGCCGTACGTGTTTTTTTTGTCATCAACCTTTCGCCGCCTGTTGACTGTTGCCCTGCGTGTCGTGGGGGCACCCTTGGAAGAGGCACAGTCCGCCGCGGTGGCTCCCGCGTGGCCATAGACAAGAGGACACGCACGGACGGGTGAGAATCAATGGGTTCAGAATCAGGTATTCAACTTTTGCCGGTGCTTTCCACGACACCTAGCACGTGGCGTCTTAAAAGATCTGTACGTGCAGGTGGCGTTTGGATGTTGCAACAAAATGAAAAGCTTCGTCACGTTTTCATTCATGTTTTTGGCCATACACAAGAGACAAAGATTCCCCCCCCCCCATATAACCTGTAACAGACTCTTGGGGCAACTGCACATACACACATGATACACAGCGTATTCGTGTGTGCTTTTGAACTATACATTATTACCTCATATTAAAAATGTGTTACTTGTATAGGCCACAGACAAACAAGGGCAAAACCCCCCGTATAGCCTTTAACAGACTGTTGGGGGCAAGGGCTGTGAGCGAGCACCTATGAAGGCCGGCACGGCACAACAACAACCGCCATTCGCCACTAAGTGGCGATGATGTCACCACGGTGCTTGTGCCAGGCTATGTGCATGTTGAGGCCACATGAAGTGTCGATCGCCCGATGGCAGGAGGTCACGGGGCAGACCCAGCAGGTGCCATGGGTCGACTGAGATGACTGGCCGATGCACCACCTGTGCCCCTATCGTGCCAACTTTCTGTGGTTTAGCCACCCGGCGCTCCGCTCGTTGTTGTGAGCGTCGCTCCTCTGCCCTCCGTTATTGTTGGAGGGTGACTGCCTCCAACTGCCCAGTAGCGTCCTTCACGAGCCTCCTCCACAGATGCCGATCTTGACACTGCTGGTACCAGTCATCGGCAAGTCTACTCAGCCCCACATCTTCCTGTACCACATCACTCCATGTCTTCTCTAGCCCATGCCACGCCCGTTTAGTCCCCTCGATCCGGCCAAACAAAAGCTGTTTAGGCATGGGGTGGCTGGGCATGCGGGCTACATGACCCAGCCAACGCAGCCTTGCCTGCTGGAGCACCTCACCGATGGGACTTTGTCCAGATCTTTCAAGGATTTGTGAGCTCCTCACACAATCCAGCCTGGTTAAACCCAAGATGGATTGTCGGCAGGCCAGCCTAAATGTTTATAACTGGCGAAGATGTTCCATTAGGGGGGTCCATGTTTCGCAAGCGTAGAGAAGGGAGGGAATGACCATGGCCAAGAAGACCTGAAGCTTCACGCGGAGCGACAGATCAGGTAGATTCCATACAGAGTTTTGCAACCGATGAAAAGATAATGCCGCTCAACTGAGTGAGACCTCTGCTGTTAAACCGGAGCCGGTCATGAGCACACTGCCCAGGTATGAGAAACTCTCCACTCTCTCCACAACTGCCCTATCACCAATTGGGAGTTGTGGGGGTGGAGTGTCCGATGATACAAAATACCCAGGCAGGTGCTTAGTTTTGGTGGGGCTTATGGTAAAGTCCCACCTTTTCGTGGCAAGCTCCAGGTTCAGCAGCAGCGCCTCCAACTCTTCCTCTGAGTGAGCAGCAATTACCAGATCATCGACATACATAACGTGGTTGAGCAATAGGGAGCCATCCCTTGACCGCATCCGGGCATCGATCAGCCACCCATTGTATCTGTACCAGGTGGAAATTCCTCCGGTCACACCCCAAGGTGAACTGGGAATGGCTCCGACTCCCGGCCACGTAGTTTTACCCGGGCCCGCTCACCATCATGAAGGTCCTTAATGATCGTGAGCAGAGGGTCAGGGACCCCCAAAGCACAAAGAACAACCCAGAGCCCAGGCCTACTGATGGTCTCATAGGCCTTTACCAGATCAATAAAGCAGAGATGTAGGTCTTATTGGAATTCCCTACACCTCTACGGTAGCAGACGGACAGAAAATATGGCATCTGTGCAAGACCGCCCTTTTCTGAAGCCGCATTGGGGCTCCGCAAGCCTCTCCTCAGCGTGCCTGGCAAGGCGATGTTGAATAATCTTTGCCAGGACCTTTCCTGGCACACTGAGGAGTGAGATGCCCCTGTAGTTGTTACAGTCTGTGCAGTCCCCCTTCTTAAAGAGGGGGACCACCAGGGCATCCTTCCAATCCTGCGGAACCCATCCAGTGGTCCAGACTGTTGTTATGATGTCATGTAGGGCAGCCTATGTACAAACGCCACTCTCCCTCAGCATTTCGCTTGGGAGATCATCTCTGCCCAGTGCCTTTCCTGGTCTCAGACTCCGGATCGCCTTCAGTACTTCCTCAACAGATGGCACCTCAGCCAGCCACTCACAGGGGGTGACTTCTTCCAATATTTTAGGCACCGCAGCCTCAGCAGGGTCATCCCCTCTTTGTCCCACGATTTCCAGGCTGAGGGATTTCCTCTCCCCCAGGACCTCACAGAAATGCTCAGCAAATCTGCAAACCTGTTCCTAGGGGTCAGAGATTGGATCACCGTTCTTTCCTCTAATGATGGTAATAGGTGTGGCGCTGCAGGTTACTTTTTTGATGGAATTAAAGAGCAATTTGTGATCGCGGGCCATTGAGGCAGACTCCATCTCCTCAGCAACCCGCGACCACAAACCATCCTTGCAGCGCCTCACGGCTCTCCGAACCTCTGAGTGAAGGTTGCGGTAAACCGCCTCATTCTCCGACGTAGGATGCTGTAGCCGATGAGAGTGGGCCTGTCGCTTTTTCTCAGACAGCCTGAACACCTCCTCTGTCAGCCAGGGTCTCTGGGGAGGTCTGAACCGTGTAGCCAAAGCAGCCATTGCAGTTGTATGAGCCACAGTCCTAAACCTTGCCCATTTCCCCTCGACATCAGGAGTGGGGGACGATGTCAACCCCAGCTGCAAGCGATAATGAAATTCTCGCTTGCAACTTTCATCAGCTCGCTGTGACCGTGCTACTATGGGTTTGAATGGAGTCCAGGGTGTACACCCACCACCGGAGTGGAAGAATGGCAAGCGCATCTTACAGATGACTATTCGATGGTCAGAGGGCAGATCAGCTCCACAGTAGGTCCTGGTGTCAAGAACATGGGCCCACATCCGCTGTTCCATCACTATGTAGTCCAGCAGATGTTCTTGCTTGGACCTGGCATGCATCCGTGATGTTGAGTGGATGCGCCGATGCCGGAACAGCGTGTTGGTAATTACAAGCCCATGGGCTGCACAAAAATGTAGCAGCCTCCTGCCGTTGTTATTGAGCTGATCTGGCCCATGCTTTCCAATCACTCCAGACCAGGTGCCAGAATCATGACCAACTCAGGCATTGAAGTCACTCAACAAGATGACTCTATCCCGAGGGGCCACTTTAGCTAGCACCTGTGACAGGAGGTCATAGAAGGCATCTGAAACATTGGCCTTGCCTGCATCCCTCCACGGATGTTCGTCTTCGGTGGGGGCATAAGTAACCATGACCACCACTCCTCGCCTCTGGTTGATGGGAAGGCAGTGAGGTGTGGGAAGCTGTAAGCCCCAGGCTTACAGCTTCCCACACCTCACTGCCACACGCCCCCTTCATTATTTTGTTCATAAGAAGTCAGTCTCCTGCTCCGAGTAGCGGACTGTCCAGCCCTCATGGTGGCAGGAGCCAGAGCTGGTCCTCGGGACTTCCTGAATACCACAGAGATCCAGACGGTACCGGTCCAGCTCCCGACAGAGGAGTGGCAGCCTCTCCTCCGCAGTGAGCGTTCGAACGTTCCACGTGGCCACCCGTAGTGGTTTTTTGTTGTTTCAGGAGGAGCCCCAAGGGTAAGGATTCAGTCTCCTGGCTCCGCCCAATGTGGTTTGGCTAGGAGACGTCAGACGCCTTATCCTCCGGGGCGTCCACCACAAGCTTATTAATAAAAACAAATTGTGGATTGGTGGTAGATAATTGAAGGTGGAGGGGTTACCTGCCCCTCGCACCTGTCCAGACCCCCCATTTGGTCGCTGTGGTGGTTACAAACGTCATGAGGGGAATGGCCAATCAGAATTGGCCCTCCCCTCACGGCACTGCCCACCACAGCGTTGCCGTCCGGCACGGCGCACGAGGGTGGCCAGCACCACGCCCGGCCGTCTTTGTCTCCCCAGTGCTGATGTTTACATGCCACACCAATAACTCATTGCTGCTCCTCACAGGCCATATACACACACGCATATACATACGCAATGTAAACGATGTACAGTATATGTATTCAGCCCATGAAAATGAATGTACATGTAATAGTATATCCAGTGTGGGTTTGCATGCATGTCTGTATTTGTGTGAGGTGCAGTGCCAGCACTTTCCCCAAAAGTCTGCGTAGGCTACGCGGGGAACCTTGTCTGTGTTTGTGTAGCTGGCACAGTGGGTACCACAGGTGGTGGTGCCATCTGCCAGTCATCTCCGTCAGTCCACCCATGGCACCTGGGTCTGTCCCATGACCTCCTACCAGCAGCTAGCCTCCCACACTTCACCCCGTAACCTCAAAGTGCACCTATCCTGGCACGAGCCCTGGGGTGACATCACCACCGTCACGTCGTGGAGGATAGCAGCTGCTGTTGCCGTGCGTACCCATGCGTGGGGGTGTTTGTATGTGCGTGTGGTGCAGCGGTTAGCGCGCTGCGCTATGAATCCGGCGGCCCGAGTTCGATTCCCGCTCACGATCAACACCAGTGACGATTATGTGAACCGGTCCTGGGCTTCCCGTAGGTCGACTCAGCCACAAATGAGTACCTCGCGCGGTGTGTAAACATCGCCATTGGGGAGTCAAAGGCGGCCGGGCGTGGTGCTGGCCACCCACCCCCTCGTGTGCCGTGCCGGACCTTCATAGGGTGCTCGCTAACAGCACTTGCCCCTAACAGTCCGTTACAGGCTACACGGGGGATCTTAGTCTCGTGTTTATTTTTGTTGTTGTTGTTGGCGTGTGTGGGCCGCCCTTCCTCTCAGTGTGCAGCGCCGTCGAGCCCCAGTGGCCGCGTGGGGCCCGAGAACTCGGAGGAGCGCTGCAGCCCCGGGCGCCTGTGCCCCGTGTGGCCGCCCCCGCGGCCAGCGGCGGATGAGGACAAGCTGGGCCTCAAGTACACGGAGGCCGGTGGGTCCCCTTCGCACTGTGTTTAGGGGCCGTCCATAAATGACGTCACGCACCTGGTGGGGGGAGGAGGTCAGACATTTGTGACGATATGGGGCCAGAAGCGGGGGGGGGGGGTGGTTTGAGAAATGTGACGTCACATCAAAACACGCAACTTTAAATAAATATAGAATTGTTATAACAACACTAATTGTTATAACAACACTCCTATAACATCAGAGTGCAGCGCCACATTAAATACGCACTACAATGACAATAGTTTAAAGAGATTTGAAGCATGTTTTATTTTCAAAATGGAAATATGGTTTTGGGTGCGGGGGGGGGGAGGGCAGAGCTTTGTGACGTCATATTTGAGGGGGGGGGGTCTGACTTTTTGTGACGCCAAGTGACGAGGGGGGGGGTCAAATATCATCCAAAATTGCGTGACGTCATTTATGGACGGCCCCTTACCAAGACCGCAGGGTTTAACTCGCCCCCGCGCCTGCTGCGCTTCACGTTACCAGGCCAGAGGATTCGCCTCCAAACCCGGCGCCGCTTCGGTCGAGTAGAAGTTATAGTTGGTGTAACGAGGTGAGAACTAAGCAGGCCAGGGTGGAAATCTCATTCGCAACGGTGACCTAGGCGCGTCGGTAGCTTAAAGTTTGACACCTTGACAATGTCTTGCACGATTATTACATCACAGGACCATGCGATACGATGGTGGTCATGCCTTTGGTGAGCCATTGATCCAGCAGTGGATTGAGCATGGCTGATTTCGATGAGGAAGATAAGGTCACACACAGGGCCGTAGCTGTGGAGTCAACATTGGGGGGGACCAAATTTTCCAGGGGGTCTGGGGGTCCGCCCGGAAAAAAAATCTAAATTTGAAAAATAATTTCCTGCCATTTCCTGCCTAACATATTACAAAATTCACTAACACATAGGATGGACTTTTTATTTATTTTTTACAATAATGTCTAATAGTGTTATTGTATTACATTGCTCTGTTTATGTTCTTTGTTTAGCTTTTCTTGTTTCATTGTATGTAATGGCAAAGATTAGGGATTAATCAAGTACAACCATAACCACAATCATATAGACAAAAATCTATTTTATAGCAATATATTATAATTACGGCCTTGGTCACACATACAATAGACGGAGAGCGTCACGAAGAGCAGGATCTGCACCAGTGATGTCCGCTTCATTTTGAATCCTGACGGCGACCCAGCACAACAATGGAACGTTGCCCCAACGTTGACCGCGCCGACAATTCCAGCCCGCATGCCAAACGTTGCCCCAACGTTTGCGAGGGTATACTGGGGGATAATCATCTCATCTGCCACATCTGCTTGGGTGTGGTCCCTGTTTGTTTAGCAAATTACACAAAGCAACTGCGTGCACGCGAGCATTACGTGTGGGCGGAGAGTGGTCGAGCAGCGACACGTGGCGAATATTTGAAACCATCCTTAGGACGCAAGTACCTGGGGCGGCGTGTAAACATCGCCACCGGAGAGACAAAGGAGGCGGCCGGGCGTGGTTGCTGTCGGCCTTCATAGGCGCTGCTCGCTCGCGAACAGCAACTTGCACCCAATAGCGTGGTCAGGGCTATACGGGGGGTGGAGGGATGTTTGTCTTGGTGCTTGGTGGGGTTGAATAAGCCGCGGGCTGGTTTGAGACACAATTAAGTCTCGTTACCTAATTCCGGCTGTGGCTGGGGTTGCCATCTGTCACGGTTTCTCCAGAATCGATTGGTGCAGCTTGGATTCTTGACTTGGGTGCCAGGCACGGCACAGAAAATACCGCTGCGTAACATGTTGAGGTCACGCGTAGGAGGGTTTCTCGGACGGTATCATGGTTCATAATAGATTTTGGGTCCGGCCACGTAACTGTTGAATTTGTTTTTGCGGCGTTCATATGTTTACATCTTGACGAGACAGTTATATCAAATATGAAGGTGAAATAAGATTTGCACTTAAATCTCTACAGCAGATTTGGCGAACGCTGCTGATTACGTTGCTGTGTTGGCAGTGGTGGACAAACAACAATAACACAACACGTTTGGCCTTAAAAGGCAAAATATATATTGGCGACGTTTCAGGCAATGGACCTTCTTCCAAGCAGGGCACGTGGGAGGGTTCAGCAACGTATTAGTGTGGCCGTGAAGATCGTCTGGAATGAGGAATCTCACTGGCAGAAGCTTGTGCAGCCACCAAGACACAATTTGTAAGTTAGCCGTGAGCAGGAACTGTTGGTCCGCGCTGAGGCCACATGAAGTGGGGGGCAGGGGGTGCCTTGCTCCCCCCACCTGTTGGCCAAAGCTACGAGTTGGGGGGGTCCCCCCTTGACAACCACCATGAGATATGTTTCCAACAACAGCGTAAAAGAACAAAACACTTATTTAAAACGCGGTTTACATTTATTTCTTATGAAAATGCTTTCATTTACGTTCCACGTTTTCTTTTCATTCTGTTAGAGCAGTCACGTACTATTGCAGAGAGCTGCTACGGAGCTGGAGTGGCCGAATTATTGCGAAGGCGGACCCGCCCCCTCTTTACAGCGTTAGATGTTCGAGACCGTGAGCGTAACGATGCGATTGGTGGGGCAAGACGAGCCACGATATACAGTAGCCCTAGGTGCGACCGTGCGAGACGTCAAATATTGGGGACCCCACCTGACCGCCTGCCGACAATGTAGTTCCTACGCGGACGCGGTGCATGGCGAATGGAGAGCCGGAGGATTTTACCCGAGACAGCGCATGCAGTCGCAGACTCCGCCAGGGGCGAGCTCACCCAGCCCCGGTTTCCTGGCAACTGCCAGGTGAGGGCCTCGGCGGCCGGCCCGCCCTTGGACACCGCACAATGGAAATTCTTCGACGTGAGCCCCCACGCTAAGGCCTGGCTCTGCGCCCTCGTCACGGAGGCCCACAGACAATGCCGCATCGCGCGCGTTCAGCGAGATTTGGCAGGTGCCCCCCCCCCACCCACTCTCCCCCAATCCCCCCACCCCCCCAGTCTGCGACAATGACATCGAGAGGGATTAACAGCGCGCCTTCTCGCGTGAGCCCCGACGGGATTGAGTAAGATCGTGGGGTTAACATCTCACCTGTGCATGCTCACCTGCAGCGGAATAAGAGGCGGCGGTGGCCATTTGGTGTTGAGGCCGGAGATGAACGGTGGAGAATGAGTGGGGGTTGGTGCGACAGTGTTCACGAAGGCAACATGGGAGAGGCACAGTGACAGCGACCCTGTTAACGTGACCTCGTTTAGGGGGGGGTGGGGCATAACATATCCATGTTAAATAAGTTTAAAGCAAATGTAAAACGCTAAACGGTAGCGTCGTGCGTGACTACGCGATCTTGCCGTGCGTTCTGCTTTGGCCACGAGTGAAGGAAAGAGAGGCTGCCACGCCCGTCGCTAAATTTGTACGAATTTCTTTGTAACAATTTATATTGGGGTTGAGCCCTGAATCCTTGAATGACTGAGGAGACCTTCCTGCTCCGGGAGAGATTGGCAGCAGTACGTCCCCGGTGGACGGAACTCAAATTTTTTTTTTCCGTGTTGACCCGGGAATGGTCTCACCCAGTCTCGTGACTCGTTTTCAAGAGGGTCCTGCCAAGTTTCCACAGTCGGGGCCAATGATTCATACGTAAATTACAATTGAAAAATTTGCCGTGTAATTTTTCACATTTGGCCAAATTTTTTACCGTGACGTTAAACGAGATTGTAGCGTCCGCTGTGCAGAAGGCGACGCGTATATATTTAGTTTTTTACGGTTACTACAACCGCAGTATTAATGGGAGCGGCCGCTGGGAACGAACTGCGAACCTCTACAATGAGCGGCGGGCGCGCTACCGCTGGGGCCGCGTCACCGAGCGAGGCGTTGAGGAATTCCATCGATCCCGCCGGCAAAGTTAAGCGCTTCAATTGGTATCGGAATGGTCGTCAAGCGCCGCGCAGAGCGTTCGCCTTCTCCACCCATAATGAATCGATATAAATATATGCCGATTCTCAGAGAAGGAACTTGATCCGAATTTGAGTGATTACGATAAAAGTAAACTATTGCATGTACATGAGGCTCAGCAACCCGCACGGTCTTTGTGAGCTCCCACCTCGTTTCACAGTCCATGTGTGGTGGTGTAAACGATGATAATTTTATTACGATCATGGTAGCTTGATGACAATTGTTGAACGTGACGATGATTTGCATGACGACGTTGACTGGACGATGATTGTTGAATAATCTTGACGTTGGCATGTAAGGTGGAGGTCCGTGCAAATGCTGGGCGTCTAGGGAGTTTAGGATGGGGCAGGTAGCAGGGGGAGTACCTGTGGACATGCAGGTGGGAGAGGGGCGGGCATGTGGGTGGAGCCAACAGGTAAGGGGGCACCGCTGTGGGGTGGGGGTGGAGGGGGGAGTGAGGGAGGCTGGGGGGGGGGGGGGTGTAGCGTCTACCCCACAACTCGTGCATTAATCACTGCCGTGCGTGTGATGATGACGATGATAATGATGAGCTTCTGAAAGTGTCATCAACTCCGACCCGGACCATCAGGGGTGGGCGTGGCCGCACGTCGACTCGGCCGTGAACGCGCAACGCCGGGGAAACACCACGGAGTTGACGGAGTAACGAGGAGAAACCTCGTCTCCCCACTCTTCCTCGGGGCATCCTTGCCTAACACTGACGTGCCTCCGCACCCCCCCCCCCCCACCCCCCCCATGTAGAACACCTGGCGGAGGTGCAGAAACTCAAGCGGGAACACCATGAGACCCTGAGGAGCCTCCAGGTGCGTTTCTGTCCTCTCTTGTGCGTGGCGAAGGAGTTTGTTGCGCGCGTTCGGTTTAGCCTCGTGCCTTCCCCCCGTGGTGTCTGCCCCGTTCCAGCTTTGTGCCTTGCCTCCATCTGCCGTTCTGAAATCTCCCCCTCTGAAATCTCCCCCTGCGTCTGTCTCTCAATCTCTCTCTTTGTTTTACCGGGTAGCGCCTGCACACCAGCTAATCTCATCGCTCCACCTGATTGTAAATGTAGGTTCCTGAAGAAGCACCCAGAACATAGAGCGAAACGTCGGACATTATCGTGCCAAACATCACACGGCGGTACAAATCCGACAACACCTCGGTCTGGCGTCCCGATACGGCCTTGGCAGCTGCCTCCCCAACTATTGACGAGCCCCGGCCACGTGTGACTGTACCGGCAAAACGTACCGGCAGTTTAATGAAAGATCAGAGAATTGGTTTGGGCTGCGGGTAGAACCGCCGTCAAGGGGAGAGGTGGGAGAGGCAGTTGGTGCTTCAACGCAGCGGAGAGCTCTGCCAAACAACAACACAAAGTTTTGCAGGCGCCCTTCCCCCCACGCGCAGCACAACCCAAAAAAATTCCGACCCAGTAGCGGTGTCTCATCATCATCTTAGTCGAAGTCACGAGTTTCACGGGAGCCATATCGAGAGACGGGCGGTGTCGTAAGCTCCCGGCCGTGGCCTTCACGGTTTCACCGTGCGGCCGCGCGGTGTGGCTGCCTGCCCTCGCGAGGCAGGATGGAGGTGTGGGGGGGGGTGGGTTAGGGGTGGGGAGGGGGTAGGGGGCTTGTGAGTGAAGGAGCGAGAGGAGGAGGAAGAAGAGAGGGGAGCGTTGTGTTGAGTCCCGCGTCGCTGCAGGCCCGCGCACGCCCGGGCGCCATCGCCCGCTCCGCGCCGCCCTCTCGAGGGCCCTTGAGCTCGCCGGGTTCAGGGGTGCGAGGCTCAGGCATTGCCAAGCAAAAGGGGACACGACCCCACGTAGCTCAAGGGGCAACGGAATCACGGAATGATAAAAATGTGCACCAAATTTCATCTTGGAACGTTCATATCGAAGCGAATTCACATAAACACAGTGAATTAATGTCTCACCTCCCTCTTGTCAGCATGTCTCCTCTCGTCTTACTGCATCTCCGTCTCTTGCCTACGCATTGAAATGGGAGCAGGCCCCAAGAATAATTTCTGCTTGGGGCCCCCAGTGAACCCCTCCCTCCACGTGGTGTTGGAGGGGGGCGACCACCTTCTTGAGCGGTCGAGGATTTTGGTTTTGTGGGAAGTGTCGTGGTTTGCGGTGATGCAGCTCTCAGTGTCGCTTGTCACGAATGTAGGGTCTTGCGGCGTCGCGACAGGTTTAGCCGCTCCGCTCTCGTATCTGTGCACCGGAGTGAGAGCGTTCTGTGCCAGTGAATGAATGCGTGAGTGTGGCAGTGCGTGCGTAGGGAGCGGTGGCACAGCCTGTATGTGCACATGGGGAGTGGTAGTGTCGTGGTTAGCGCACTGCACTACGAACATGGCGACAGGAAATTCCTGCTCATAGTCACCACCAGTGACGATTATCTTAACCGGTCCTGGGCCTCCCTTAGGTCGACTCAGTCTCAAATTAGTACCTTGTCCGATGTGTAAACATCGCCACCAGGGAGACAAAGGCGGCCGGGCGTGGTGCTGGCCACCCACTTCCTCGTGTGGCGTGTCGGCCTTCATAGGTACTTGCTCACAGCACTTGTTCCTAAAGTCTGTTAAGGCTATACGGGGGTCTTTGTATGCGCACTTTGGCCCAACAGACTATTCGGCTACACAGGGGATCTTTGCCTTTGTGTGTGTGTGAGTATGTGTGCGTGTATGTGTGCGTGCTTGCTAACAACACTTGGCCCAAGTCTGTGAAAAGCTACACTGAGTATCTTTGCCTTTGAATGGATGTGTGTATGTGCGTGTGTGCTTGTTTGTCTTCACGTGAGTGTATGTATGTGCCGTGCCAGCCTTCATAGGTGCTCGCTAACAGCACTTGCCCCTACAGTCTGTTGAGGCTATACGGGGGATCTTTGTCTTTCTGTTGTGCGGAGCAGTAGTGTAGCAGTTAGCGCGCTGCGCTACGAGCCTGGCGAGCCGGGTTCGATTCCCGCTCACGGCCAACACCAGTGACGATTATCTGAACCGGTCCTGGGCCTCCCCTAGGTCGACTCAGTCTCAAATTAGTACCTTGTCTGGTGTGTAAACATCGCCACTGGGGAGACAAAGGCGGCCGTGCGTGGTGTTGGCCACCCACCCTTTTGTGTGCCGTGCCGGCCTTCATAGGTGCTCGCTAACAGCACTTGCCCCTCCAGTCTGTTAAGGCTATACGGGGGATCTTTGTCTTTGTGTGAGCGAACACCAATGACGATTATCTGAACCGGTCATGAGCCTCGCCTAAGTCGACTCAGCCTCAAGTGAGTGTGCGTAAGCGCGCACGCGAGTTTGTGTACGCAGTGCTCTGTGCGTGCAGCGTGTTGTTTAACGTGGGGGGGGGGGCACAAAGACATAACTAATTATGTCCATGTGATGTCACCGTGCGTTTAATATCCTCTTTACAGGGGCCAATTGACAGCAGGAATGCGGCAATTTCCCGTAGAAATTACAGGGCGGTGGCCTAACAATCCCCATCGCAGACCAATGAAACGATAACACTGCATCAACCTAACTCTGGTGGTGGTAGCGGCTGCTGCTGCTGCTGCTGCCTGGGATTGCCTGGGAGTTGTAGGCTTGGGCAGCGAGAGGTGGCCACGAAGATGAAGGTAACAATTAGCAAACGGATTCTCGAATCTACTCGTGCGGAGACTGAGAAGTGTTTAACCCTTCCCCGCGTGAGCGAGTGCTCGTGGTGGGTCTCCTCTGGGTTCTCCACGTGCATCTCGCCGTTCTAAACGGAATTGGCCAAACATCCCAAAGTAGCGGGACCCTCCGAAACAAAAACAACCACTGGGACTTGAGACTCGGTGACGCTTTTTGTTCAGCGGATGAAGTCGTGCTCGGGTGGGAGAGACGGAATTCGGGAGACATTTATTTTATTCCAAGGGGAAAATAATTTCCTCCGGAACGCTTTTACCCGCTACGGCCTGTGTCGTGCTCGCGGTAAAACCCGCGCTTCGCGTTTACGGGGTGACAGCTTCACCGCTCCTGCGGCCTCCACTCCGGTCGTGACCATGTTCACTCCCGAGGTGGGGGGGGGGACGCCCATCGCGTAGACGGAGCGATGGGAGCGTGAGCTCGTGCGCAAGCGCTAGGATGGGCTCGTCGTTTCGCGGGAGCAAGAGGGATGGCGATTCCTTTGGTGGATAGATCGTGGCCGATGACGAGGAGGAGGGACACCTCGCCTCTCATTCCCATCATCGTGCCTGTGCCTCGGATGCGTGGATTGTCCGGTCGGAGGAGGTCGTGTTCTTTCCCACGCACGCTCACTTTCCCCTCGCAGTTTGATTGACGCCACTCATTATCCTGCGTCGGTACTTTCCCTGTTCCGTATGTTCCTCTTTCCCGTCTGGTCACGTCGCGTATATATACTGGACGTCTGTGAAAAAAATATTTTGTAGCTCATCACATTCTTCTAGGATAGATAGAGATTCTGATGTTTCAGATCCGCCGTGCGGTAACGCGACGCCGAACGGAGCACTCGCGCGTTCGTGTCGCGCCCTCCCGCGTGCGGGTGTTGGTCTCTGTCTCCGCCATGCGTGCGTTATTGTAACACGCTTGTCAGCAGCCTCGTCCCGTTAGCGTAACTACAACCCGGGCGTGCCCAGTGGGCCCCCTCCTCCTCCCCCCCAATGTCTCACAAGTCGTGACCAAATTCCGAGAGGCAAAGGTGCAGCGCTGCAATCGGTCGCTCACCCCACCGCTGTCGGAAGGGGCCTCCTCCACTCGGCGGAGCTCTGGAGAGCCTCGCTCTAGTTGGTGTTATTGGCCTATTACTTCACGCTGACCAGACGCGCCCCAATGCCTTGGAAGAGGTAGGAGTACCAACGCTTTACCCCACCACATGCCACCCGACTCGCTATGGCTGTACCCACTCACACTGCTGGGTGGACAGAGGCAGAGGGGAGATCCCAGGGAGAGACTGAAGAAACACGCCCCCATTGTCTTCACTGCCGTTCTGGGAGATCGAATCGAACCGGTGACCTCCGAATCGCAATGCCGGTGCGCTGACCGTTAACCGCCACCGCCACGGCCAGCAGGACACGGCTCCCGTGTGTGTAACCTTCAGTTCATCTTGATCACCTGGATCGGCCACGATCGGGCCACTGCCGGATGAAGTCCTCGGCCCAGCCAAGCCCGCCGTTCTGACCCTAAGCCCTCGGCAGCAAGGGCCTCTTCAACCTCCCAAAGTGCCGAGGCATTAATACGAAAACCTCGCCATGAATAAAACAGAACCTCCGTGATGCACTGCTCATTGTGAGTCGCTCGCTCGCAGTTGCCGCTTCATGTTTTATTCACGGCCGCCCGCCGCGCATTATTCGGCATGTGCCGGTTTGCCGAAGGCACGAGCGGATCGCGCCGGGTTTAGCCCCACCCCCCACCGGGCAGAAGATGGAGTCGCGGTGCTGTACGACCCCTTCAGATCTCATAGCCTAAGCGGGGTCGCACTGCGACCAGCGCGGTGAAGTATGGTCAAATATCCCTGCGCAATCCACACAGCCAAAGCCGGATTTAAGTTATGAGGGGCCTAAAGCTAATAGGAGGGTAGGGAATTAGTATGTATTGCATATTTACATATTGTGACAACTAATTGTGAAGTAATTAAACATATTTATTTACATATGTAAACTTAACACATTTATTCGACTCGAGGTAACTACATCATCAAATGTAAAATAACTCGATATACGCTCATTTCTTCAAACCAAAATGCTTTCCTGGCTTTGGCTGTGGAAAAGTCACAAATGTTGTCATCGTAATTGAAGGACAAAAAAATTGCGATGGCCGCGCTACCGCCGCTCAGCTGTCACTTGAGCGTGCAACGGGGGGCCTGAAGAAGTGCTTACCAGATACGAGGGCCTTATCAGCCTGTGGTTTAGTGCGGCCCTGCGCACGGCGGTGGATTGACGAAAGAACTATATCAATACCAACACCCGCCCATCGCCAGCAAGTGATGGTCACATCACCACGGTGCCTGTGCCAAGCCAGGTGCACTCTGAGGTGTCAAAGGCTCGCTAGCAGGAGGTCACGGGACAGACCCAGGTGCCATGGGTTGACCGAGATGACTGGCAAATGCACCACTTGTGCGCCCCCCCCCTACTGTACTATACACAATTTCACACAGTGTCATTACGATCATCCTTACCTTCGTCATCATTATCATCGCCATCGTTGTCGTCACCGTGGCGGTGGTGGTGGCGGCGGCGTTGTCGCGCGCGTGCAGGAGGAGTTTGACCTGAAGACGTTCGAAGTGCGGGGTGAGTACGCCTCCGTGGTCGCCGACCTCGAGCAAAAGGTGGACGACCTCCAGCGCGACCTCTCCGCGCTGCACCTCGCCGCCGCGGCGGGGGGAGGACGCCCGGAGCCCGGCCGGGGGGGGGCCACGCGGGGCACCCGGGACGTGGGCGTCGACACCCGCGATGGGGACCTCCCGCGCGCCTTCAGGAACGTCCTCGTGCAGACGGACCGGCTGGGCTTCCTGCAGCAGCCCGAGGGCGGGGAGGAGGACACTGGCAGGACGGCGCCCGTGCGCCTCAAGAAGTTCTTCAGCGCCGAGGAAGCGTTCAGCGTGCTGGGCGCAGATGGCGCGGTGACGAAAAATCCGGCGGCTATACCGCCACCGCCGCCGCCGCCGCCACCGCCGCCGCCACCGCCGCCGCCGCCGCCGCCGCCACCGCCGCTACCAACCGGACACAATCCACCGCTACGCCCGTTACCACCAGGTTTGGTAGTAGCAGCAGCACCGCCGCCAACACGACCGGCGCAATATTGTTGTTCTTATTATTGTTGTTGTTATTATTGTCCAGCACCTACTCCATCATCACCACCAGTAGCAGCAGAACACAATCTAACCATCACCGCTGTCACCAACACCAGCACTGTCTCCACCACTGCTAGCAGTTGGACACGATCCACCACTACCCCCCATCATTTCACCACCAGAAACACCAACACCACCACCACTAATATCACCACCACAACAAACACCACCACCATCAACACCACCTGGCAGCTACTCGCAGCAGGACAAAGTCACCATCTCTTCCTCCTTCACCACCGCCACCACCACCAGGTCTCGCAGCAGTAGCAGCAGCAACATCAGCGGCACCGGCAGCGCCACCACCACCAAGACTCGGGCCTCCTCCACCACCACCGCCACCACCTCCGCCTCCTCCCCTGGGTCTGGGGGGGCCCCCGCCCCCTCCCCCGCTGGGGGGCCTGGGTGGGGGCCGCGAGGGGAAGCCCCGGAGGGCGGCGGTGGAGCCCAAGCGGCCCATGAAGCCGCTCTATTGGTCCCGCATTCAGATCAAGGCTGAGAGGTGAGGGCCGGGCGATGGCTGTTTCAGGTGGCATTTGGGGCCCTGTCTCGGTGGGTTGTCGCGGATGTGCTGCTGCTGCTCAGCTCTCCGACGCGTCTTCACGTTGTGCCGCTTGTCATTCGGCACGGCGTCCGACGTTTCGCCTCGTGCACTGAGAGCTTCTTCAGGAAGCGACCCGAAATTCCCCCCGATACGACTATCCACCCGGTTCCTGCGACGCGAGCTCATCTCGCTCGTCGCTCCGTCCCGAAATTGAAATTCGCTCTCTGGACGAGCTTACGGCACGTGGAACGCAACGCCGGACACTGTGCGGTACAACCTGAACGCACAACCGGAGAGTTGAGTTGTATACTCTTTGGTTCTTTCGGTAAAGTAACGTAGGTATAAAATAAAATAAATCACGACGCATGGTCAGACCATGCTCAGACCATGCTTTCCCACCTGATGATGGACGCTTGTGTTGCGCCCGAAACGTCGTGATTTATTTCATTTTATACCTACGTGACTTTACCGAAAGAACCAAAGAGTATGGATTCCTGCAGTCACGAAAGCTTCAAATCAAGTTGAGTTGTAGTTTAATGGCGAAAAAGTCAAGGTCAAGAGGGCATCAAGAGGTTGCTTCCTTCTGCTAGGTCTCACAGCTCTTGCAAAGTCGACACCAGACCACCAAGGGTGGCTGTTACAATTTCATCACCACCACATTTTAACTTTCAGTCTCACCAACAATAATAACGATAATGTCAACCGGTAACGCACTCCTGCCACCGGAATATTTCCTGCTCGCTGTCGCAGAGACGGAACGACTCGGAGGAGCGGGGAGGAACCACAAGCAGCAGGAAGGCAGTGAGCTGATGCTACAAACGATTGCCCAAGCTCTGTAGTCCTCTCTTTCTATAAATATAAAGCTATTTACAGCCAATTAATAAGCGTCTGCCCGTTGTCATACGGTCAGCACGTCTTTCAAGGGCGAGCAGGATCAAGTTTTTACCTGCTTGCAAGAAAAATACGTCGTTAATGTAAGGACGTACACAATTCCATCCATATTATCGGTTTCCCACAACGCTTCAGTTGGTATAAGCGACACTCATTCAAAATAATGGCGAATCGGAAACCCCACCGGTAGTGGCAGGGCAGGAGTAAGTCCGCGGGGCGAAGTGAAAAGGAGAAGGATCGTATTGCCATGGCACCGTGACTCCACGCGTGACCTTTGTCTTTCTGAACTGTGGCCCCTGAATGCTAAATGAGCTGTGACATGGAGGGGCCACTCGAGCAAAGGTGAGTGGTTCACCTGGTGGGACCAGGGATGAGCAGCTCACCTTGACAGTACGGGGGTGAGCCACTCACCTTGAGAGTACGGGGCGCGCCACTCACCTTGAGAGTACGGGGTGAGCCACTCACCTTGAGAGTACGGGGTGAGCCACTCACCTTGAGAGTACGGGGTGAGCCACTCACCTTGAGAGTACGGGGTGAGCCACTCACCTTGAGAGTACGGGGCGCGCCGCTCACCTTGAGAGTACGGGGCGAGCTGCTCACCTTGAGAGTACGTGGTGCACCACTCGTGCTGAACCTTAACGGACATCGCAGAGCGCGACGCGCACTGCCTGCCCGCTTCTTCAGAATTGGGTAAATAGAAAAACGCTGATCGTTGGGAGGGCAGCGATCGCTGGGCCCGACCCTCAGTGATGCAGCAAAGCAGCAGCAGTGCAGCGCTCTTCAAGCTCCTCCACTCAGAAGTCGCGCAGAGAGCGGAGGGGGGTGTTTGCGCATTATCAGCAGTTATCCCAAAAGGTTTTTAAAGGCTACATAGGGAGGAACGTTTGTCTCTTGCATGTTCACGTGCGTATGTCCATGTCTCTGCGTTTGTGCGTGCGTGCGTGCGTGCGTGCGTGTCCACGTGTGCGACCGTGGCAGTGCCGCGGAATCACGCTGTCTCTGGGCGCAGCTCGACGAGCACCCCATCGATCCGAGCGAGTTCGAAGAGCTCTTCTGCAAGAGCGCGCGGGCTGAGAAGAAGCAGCCGCTCGCAGAGAGCTACGCCAAGAAGTCCCGCGCCAGGCAGGTCCGTCGCTACGAGGGTACTGCGGTGGGGTGTGTGGGTGGGCGGGGAAGGCGGGGTGGTGGGGGGTGGGCCTGGGCACACGTGGGCAGGACGGTGGGGTGGCACGAGACACAGACAAGAGAGAGAGACACGTAGATTAGAGACTGCTTTGGTCACAAAGCGGCCCTGTTGCACACATGGGGACAGAGGAATGCCGAAGAGTCAGAGACACGGGGTGAGATGGGGAGAGAAACGGGGAGACAGAGACACACAGACTAATGCCCATGCGCAGGCTGGTTCTGCGTTTACCTTTGTATACTGCACCCCCATGGATATTCGCCCCCCCCCCCCCCCCCCCCCCCCAACTTCAAAAGTGTTCCACCACCACCCCCATGGCTCACAGGTCCAGCACTACCCGCACCGCCGATTCACGGCAATCAGAATAGTTATTCATGCTGGAGGAATCCGATGAGCTATAAAGCTCTTTTTAACAGATGACCAGTAGGGACGGGATCAGAACGTTGCAACAACAAACAATAAAAAACACGATAGGAGTGGAAAGTACAAGAAAGGCAAACAAATCGGCCAAAAACAGACAATGTCCCCGACAGCCACCAAGCCTCCGCGGAGGCTGTTGGAGTGGCTCCATCTCCTCAACATCCACAACGCAACGCTGCAAATTGCACCTTGCCAGACGATGAAAAAATAAGGAGGCCGTGGATGCCCCATCGCTTAACTTCACCGCCATTAAATTGTACTAATTTTTTTACGTGGCTGTAAGTCCTTAGGCGGGGGTGCTGTGCCATCTGCAGGGAGGGGGCCTCTAGTCCCCTCTGCCCCCACACCCCCCCCCCCCCCCGATGCTACGCGGCTGCAGTCATGGGCCGCGAGGATCGTGATGGACGTTGCTCGTGACAGTGATGAGCTCGGGGGATTCGCAGACATAATCCCGCTAATGCGAGGCGCTCGGGACGTCTCGCCAGGACGCTTGCTCGTAACTTGGCAGCCGAGCGCTGATATTGTCTCCCGCTCGCTGGGGTTTAATTTCGCTCGGAGCACTTAGTCGTTTCGGCTCTGTTTTTATTTTTCCCGGATTATTTTAAACTATCGGGGACACATTTTTGTCACCGCGTGACGGTGCTGTGGTTTCGCCGGGCCGGAACGATCGGCGCGCTCGCAACGCTCGCGCCGAGCTGAAGTTATCCACAACGTGCGCGCAAATCACGCGCGCAACGGGTGCGCTGAAGTAACGTCGAGCGGAGCGACGGAAAAGGAGGAACGCGTGGATTGGCGAACGTACGCAACGCAGGGGAATGTTGTCATTTAAAACTGCTCGGGTTCGGTAAGATTGGGCTCAGAGCAGGACGCATCGCCGGCCACCCAGTCGGGAACGATGACGGCAAGCGGCGGCCAAGCGAGGTAACGAGTCCGAGGGAATGTCCACTGTGGGAGACGGACCGATGAAATCGGCACGGACGCCCGGTGGGAAATTACACCGCAGGATCGTGGGAAGTGGCGGCAGCTTGAGGAGGCCTTTCATCTGGCAGTGGATGGACCATGGCTGATGTGGATTATGCTGAAGTTGCACCGAGGCTGTGTCCGCGTTGGGAGGTGGGGGGGGGTTGTGTTGTCAGCCCCGGCTTCCTGGCCATCAGGAGGTGGCACTGTTGCCCAGTAAAACAACAAAGCCTCCTTCCCTCCCAACCCCGACCGCAGCATTCACGCGGAGGGGTCGAGTGGTGGCGCAGCGGTTAGCACGCCGCACAACGAGCCGGACGCCCCGAGTTCAATTACCAACGGCGGCTAACACCAACGGCGAGTGATATCGGAACTGGTCCTAGGAAAATTCCCTCGCAATGACCCGTGTGGTTAAGTATGGTCGAACAAACCCCTTGGACCTTAATGCGTATTGAGGCCTTCATCCAAAGGGCTGTACATGTGCAGTGCGTGTGTCATGTTCATGTTTGGTTTTATGCGCGAGCGCGTGTGTGTGTGTGTTGTCTGATTTGCGTTGTACCGCTTCATTCAATCTCAATGCAGCAGTTAATTCTCTGTAAATGTTTTTTGGCAATCTCTCAATCCTGTATTTCATATTCATGAATACCCTGATTTGTGCGAGCTTGGGCAACTGGTTCAGTTTGCACTGAATCTAAAGCCTTTTCATAACCTCATAGATAAAAGCCACGCACGTACAGTATGTAAGTTGAACTTCTTTCTCACCGTACGTAGCCAACCGTGCTAATCGGAAGGGCAACACGTATAGAGGTGTTTGAGAGTCAAATGAGGAGTGACGGCAAAACTGCATGAACTCGTCAAACCCTCGCGTCGTGGCCAGCGGGCTTCGACATTGGCATCGAGCTTCTGAACATATTGCCATGCGCAAGAGTGAGAAGTCAAGGCCAGACTGATCTCGGAGGGTGGACTGTGCATTCCGCTTCTGTGGGCCGTTCTGCAACGAAAGGGGCTGCGTTTTTCTGCGAGCGATCCGAATGGCGTCTTCACCTTCCGTTAAAATATTTCACCCGGATAATAATCGCTTGGCATTGGAACACCTCCGTCTGCGAGGGTTATCCATGGCAAGGCGTCGGTAGCATCGTTGCGATGCAGCTCGGAAAATGACAAAATATATTTTAAAAAATCTAAATAGCAGAGAGGAATTGGAGGAGCCTCGTGCTGTACCGGGCCTTCATAGGTTGCTGCTCGCTACCAGATCTTGCCCCTCCAACAAGTCTGCTCAAGGCTATACGGGGGGGGGGGCGGGGTGTGGGGGGAATCTTTGCCTTTGTGTCGTCAAAATATAGTTTCTCTTTTTCGAGACAACGTTTCCGCCGAAGTTTTGAGTTTCGCTTGTCGCTTGATTAGTTTGACCTCACCGCTCGCTCAGCGGAGTAATTGCATCTGGGAACAACAACAACAACAACGAGCAACAAAAACCCACTCTCCACTCTCTCTCACTCTGCACTCACAAAACTCGCTACTGTACGAAAGACAAAACTGGAGGGCCCCCACTCTAAATGATTAAAATGAACGATTCGAGCCGCGTGCACCCCCCACCCCCACGTTACTGCCCCCCCCCCCCACCTCCTCCAGGAACACGATGCTAATCGAAAGCGACGCCGCAAATTGCAAAATCAAATTCCTACCGCTAACGTATTATTTCTGTTACGGAACAACGGACATTGAAATCTCCACTTAGGACCCCCACAGATCCGCGCCAACCACCGCAGCCAGAGCCCCCCCCCCCCCCCCCTCGCCCCCCCCCCCTGTAACTTCTTAATTGGCGCAGCACTCTGGAAAAACTCTCTTCCTCCCCCCACCTTCGAGTCTCTCTCTGGAACCCATAACGGGCGGCGTTCGTCCGCCAGACATTAATATGTGGCGGCGGCGGCGGCGGTAGTAGTGGGGGCGACTCCCGGCATCGACCTAAATACGACGGGGAGTAATGGGTGGAGAGAGACGACTAGGTCAAAGGTTGCTGTGATTTTGAGTTGGAAGTCGGAGGGGGGGGTGAGGTTGACGTCCTGAATGGTGGGATCCGTTAGGCTCCTAGAACTTGCCCCTGCACCACCCCCCCCCTCCCCCCCCCAACAACAACCTGACGAGTGCAGAGTTGGCCGGCATTATTTTTTGTCGTTGTAACAATTGTTTATTTTCCTTCAAATAATTTATAGGCCAAATCTTCTGCAAAAGCGAGGCGAAGTATGTCCAATGATCGCAACCGCCGCCCCCCCCCCCCCTTCCCCATGGCTACTGATATCAGAGACCACGCAGTAGCATTTACCCATCGATGGATGGAATTGGAACGTACCGAGTAACAACCGTCCCCCGCCAGCCCCAGCCCCCGCCCCAATTACGAGTCTTGAGACTCGCCGAGGGACTCGCGGAGAAACTTCACCCGGGCAGCAGCAGGAGCAGTCCGCTTGCACGGCCCCCTCATTACTGTTGATGACAATTCCCCCAACACTCAACTTCCTCGAGCAAAATTGCCTTCTGTGTGTTATTTTGTGTGTGGGGGGGGGGGGGGGGTGTGTGGCATAGGAGGAAGGGTTTGGAGCGATGGGGGGTGGGGGGTTAGGCGACTGAGTAATCTTATAACTAGCCTTTTGCCCGTCCAAGGACGGGTGTATTGCAGTAAATCTGAAACTTGCAAGCGAAAAGCAGACCGCGACGTGATATATTCATTGCATCCATTCGTGTGCAATTTGTTAGGCTGCGGTGAAACAGAATTATTTCATTTAGAGGTTGTTCATCATGACGTCCTTTTTACTTTGATGTCTCAACAGCGTTACGGTGATCGCGTGACGTGAGGGTTCTGCCTTTGTAGTGAGGGTTGTGAGTTGACGCTGAGGAGGAGGGGGTAGGAGGCGCCTCGTCCCCCCCATGTGGAGTGACGTCACCTGCTAATTATTATTAATGGAGGGGGGGGTGTCCATTTGGAGGACGTCACCTGCTCATGATTATTAATGAGGGGGGCTGTTCGATGTGGAGTGACGTCACCTGCTCATGATTATTAATGAGGGGCGAGGGTGCTCCATGTTGAGTGACGTCACCCGCTCATGATTAATAATGAGGAGGGGGTCCATGTGGAGGACGTAACCTGTTCATGATTATTAATGAGGGGGGCTGGTCGACGTGGAGTGACGTCACGCGCGGGACACACTGACATTCTTGGGTAGCTGCAGTAGTCAATTAAGCAATGGACGGTATGTACGTATGTTGAACTTCTTTCGCACCGTGCGTAGATTACCGTGCTAATCGGAGGTATGCGTCTGCCTCAATCACAGTCGGCTTGCTGCTGTTGCACTCCCGCTATATATATTTTTTTGCCTCGGCAGCTCTCCCACTATATTTTTTCACCTGATGACGATTGCTTGTGTTGCGATCGAAACGTCGTGATATTTAAAAAAAAAAAAAATTCTATCTACGTGGCTTTTCCGAAAGACTCAAAGAATATGAATTCCTGCAGTCACGAAAGCTTTAAGTCAAGATTTGCGTCTATACTATTTATATAATTTTGGCTGTTATAAATGTCCACGTGATGAGCCACTTTGTTGAGCTATCACTTGTGGCCAGGTTACTTCTAAAGAAGCTAATAGCTAAGTGGGCTTTATCTGTCAAGATACAAAAAAAATGTTTAGTTTTATTGGTGTGTATGTATATTGTTAGGTGATTTATTTACATTCCCTATATTTTGCACTCCTATTGTGTCTTTGTATTTGTTGTTGTAAATTTATGACCTGCCCCTACTGGACATCTGTGAAAAAGAGCTTTCTAGCTCATCAGATTCCTCCAGGATACATCAATGTAACCGGGGGTTTTGGGGCGGCCGCCGCTGGGGCCCACCAGCTTGTTTCACCGATCTGAATTGGTGTGATACAGTGAGGGAAAAAAGTATTTGATCCCCTGCTGATTTTGTAAGTTTGCCCACTGACGAAGAAATGATCAGTCTATAATTTTAATGGTGGGTTTATTTGAACAGTGAGAGACATAATTACAACACAAAATTCCAGAAAAACGCATGTCAAAATGTTATAAATTGATTTGTATTTTAATGAGGGAAATAAGTATTTGACCCCGTCTCAATCAGAAAGATTTCTGGCTCCCAGGTGTCTTTTATACAGGTAACGAGCTGAGATTAGGAGCACACTCTTAAAGGGAGTGCTCCTAATCTCAGCTTGTTACCTGTATAAAAGACACCTGTCCACAGAAGCAATCAATCAGATTCCAAACTCTCCACAATGGCCAAGACCAAAGAGCGCTCCAAGGATGTCAGGGACAATATTGTAGACCTACACAAGGCTGGAATGGGCTACAAGACCATTGCCAAGCAGCTTGGTGAGAAGGTGACAACAGTTGGTGCAATTATTCACAAATGGAAGAAACACAAAAGAACTGTCAATCTCCCTCGGCCTGGGGCTCCCTGCAAGATCTCATCTCGTGGAGTTGCAATGATCATGAGAACGGTGAGGAATCAGCCCAGAACTACACGGGATGATCTTGTCAATGATCTCAAGGCAGCTCGGACCATAGTCACCAAGAAAACAATTGGTAACACACTACGCCGTGAAGGACTGAAATCCTGCAGCGCCCACAAGATCCCCCTGCTCAAGAAAGCACATATACATGCCCGTCTGAAGTTTGCCAATGAATATCTGAATGAGTCAGAGGACAACTGGGTGATATTGTTGTGGTCAGATGAGACCAAAATGGAGCTCTTTGGCATCAACTCAACTCGCCGTGTTTGGAGGAGGAGGAATGCTGCCTATGACCCCAAGAACACCATCCCCACCGTCAAACATGGAGGTGGAAACATTATGCTTTGGGGGCGTTTTTCTGCTTAGGGGACAGGACAACTTCACCGCATCAAAGGGACGATGGATGGGGCCATGTACCGTCAAATCTTGGGTGAGAACCTCCTTCCCTCAGCCAGGGCATTGAAAATGGGTCGTGGATGGGTATTCCAGCATGACATTGACCCAAAACACACGGCCAAGGCAACAAAGGAGTGGCTCAAGAAGAAGCACATTAAGGTCCTGGAGTGGCCTAGCCAGTCTCCAGACCTTAATCCCAAAGAAAATCTGTGGAGAGAGCTGAAGGTTCGAGTTTCCAAACGTCAGCCTTGAAACCTTAATGACTTGGAGAAGATCTGCAAAGAGGAGTGGGACAAAATCCCTCCTGAGATGTGTGCAAACCTGGTGGCCAACTACAAGAAACGTCTGACCTCTGTGATTGCCAACAAGGGTTTTGCCACCAAGTACTAAGTCACGTTTTGCAGAGGGGTCAAATACTTATTTCCTTCATTAAAATGCAAATCAATTTATAACATTTTTGACATGCGTTTTTCTTGATTTTTTTGTTTAATTATTGTCTCTCACTGTTCAAATAAACCTACCATTAAAATTATAGACTGATCATTTCTTTGTCAGTGGGCAAACGTACAAAATCAGCAGGGGATCAAATACTTTTTTCACTCACTGTATGTGAACAAAATTTCCCACGGCTGTGTATTTAAATAATGAGGTGAGCTGTCCTTGGCGAAGCGCGTCGGCTCTGCAGCGGTGCGATGAGGTGCGCTGGGACAGCTGGCAGTGTAGAGCTGTGAGCTTTTTACCCTGAGTGCTTTAATCCTCCACATCTGTCGCGAGTACGGTGTCCTCATGTCTCCTATATATCTCTTCCGAATACATCTCCCGTCTCTATCTCGGAGTGGTTACGTGTGTCCATGCCTCGAGGCAATACGGTGGTTTGTAGGCACTTGGTTCATGTTGTGTGTTCGCGTGTTTTATCGGCGTAATGTTCCCCCCGCGCACATTCTGAACTCGCCCTGCACGGCATCCATGCCGCAGCCTGCTGAGAACCGCTGCTCCAGAGGCTCTGTGGTTCCTTCCTGGCGCGCAGGTGACGAAGCTTCTGGACGGGAAACGCTCGCAAGCCGTGGGGATTCTCATGTCGAGCCTCCACCTCGACATAAAGGACATCCAGAGAGGTGACGCCAGCTCACGGCCCTCGCCACACTCGCCCACAGCTCGCCCACGCTCGCCCCACACTGGCGAGGTCATGCTCACCCACACGTGCAATCGTTAGCATCATCATTATCGCCGAGTGCTGGCTCTGTTTACCCCCCCCCCCCACCACCCGCCAGCTGCATCAACATGACATTACAGAGAGGCAAATTTCAAAACGCTTTTCCCAATGTGAGGCGTCCAATTCCAAAGAGCTCGGAGGCCGCAGGCTGCGCTTATGAACAGCCCCGCCGGGTCCGCTGTGCGACACCATCAGGGTGCGTGGAGACATGTGCCGAGGCTGTCGTCCATGAGACCCCTCCCCCACGCCTCCGGCTCACCGTCGGAGCCGCTGGCGCAGAACATCCCCGGCTTTCCACCTCCTGCCCTGAAGCTCGTGGGGCCACAACCCCTGAACCGGATTCGCACAGAACCATGGCAGCAGCAGCAGCTGATGCAGTTTAAACCTGGTGGAAAATTAAAAACTCTCCAGGCTGTGGTCACCACCCAGTACATAACCATGGAACGTATAACGCAGACTCAGTGCCAGATTCACAATTACAAAGGAGGTGGCATTTTCACAGCAGCGAAGATTCACCACTCCGCTCCTCCCGACACCAACTATCTAGCCCAACCACCTCCGTGAAAGATTACAGCTGTTGCTCTACAGCAACACCAGCCATAGACTCACATAGAGACCCATGGACTCATACAGATTCCGATACTCACATAGACCTATAGGCTCACACAGAAACCCAAAGACTCACGCAGAGACCTATATAAAGGAGACAGGGACGTCGTCTATCCCGTCATTTGTTCTTAACAATCGACCTCCATCATGATGCGCCCTGTCCGGAGCCGAATATTTTTCCAAATTTTATTCCCAAAGTAAAGCGAGCGGTGGAATGCACACAGCCCGCGAATTGTGATATTGTTCACTTGTTTTTCCTTCCTAGCATTTTATATCCTCGCCCCTCCCCCCCCCAAATAACTAAAAGCACGCTGCCGCATGGCGGCAAAACACACGTGTGCAAAGTCGATCACTTGACGGCGCGCGGGGTGAACTCTCCGCGGACACGACGAGATGATGACCTCCGTTGGTTCTGTCACCCCCAAACCGGTCGAATGTGCAGCCGTCCTGGAGATGGACACGTCGCAGGTGGACCTGGAGACGCTGCAGGCCCTCTTCGAGAACGTGAGTCCCCGTGGACGCATACACCGATGGTCCCTTGCGCGCACGAGCCGCTCATCCGTGGGTTGTCCCAAATGATGTTGGTGGTGCTGCTGCTGCGTTGGCTGTGATGCACAAGCACAATTAACAGAGTCAACACGTTCATCAATAATGCTATTTGTGTGTGTGTGTGTGTGGCCTTAACAGAAAAATATGTTTTGATTTAAAGCTTTCGTGACTGCAGAGAATTCATATTCTTAGTTCTTTCGGTAAAGTCACGTTGAAGGGAAACAATAAAATAATAAAATATATATACCGACACACCTGATGACGACCGTTTGTGTTATGGTCGAAACGTCGTGAGAATTTGTATTGTTTTATATATATTTTATTATTTTATTGTTTCCCTTCAATGTGACTTTACCGAAAGAACTAAGAATAAGAAATATATGTATTGAAAAAAATAATAATGTGCGACCGTTAGGGCAATGGCCCTTCTACCCGACTCCACGGCCCGCCAACTCGTTTCACCAACTCTCCCCCCCCCTCCCCCGCGGCCTCACTCGAGCTCACCAATTGTAAAAAAAAAACCTCCCCGGCCGCTCCCTGACAATCCCACCACGCCTGTCGTTCATTCTCCACAAAGTGAAGTGGTCCATATTTTGTCCACCACGGTGGGATGATGTAACACACCACGGTCAACTCTAACAACGCGATTTCCTGCTCGATCTGAGTGTCGGGGTGGCTGCTCATCTCTTTACAGCCCTGAGCCAGCGGCGGACGCTCCACATTTCTATGGCGGGTGTGAGACAACCTTGTAAATGCACACTCGCCAGTGGCGGCGGGGAGGGAGCTGGCGGTGGAGAGGCGTGGGCCCCCCGCGTGGGTATCTGTCGCGCAGCGTTAACGAGCCGGTGCTCGGAGAAACGCCGCTAATTAAGAGCACGTGTGTGTGTGTGGTGGGAGAGGTTTATAGGCCCTCAGGATCTTGAAGGTCGCGCACTACGAATCCTTCCTGTGACCGGCCCCTTGCTGTGCACGTACGTGCGTGTGCGTTTGTGCGTAAGTGTGTGTGCATGTGTGTTTTATTTTCTCGGGCGATAAACCCGCGATGAGGATATAAACGAGGAGGTGTGGGTTTCACAGGGAGCCGCGGTTGTGGTGGCGGCCCGGTTGAGAGTGGGGGGGGGGGGGGGGGGGACGGTGGCACTGTTGACGCCACCACCACCTCGCAGTTACTGGCATTCAAGCACGAGCGAGCAGGGTCAGAGTTCACATGGAATGAGGTGGTGGCGGCCGGGTGGCTCGGGAAGATCCATAATGGCTGTGTCGGCGGCTGTGTCGGCGGCTGTATCGGCGTCTCCAAGCCGGCGTGACTGAGAAGCTTGGGTTTGAATCTGGGTTTTGGCCCATGCCCTGTGATTGCATTGGGTCCCACAGGTCGATGGCTTCGGCACAGTCAACAAAGAAATGTGAAAAAAAGATGGCATTTAAATTTTGGTCTGCATTTATTCCAGCTCTGGGAATCAAATGCTAGTTTGACTGTCATGCGACGAACAGCACTGTCATTTGCATGGCAGGTAGGAGAGTGCTTCCCCTCTACCCTGTGTGTACGAGAGCGTCACTTGATGGGGTCTCAGAGGTACCTCTGCGATATCTGCTTCCTTGCGCTGTTCGGAAAAGTTGCCCTGTCAACGGCGATAACGCAACTCGGGTAAAACTGGGAGGGAAATTACAAAAAAAACATTCTGAAACGATAAAAAAACGCACGAGAGTGAGAATGTTTAATGGGTGTCAAACGGCTGTCGGGCAAAGTGTTTGAACTCGCGGTGTTTATGATCCAAGGGCCGAGCCAAGGGCTCGACAAACCCAGCTGTGCCCCGCTGCCCAACCTCCCTCAGCATGCACACGTGGGCACGCACGGGCACGCGGGCACGCACGCGCACGCACGTGGCCACGTACGGGTACGCGCGGACACACACGCGTGCACGCGCACGCCGAGCGAAGCACCCCGGTGTGGAGCGGGCGGCGATGTCGCTTTGATCGCCGACGCGTGGCGCCCGGCGTGTGCCGGCACGCGGCGCCGCGCTCGACGGAGCTCGCGAGAGCGCTGGAACCGAGACGCCCATCAGCCCTCCACCAAACGTCCCCCCCCCCCCCCCTCCCCACAGGGGTCGGTGAAGTGGTTACAAACAAAAGAATGGATCTCGCGCCTCCCAGACAGCGGCGATCCGCGACGCGTGGGCCCCCCCCCCCCCCCGCAGTCCGCTCGCGCGGTCGCTTGCGAAGTGGTTGGACGGCTGTCACAGTCGCCGATGGCAGCACCCCCACGCTCCCCCCTCTCACGCGTTAAGTCCCCATCGCGCTGACGCTATAGGGGCCAGACGTCGTCGTGAGTGACTGGCTCCCGCGTGACCTGCGGACCCAAGGCTCTAGGCCCTCCCCCGGACGGGTAGCGCTGGCGAGAGACGAGACATGCCTCGCGATCCCCGCCGTTTCTCCCGGGCTTCTGTGACCGCTGTGACAACGATTACCGAACTGCTTGTCGGGAGGCGATGACTCGAGTACTTGATTAGTGCAGCTAACTCGCTGGCGCTGACGGACTCGAATCCATAACGGCGGAATAGTCAAGATTTCGCTTGCTAGCATCGTGAGATGAGACAGGAGAGGCAGGAGAGTGCGTTGAGGGGAGTAGAGTGAGACGAGAGGGGAGAGGTAGGAGAGTGCGTGGAGGGGAGCAGAGTGAGACGAGAGGGGAGAGGTATGAGAGTGCGTGGAGCAGTGAGCTGAGAGGGGAGAGGTAGGAGAGTGCGTGGAGGGGAGTAGAGTGAGATGAGAGGGGAGAGGCAGGAGAGTGCGTGGAGGGGAGCAGAGTGAGACGAGAGGGGAGTGGTAGGAGAGTGCGTGGAGGGGAGCAGAGTGAGATGAGAGGGGAGAGGTAGGAGAGTGCGTGGAGGGGAGCAGAGTGAGATGAGAGGGGAGAGGCAGGAGAGTACGTGGAGCAGTGAGCTGAGAGGTCGGAGAGTGCTTGGAGAGGGGTTTTTGACGGGGAGTGCCGATGCCAAGACCGCTGTGGTCGCGACTCTCACTGAAGAAGAAGAAGGGGGGGGGCGGGGGGTCCGCACCGTGAGTTCATATAAAACTCCCCCGTGCCTCCCCCCACCCCCCACCGTTAGTGTTGTGTTCCCCGCACGCACGCTATTAATTACCACGGGCTCGTGATTGCGTCGCGCGAGCGCTCATTAGCGCCAGGCGGCCCGGGCGCCGGCTCCGGGGTCTTGGATACGGACGCGGAGGAGCCCGGTTCTATAGAAACACAAATCCGCTCTGAGAGAGAAATCGCGACTCGCATGCCGAGCCACGCTCCCTGTTCCAGGCCTGACTTGGATTAGGGTGGGGGATGAATGGGTACGCGTGTGTGTCAGCATGTCTGTGTGTGTGTGGGGAGCGGTCGTGTAGCGGTTAGCGCGCTGCGCTACGAACCCGGTCACCCGAGTTCGATTCCCGCTCACAGCCAACACCGGTGACGATTATCTGAACCCGGTTGTGGGCCTCACCTAGGTCAAGTCAGCCTCAAATGAGTACCTGGTGTGGTGTGTAAACATCGTAACTGGGGAGACAAAGGCGGCCGGGCGTGGTGCTGGCAACCCACCCCCCAAGTGCTGTAGTGGCCTTCATAGGTGCTCGCGAACAGCACTTACTCCAACAATATGTTAAGGCTATACGGGGGATCTTTGTCTTTGTATGTCATTTTGTGTGTAAGTATGCGAGTGTGTGTGATTATGTGTGTCTCTGGGTGCGGTGGCGCAGAAGTTAGCGTGCTGTGCTCCGAACCCGGTGACCCAATTTCGATTCCCGCTCACGGTCAACACCAGTGACAATTATCTGAACCGGGCCCGGGCCTCCCATATGAGTGACCAGTGCGATGTATAAATATCTCCACTGGGGAGACAAAGGCGGTCGTGCATGGTGCCGGCAACTTACCCCCGCGTATGCCGTGTTGGCCTTCATCGGTCGTCCCTAACAGCCCTTGCCCCAACACCCGGTGTGGGCTGTATGGGGGGGCCTTTGTCTTCATCCCACCACGTGTTTGTGGATGAGCATGTGCGTGCGTGTGAGCGTGCGTGCGTGCAAGTGAGCGAGAGCTCACGGGCCGCTGCGAGCGCGAGCCACTGTGCCTGTGACCGACGGCTCTCAATGAACCCCCACTGTCGTAGCGAGCCCAGAAGGAGGAGCTGCTCTCCATCCGGTCGCATGTCTCCTCCAACAACGCCTCAGCCGACGCCAAGCCCCTCGACAAACCCGAGCAGTAAGAACCAACGGTGTTGGGCAGCACAAACAGCGAAGAGTCCCAGGGCAGCCAGGGCAGCACCAACAGCAACGAGTCCCAGGGCAGCCAGGGCAGCACCGACCAATCCCTGGGTATCCCAGTGATGGGGGGGGCCTTCACTAAACAACTTTTGGGGCATCCCATCATCGGGGGGTGGGGGGGGGGGGGGTGAGGCGTGGGGGGAGGGTGTCAGGCCAGGACACATCCATTAACGAACACGGGATGTCGGGCCTAGCGAGGGCGGCGAGGCGAGGGCCTTTGCCTGACGCGTGCGCTGTCTCTGTAACGCAGATTCCTCTTGGAGCTGTCGCAGATCCCGAGTTTCAGCGAGCGCGTGTTCTGCATGACATTCCAGTCGGCCTTCTCCGAGGGCATGAGCGGCGTGCGGCGCAAACTCGACCTGATGCAGCGCGTGTGCACGGTGAGCACGACAGCCATGGCGTTGGTGGCGGTGGTGGTGGTGGCGGCGGTGGTGGCAGCTCACCGCAACCACACTCGCCCGCACCGCGACACTCGCCCCATACAAACCCCAACTGACCTCGAGACCCAACATCCCAAGCTGTAAACCCAGCGAGTCCTAGTCCACAAGCTGATCTGAGCCTTAACCCTGAAGCCAAGCACGGCTGGCTTCATACGGTGCGAAAGAAGATCAGCATACATACAAATATGAACCCTTAACTCACACGCTAATCATGACCAAAGGCCTGGACTCAAAACCAAGCTCCAACCCAAACCCTGACCCAGTCCCTATTAAAAGCTCTGGCCCCTAACCCCAGACCCCACCTCCGCCATCAGCCCTAAGCCTATCGCAGCCAATAAACTCAAACCCTGACCGTAGACGCAACCCAAACGCTGACTCGGTCCCTAATAAAAACCATAAGAACTGTGATCAGACCACAAGCCCTTAGCTCAAACCCTACCCCCCTCCCCATAACTCTCACTCCCCCATCCCATTCCTCCCCCCCCCGACCACGTGGCGCTGATTCCCCAGAGCCTGCGTGTGGGCACCGGCGTGCAGCGCGTGCTGGGGCTCGTGCTGGCACTGGGGAACTACATGAATGGGGGCAACCGCACGCGCGGCCAGGCCGACGGCTTCAGCCTCGACATCCTGCCCAAGCTGCGTGACGTCAAGAGCAGCGTAAGTGGTGCAACGACAATAACAACAATGACAATGATAACAACAATGACAATGGCAACACCAACAATGATGACAACAACGACAACAATGATGACAACAACGACAACAACGACAATAATGACAATGACAACAACGACAATAATGACAACAATGACGACAACAACGACAATAACAATGATGACGACAACAGTGACGACAATAATGACGACAACAACAATAACAACGGCAACAATGATGACAATAATGATGACAATAACAACGACGACAATGACAACGGCAATGATGACAACAAAAATTACAACAATGATGACAACAACGACGACAATGATAACAACAATGACGACGGTGACAACGATAATGACAACAATGACGACAACAATGACAACAACAATGACAATGACATCAACAACAACAGTGGGAAACACGTGAGCGGGCAGACGCGTTCTCCGCTCATTGCAGAGGCTCGCGGTTCAAGCCTAGCGGCCGCCCTGCCAGCGTTTGAACCGTAAGGACCTCCGCCTTCGTCTGCTTCACAGCGGGCGTCAACGATCACGTGATATTATCCAAGCGAGGGCAGCGACGCCACCCCCCCCCCCCAACTCCAAAAATGTGAATAACCAGAAAATTATTTATTTTGGTAAAAGCATTCGGTAACATCGCCCGCTGTTTGCGGCCTATTTTCTGTCTGTGAGCCATAGCGCCTTGCTTCATGTTCTTATGCCAAGTGTTTCTTTAGCAAGAGCACCCACGACAGCCAAAACGACAACAACAGCAACGACGACACCACCATCCGACATGGCGAGAACCACGGCGGCGACAGTGCCGTGGTGCTTCTGTCCAGGCTAAGTGCCCTTTGAGTCAATCTAGGAGAAGCCCGGGAACGGTTCAGACACCACTCAGCCACCAATGTTAGCTGTGGCCTGGAATTTGAACTCTCATTGCCAGGCTCGTAGCGCAGTGCGCTAACAACTGCGCCATGACTCCCCCGCTTATAGAAAAATATAAACTAGTACGACGCCGCCGCACCTCACTCGCTCGCTCCCGAAGAGAGCGAGAACAACACTGGGGAGGAACCACAGAAGAGCGGTGAGGAGCAGGCACTATCAACAGTTTCCTCAAGCTCTGCGGTCCTCCATATATTAAGGAGTTGTCAGCCAATTAATGAGTGTGACCGGAAGAAAACCCACAGGTTCGAGGAGACGACACCCTATCCCGTACAGATGGGAGAGATGAACCTCATTGCGGTGCCCCGGTGTACCATAGTACCCCGGCTCTCGCAGTCATTATTAGTCTGTTGATGGTTGGCGATGCGGCAATCGACTCATCTCGACGAGCTGTACACGATGCACCACTACGGTGCGTACGAGTGTTCAGGGTTTCGGCGCAATCGTCCTCCCTGCGTTTCGACATCGCGGAGTGGCACTGATTTCGGATTGATTGGTACCCCAGTCGCGGAGTGAAGTACACACCTGGAAAAAAATAGTGCCCCAGAAATAAAATATGAAATTATTATTTAATTATTATTATTATTATTATTTGGAACCCCGGGGTACCGCCATAAGGATCAGATGATGATTAGTCCACGTTAGTTGTACCGCATTCTCCTGGCGAGCCAGGGTATGGGTACGGCGGCTCCTCGACGCCCATGGGAAGAGAGTTGGACAACATCTGTGTGTGACCCAGCAAGTGCTGGGTCGCAGGCCGCCACGTGCGGTGTAGCCGCCATGGCCCGTGTGAGTCGTTTATGTATGTACGTTGAACTTCTTTTGCACCGTAAGAAGCCAACTGCGCTAATCGGAGGCGTTGGTTGATGGCCCCGTTCTGTCGCAGGACAACCACACGAGCCTGGTCTGCTACCTGACCTCCGTCTACCTGCGCTGCTTCGACAATGTAAGTTGCCTGACCCAGCTCCGCCCTCGCCAACACAACTTGGTTCAAGCCGACCTGATGTGATTAAGCTTACGCAACATAACCTGGGTTGACCCCAGAGTGACCTGACCAAACCTAACTGAACCCAACGCGACGTTTGCCCCATTTGAGCCTGAGCTGGATCCGTAACGAGCAGACGACTCAATTCACGCTGACCTGACCTGACTTGACCTGACAACCCATCGCCATGTGAACTCGCGTGACTCCCACCCGATCCGGCCCAACGTGACGCAGCCCAAAGTAGGAACCCGTCCCGACCCGACCCGGTGACCCCTGTGCCCCCGCTGGCAACAGGACGCAGGCACGGAACGGAGCGTCTTCCCGTTGCCCGAGCCGCCCGACCTCCTGCAGACGTCGCACATGGCCTTCGAGGACTTCTCCAAGGAGCTGCGGCGCCTGCGGAGGGACCTCAAGGGTAGTGCCCTCGCGTCTCCAACAGAGTGACGAGAAAACTCGGCGTCGCCCGGCGGCACGCGAACGTGAACCGTAAACGCGGCGGCATCCGTCGCATGTCACCAACTCGCGAAAGCTGCGCGCGGCCGGCCCCTGCCTCGGGCGGTTTATGACACTCGCCCCGCGCTGGCGGAAGGGTCAGCGCGGGACGGTAAAGTCTTCTTTGAAGTGGGCTCGTTAACGATGCCGGAGAAACCAATTAAGGGAGCCCGGGCCCCTGCGGTAACGACGCTTGTGGCTTAGAAGGCAGAGATAACGAGGCCCACGCTTGACCTCAAGATGCCTCGACCTCTGACCCCGCACAATGTGACCCCGCACCGCCTGGGTCGTTAAGAGGGGTCGTGAAAATGTATAAATTTGGGGCGGGGGGCAGGGAGGGGCTCCTCAACACAACCCCCCCTCCTACCCGCCGCACCCCCCACATTCATTGGCATTGCCACAACAATCTGGACATATCTGTGCGGTCAGTGATGGATTATGGTTAATTATGTTTTCAAGTGCAGCGGTTCACCCATTACTTTCCCAGTAAACATGGAACGTTGGCGCAACGTTGGCATGTGTTTCGGACTCTCTAATTGCCCAACGCGCCAGGACCTGCGCCGCAGCTACAATGTTTCCGTGCGGTGAATTTGCGATGGACGTTGTAGCCGGGGTTCTTCGCCAAACGTTTAATCCCAGAGCTGAGAGTTGTGTTTCCCATTTGGTCGCATTTGGGAGATCCCCAGCTAAAATATAAAGATCCACGGCTCGGTTCCCGACACTGCCGGGCAAATATTTCCATGGGATTCAAGTCCTGTACGGCCACACACGGGAAACTTCCAGCTGGGCCGCAATCCAGCGGTCATTGGTTCGATTGAAACAATGGGGCAAGTTTTTTAAATACCTCCACCAGCAGCAGCGTAGACACGTGAACCACCACAGTTAGTCGATTGGCTGGCACACCTCCAAAAACGTATGACCAGCGTGGAAGAGTAGGCCAAGTACCCTCTAAAGGGGGCTCTCTACTGGACGTCCCTCCGGCAGCGGTGTGATCGACCACTTGCAGGGCTGTGTCTTTACCGTGGTGTGCGCGCGTGTGTGTGTGTGTCGATCTCGCTAGCGTGCGAGTCCGAGACGGAGAGGGTCTGTACCACCTCTGCACCAGAGAACCTCCAGCCTTTCAAGAGCAAGATGCAAGATTTCCTCACCTCTTGTGAGCACCTCCCTTTATTTATATATATTTACAAGTACCTGGTGTGGCTGGGCGTGCATAAAAAATATGGCCACCACCCCCCCCCGCCCCCTCGTGTGCAGTGCCACCCTTCTAACAAACAGCACTTGCCCCAACAGCCTGTTAAGACCTATATGGGTGATCTTTGTCTCTTTGTGTGTGTGTACGTATGTGCGTGCATCCCGTCGTTCTGTCCATCCGTCTGCCTCTTCACCATTCAGCGAAAATTCGTCAGGAGACAGAAGAGCGCTTCCTGGAGGAGACTCATAAGAAGTTAGTGGCACGCGGCGAATACTCACAAACATTCATCCGGCATAAATCATGCGGGGTTGTGAGAGAGTAAAGTTGGTGAATGAGAGAGACGGGGAGGAGAGATCGGTTCCGGTGTGTGTATCGTGTAAGTACGCGCGTGTGTGTGTGCGTGTGTATATATATCGTGTACACGTGTGTGTGTATCAAGTACGCGTATGTGTGTGTATCGAGTACACGTGCGTGTGTGTGTGTACACCGAGTACGAATGTGTTCATATAGAATTAACGTGTGTGTATCAAGTACGCGTGTGTGTATTTAGTATGCGTGTGTGTATCGAGTACGCGTGTGTGTGTATCGAGTACGCGCGTGTGTGTGTGTATACTAACTACGAATGTGGTTATATAGAATACACGTGTGTGTATCGAGTACGCGCGTGTGTATAGAGTAAGCGTGTGTGTATTTAGTATGCGTGTGTGTATCGAGTACGCGCGTGTTTGTATCCAGTACATGCTTGTGTGTGTGTGTGTACTGAGTACACGTGTGTGTGTACCGAGTACACGTGTGTGTGTACCGAGTACACGTGTGTGTGTACCGAGTACACGTGTGTGTGTGTGTATCGAGTACACGTATGTGTGTATCGAGTACGCGTGTGTGTATCCAGTACATACGTGTGTGTGTATTGAGTACGTGTGTGTGTATCCAGTACATGCGTGTGTGTGTGCGTGTATCGAGTACGTGCGTGTGTGCGTGTGTATCGAGTAGGTGTGTGTGTGTGTGTATCGAGTACACGTGCGTGTGTGTGTGTGTATCGAGTACACGTGCGTGTGTGTGTGTATCGAGTACACGTGCGTGTGTGTGTATCGAGTACGTGTGCGTGTGTGTATCGAGTATGTGCGTGTGTGCATATCGAGTACGTGCGTGCGTGTGTGCGTATCGAGTACGTGCGTGCGTGTGTGCGTATCGAGTGCGTGCGTGTGTGCGTATCGAGTGCGTGCGTGTGTGCGTATCGAGTGCGTGCGTGTGTGTGTGTGTGTATCGAGTACGTGCGTGTGTGTGTGTGTGTATCGAGTACGTGCATGTATGTGTGTGTATCGAGTACAGGTGCGTGTGTGTGTGTGTATCGAGTACACGTGTGTGTGTGTATATATCGAGTACACGTGTGTGTGTGTGTATCGGTTATTTTGCAGAGCGCTCTTCGCGCCGCCAGCCTGGAGTTTGTTACTGGGGGGGTCTTGGGGAGACTGCAGCAGTGGAATGTAAAACAGAGACTGGGGAGGGCGGGGGGGACCTGAGGCAGGCCTGGATTAAACCAATCCATGTCGACATGACCATTGTTTATTGGCCCATTTAATGAAACTCGATAGGCGCATGCAGGCACATACCCACACGCACGCACGCACGCGCATACGCACACACGCATACGCACACACGCGTACACAAGCACATACCCACACGCACGAAGGCACATACTCTCACGCATGCACGCACATACCCACACGCACGCGCACACGCACGCACATGTATACACGCTTGTGCACCCCGCACGAGACAAATGTCCCCCGTGTAGCCTTAACAGACTTTTGGGGCAAGTGCTGTTAGCGAGCACCCTACGAAGGTCGGCACGGCACACAGAGGGGTGGATGGCCAGCGCCACGCCCTACCGTCTTTGTCTCCCTTGGTGCTGATGTATTACACACCGCACCAGGCTGAGTCGACCTAGGGGGGGACCCAGAAGTGGTTGGGATATTCGCCACTGATGTTGGCCGTGAGCGGCAATCGAAAACCAGCATCAACACAGAACGCTACTCCAAACAAATGATGCCGTGGTTCCGCCGTGCGTGGTGAACCAGCGGCGTGGCGACGTCGGCACAGACGCGAAGAACTAAATAAACTCCTTTGCAATTCCCCCCTCTGCGTGGCCCAGTGCATGCCCCCCCCCCCCCCCCGGCATGTAGCGGACCACGGTGCAGTTGCATCGCCTGCACACTCAATAGCGCCGTGTCCCGGTCGGTTACACGTGTGTGCGTGTGTGCGTGTGTGCGTGTGTGCGTGTCGTCGCCCGCAGCTTCTTGGACACGGCGGAGTTTTTCTGCATGAAGCCACGGAACGGCGAGAAGGAGGTGACCCCGACCCAGCTGCTCGGCCTCTGGGCCGAGTTCGCCGCCGACTTCAAGGAGAGCTGGAAGAAGGAGAGCAAGCGGATCGTCGCCGAGCGGTGCGTGTCCGCGTACGCTCCGCCCGCCCGCCCGCCCGCCGGCCCGCACACTGGTGCACGTCTTTGGACGCCGATTGGGCCGAGTAGAACCGAGCGCCTTCAGCGCAGTGCCGGCGCGGCGGCATCTCCAGCTGCCGTCCATTCTCCGCACGGCCCTGCAATCCCCACTCTCCGTCTCCCTCGCCTTGCCCAAACGTGCACTGTTGCGCGCACTCCCTCGGTGTTTCAATCGTCAGCTGTTTCTTTGCAACTCGCAGATGGCAGCGAGGCATTGCTGGTCGAGCTCTTCTCTCCCGTTGAACCTTTTTTTTTTGCCGCTCTCCAGTTCGGGTCACGCGCTCTCAAAAGGAGAGTTTTAGAAATGAGGTTTTCCTCGTGTGGCGAACTGTTGTAATTATCGTCTCAACCCGTAACGCGCCGCCGCCACCGCATGATACTCGCTTGCTCTCCGAGAGGCGCGAGGAGGAGGAGCCACAGACGAGCGGGAAGGCAGCCACAATTGCCCGAGTTCTGGAGTCCTCTCTATATTAAGGTGTGATCGGCCCAAATCACGAGTGTTTTGGGCTGCTTTTGGTCCTCGCCCTTCAACAAGGGGCAGTGTGTGCTTGCTCCCACCTCTTCCGAGATGCCTGGCCAGTGTGGAAGTGTAGGCCAAGCACCTCTTTCGCGCTGCCTGCAGTGCTGGAGAGGCCCCTTGCGCCAGGAGTGGCGCGGGCGAGCGAGTGGGCGAGCAATCTCTCGGCAAGAGCATTGAGCGGTGCGAATCTTCGTTGATCGCACAGTTACGATCCTTTTTCTGAAACGCACGCCGCGGCTCGCCGCGCCGGCGCGGAGCAACGGGGAGGTGGGGGGGAGCAGGCACGGGGGTCGGGAGGTGGGGGGGGCGTGGGGGTGTGGGCTGGTGCTCTCGTTTTTGGACGCAAGTCAGACCAGACCCTCGCGGCCGCCGCCGCCGCCAGAACCAGAAACAGGCCCTGGCGACGCCGATGACAGAATTCTTGGCGCAGCCCTGACGGTTTTCAGCGTTGGCCTCTCTCCCTCTCTCTCTCGCTGCCCGAGTAACGGCGGGGTCTTGTGCTTCAGCTAAGCTCTGTGTGTGAGCACAATTTCACAGTCTCCAAGCAGTCTGGCTCCACTGTGTAATTTATAAATTGACCTGCAGTCAATTAAAAATTATTTTGCAATTACTGGGCGGGTAGGCGGGTGGGTAGGCGGGTAGGCGGGCAGGCGGGCGGGTGAGCGAGGAGTTGGACGGAGAAGGGGTCGCGGTTGGGGAGGCACCCGAGGTTTAACAAAAACAACAGCCGGGCACCTCCGTCCGTACGAGAAGAAGGCCTCCTCGTTCGTTTTGCTGCTAAATATCTTCCACAAGTGACGCTTTGTGGTGACGTCCGTGTTGTGAACCCGCACCCAGGACCTTAACAGAGAGGGGTCCTTTGTCTGTGAACATCTGGCGTTTCACCAGCATTGGTTCATGCGAGCCTGACTCTGCTGCTGATGTTGAAACCGGTCCTGAGTTTTTGGCACTTTTTTTACGTGCAAGAGGAAAGGAGTTATTAATGTTGTTGTGAAAATTCTGCACAACGATGATATACGCTGCGAGTTCGTTTAGCTAGTTTCGTCTAATCTGCTTACCCAGGCGAGAAGAAAGGAATTAAATATACAGCGAGGATAGGCGAAATAAAAAAATAAAAACAAAGTCACAGAGTGACTCCGGCTCGAGCGAGCATCGAGGTATTGGTGCTCATCTGCCGTTCACAGCCCTGCAGGGCCAGCGATGGAAATTCTATATTCACATGGCGGAGACGAGTATGTCTATCGGACAACCGCTGTTGGCTTGGCCACAGAGTAGTGCTTATTTTTTCTCGACCCCAGAGGGAGGGAATGATGGGCTGAGTCTACTCCCTCCGCTCCAGGGTTTGACCTCGCGACTTCACGATCGCTGCAGCGCTGGGCTATCACCTGGCCGGTCCGTGAGCACAGCAATGTTCTCTCTCTCTCCCTCTCTCTCGACATCGCACCGCGGCCCGTGTCCTGTGACTTGCAGGGGGGGTGGGGGGAGCGTGGCCCGTTTCAGTTGCCACGGAAACCTTCGCAGTAAAAATTAAGTCACCGGGCGTTACGTACGCAGCCGCCGTGGGAGACGGCGTTTTCGGGGGGGGAGGTGGAAGGGGGGGGGGGCATTATTGTTGTGGTGGGGGGAGAAAGCTGGGATTTTTTTTCTCTCTTTAGTCCACGCGGCAATCGGTGCCTTAATAACAACTCCGCGTCATCTACCTGCCGCCCCGCTCGCAGATTCGTGGGCTCTGCGGCGTCTCGCTCGGGACGTTCGACAGGGCAATCAGCGTTAATGATCGTCATTTGTTCGGAGTGGGAGCAGACGCACGCACGAATGTTTGTCGTTGTGATTTTGGCCACTTCCTTCGCGTATCCATGGAGAAGAAGAAACCACCACCCCCAGTGCATGCAACCTACTTGCTGTACCATCACCTGACCACGTGGCCATGCAGAACGAGAGTCTGTGTCGTCCACACTTCAACCTCACCTCGCATGCGGCGCACGCTCCCGACGACCGTTCTCTCTCAACCAGCGTCAAGGTCATGGGGTCGTCGCGGACAGTGCCGTTGGTGCTACCAGACACCTCTCGCCATCGCGTCTTTCCTTCTACGAGGTCCCACAGTTGTCGCTGAGTTGTTACTGAACCCACGAAGTCCAGTCTCACCGCCACCACCACCAACGCCCGGCTTTAGGTCTTCTCTTTCTCTTCGTCGCTGACCTCTGGGTGCCACTCCAATGCCTGGCACGGTCACCCGCCCTCCACCACCCTGCACACCACGCGTCCCACCCATCACTACCGCCTCTCCCCTGATTACATCCACAACACTTCCTTTAAGCCAGATCGTGGTGATGACCGGCACGACGTACGAGGTCAGGGGTGGTGTGTGAGAGATTAACCCCCCCCCTCTCCATTCACCCCCCCACCCCCGCTGCAGACTCCGAGAGGCACAGAAGCAGTACACGGTGCGCACGGCACCCCCGGGACAAGTCACGCTCACCGCCAAGAAGGCAGACGGACTGGTGAGCCTGTGTGTATGGTGTATGTCTCTGTGTGTCTGTGCGTGTGTGCCTGGGTATTTTGTACCATCGGACACTCCACCCCCACAACTCACAACTGGTGATGGGGCAGTTCTGGAGAGAGTGGAGAGTTTCCTATACCTGGGCAGTGTGCTCATGACTGGCTCCGGTTTGGCAGCGGAGGTCTCACTCCGAATCAGTCGAGCGGCATTATATTTTTAGCGGTTGCGTAATGTTGTGTGGAAGCTACCTGGTCTGTCGCTCCGCACGATGCTTCAGGTCTTCTCGGCCATGGTCATTCCCTTCCTTCTCTATGCTTGCGAAACGTGGACCCCCCTAATGGAACATCTTCGCCGGTTAGAAACATTTAGGTTGGCCTGCCTACGATCCATCCTGGGTTTAACCAGGCTGGATTGTGCGAGGAGCTCACAAATCCTTGAAAGATCTGAACAAAGTCCCATCGGTGAGCTCCTCCGGCAGGCAAAGCTGCATTGGCTGGGCCATGTAGCCCGCATGCCCAGCCACCGCATGCCTAAACAGCTTTTGTTCGGCCGGATAGAGGGGGCTAAAAGGGCGTGGCACGGTCTAGTGAAGAGATGGAGTGATGTGGTACAGGAGGACGTGGAGGTGAGTGGACTTGCCAATGACTGGTACCAGCGGTGTCAAGATCGGCCTCAGTGGAGGAGGCTCGTGAAGGACGCTACTGGGCAGTTGGAGGCAGTCGCCCTCCAACAACAACGGAGGGTGGAGGAGCGACGCACACAACAATGAGCGGAGCGCCGGGTGGCTAAAGCATAGGAAGTTGGCACAGTAGGTTTCACAGGTGGTGCATCAACCAGTCGTCTCAGTCAGTCGACCCGTTGCACCTGGGTCTGCCCCGTGACCTCCTGCCAGCGGGCGTTCGACACTTCACGTGGCCTCAAGGTGCACATAGCCTGGCACAAGCGTCGTGGTGACGTCACCGCCACTTAGTGGCGAATGGCGGTTGTTGTTATGTCTGTGTGTGTGTCTGTTTGTGTGTTTGTGTGTGTGTATGTGTGTCTGTGTGTTTGTATGCATGTCTGTGTGCATGTGCGCCTTTTTTTGTGCGCGTCTTTGTGCCGTGCCGGCCTTCATAGGTGCTTGCTAACAGCATTTCCCCCCAAAGTCTATGCAGGCTATACGGGGGATCTTTGTGTGTCTGTGTGGGGAGCGGGAGTGCAGCGGTTAGCACGTTGCGCTGCGAACCCCGCAGAGACCCGAGTTCAATTCACGCTCATGGTCAGCAGCAGCAGTGATGATTATTTGAACCCGTCCTAGGCCTCCCCTAGGTCGACTCAGCTTAAAATGAGTACCTGGTGCCGTGTGTAAACATCGCCACACAGGAGACAAAGGCGGCCGGGCGTGGTGCTGGTCATCCACCCCTTTGTGTGCCGTGCCGACCTTCGTAGATGCTACTTGCTAACAGCATTTGCCCCAACAGCCTGTTAAGGCTTCACAGGAAGGGAATTTTTTTTGTGTCTGTTGGCTCATGGCACCTAGCCTGGCAGAAGGTCACTTCAAGTGGCCTCAAAGTGCACCTAGCCTGGCACAAGTGCCGTGGTGACATCACAGCAACCAATGGCGGCTGTTGTGTACTTGAACAAACATTGCCTTTCTCAGCAATAACACCTCGTCATTGGCTATGTTGATGTTGACAATGATGTGGATAACGTGGGTGGATGAAGTGAGTGAGCTGGATGATGATGATGATAATGAGGTTGGTGACGTGGATGATGATGATGATGTGGATGATGATGATGTAGGTGAGGTGAATGATAAGGTGAGTGAGGTGGATTATGACGTGGGTGAGGGGGATGATGAGGTGAGTGAGGTGAGTGAGGTGGATTATGACGTGGGTGAGGGGGATGATGAGGTGAGTGAGGTGAGTGAGGCGAGTGAGGTGGATCATGACGTGGGTGAGGGGGATGATGAGGTGAGTGAGGTGGATTATGACGTGGGTGAGGGGGATGATGAGGTGAGTGAGGTGAGTGAGGCGAGTGAGGTGGATTATGACGTGGGTGAGGGGGATGATGAGGTGAGTGAGGCGAGTGAGGTGGATTATGACGTGGGTGAGGGGGATGATGAGGTAAGTGACGTGGGTGAGGGGGATGATGAGGTGAGTGAGGTGGATTATGACGTGGGTGAGGGGGATGATGATGATGATGATGAGGTGAGTGGGTAACGATGTTGATTCACCTTCCCCCGGTTCCCGTTGTAGAAAGCACGGCTGCGTCTCAAGGCGACGTCTTCGATGTCGGAGGTGTGAGCGTGCGGCAGCGGCGAGAGCGTTGGCATCGTTCCTCCTGCTCCTCCGTCAGCTACCTCCACCTCATCCTTCACTGCCCATTACGAATCTTCATCGTCATGGTCAATGATGACGAACGCTTCTCGTCACCTCGTGATGATAACTATAATTAAGTAATCATCATTGATACCATCATCATCATCACCACGTCCATGTGGTACCATCATTATCTTCCTCACTGTATCATCCTCGTCAACACCCTCTCCTAGTGTCATCTCATCGTCTGAATCGTTAGGTATCACGTCGTCGTCATCATCACCTCCTCAGTCATGTTCATTCTGCAAGTGCTGCCTAATCACCCACGGTCACACGCTACCTCCTCCTCATCCGCCACCTCATTCCTCCTCGCCCTCATGCTCACCTCGTCACCATTCACCTCGTCGCACGCACTGACCCCTTCTCGCGACGACAGCTTTACAATCAAAATCGTGCTTCCTCGGGAGAACGCAACAACAACAACAACAACCACCACCACCACCACCAACGGGGCGGGGTGGCTGGAGAAGTCAGGGACTCGGCTGATGTCGGCGTCACCGATGCGTCTCGCGCGGTAGTTTTTCGTTGCCGTTGTTGTGCTAAAGCTACTGCGCCTCATTTAACGTTCAATTTTAAACCGGCTCAGGTGCCAGTGACGGCGTCGCGGCTGTTGTTGCTAGGATTACCCAAATAAGCTTTTTAATCAATACGTTTTGTTTTTTTAAAAAGAGTTCACGTTCGCAAACGACCGCGCGTCTTCTCGTGCCGCGCGCGATGGGAAGCGACACGCGGGCGTCTGTGGGACGCTGCCGGCGACGACGGCAACATCCGAGGGATTTGTTGTCGATGTTGGTTGTTATTTTATTTTGTTTTGCACAGTGGCGGCCAGGCAGAGAGACGGACGGACAGACACAGGACAGACAGACAGACGCACGACCTCACGGCGACGAGACTGACACACACTGACACAGACGCGCGCTGAGAAACGTCTGTAGACACACACACGGGACGCATGCACGCACGCACGCACGCATCTCAACAGATCTATAGGCAGACAGAAGCACAAATACGCACGCATAGAAGCAGGTATGCATTTAAACACACAGACTCCGACACACGGACACGGACAAACAGACACAGACGCACACTACGAAACAGACACGCAGGCGCGGACACACGTATACAGATACTGTACGAAGGTAACAAAAAAAAAGACCCCCCATGTATAGCCGTCACAGACTGTTTGGGGGCATATCGACGCAGACACGCTCAGTTAGGCACATGAACACAGACACGCACACAGACAACATTCTCACGCGATAGTCGGGGGGGTGTCGTGGACGCGTCGACACGAGCCGGCCCAAGTGTTGAACGTGTGCTGTGTGTGCAATGCCGCGATCGTGCTCAATAAACCTGCCCGGGGTGGCTGACTTGCCCGGGTTCAAATCCGGGTGTCAGCCGCATGGTAAAACCGGGTTCTCGGCTGTGGCGACTTGATGGTCTTGGGTCAGGATCACTAATGCATTTTAAACTCAACAATTTTATTTTATTTTACCAGTTAAGGGCCCACGAGCCTGGCCGCAAATGACAGCTTCATCGAATTGGCTTATCAGGTGGACATTTATAGCGGTCAAATTATCTTAAACGCATGTTTTACTACATGTGGAGGGAAAAATGGAAGGACCTGGAGAGAAATCCACACGACCACGGGGAGAAACATTCAAACTCCAAATATACAGCAGGCGTCGGGGGTTTATTCGTGCCGGGGAATCGAACTCGCGTCGCTTGGTTCATAGCGCAGTGCACTCACCACTGTCCCACCGCTCCACTCACAATTTACCTAACCTCCTTTGAAACTAAGATTATCTGCACGTGCCTGATGATTGTTCAAAACGTTACGGGGTACCGAAGACCAACATCCCACGTATAGCCTCCACAAACTTGTCGGGGAAAGTGCTGTTCGCGAGCACCTATGAATGCCGCCAGCACTGCACACGACGGGCACACACGCGCACGTTTTTTTTTTTCTAAATTTCTTTCAATCTCCGATCTGGCAGAAGGAAGGAAGCCATGGCGAGCTGTAGCGACCTCTTCCGGTTGGTCTCAAGCACCAGCTCGCATCAAGTTGGGCCGAATGCGTTCGAGTGGGGCACGGGTTGGTGTCACAGACCAAGCACGCTCACTTTGGGGGGTGGGGGGGGAGCAAATTTCATCTGAGGCCGCGTGTGGCCGAGTAATTTGCGAAACCCGTAATGGACCGCCGTGGGGCACGTGACCACACTCAAGAGCACAAGGACAAAGATCCACCGACAGGCTGTTTGGGAGCAAGTTGTTGTTGTTCGCGAGCGCCTATTAAGGCCGGCATGGGGGTTTTGTGGCCAAAAGCAAGCCCGGCTGACCTCTTGTCTCCCCGTACTGATGTTTACACACCGCATCGGATACTCAGTAAATGTTGTGTCGACCGAGGGGAGGTCCAGACCCGGTTCAGATATTTCCCACTGTTATTGCTTACACAGACTGTTGGGGCAAGTTCTGTTAGCGAGCGTCTATGAAGGCCGGCACGGTACATGAGGGGGTGGGTGTCCAGAACCACGCACTGACGCCTAACCGCCTTTGTCTCGCCAGTGGCGATGTTTACGCACCGAAGCAGGTTCTCGTTTAAGGCTGAGTCAACCTAGAGCCAGGATTTTCAGGTGGGGGGGGGGGAGGCAACTTTTCCAGCAATGAAAAATTATAGGAGTTGTTAGTAAGTAAGGACTTGTCCCTTGCTTTTATTCGACGCATGTGCGTTGTGTGATTGGCATCGCGCTCGCTGAAGGTGAATGCCTTCCGGGAAGTCGTGGACTGTATACGCAACTGCGCACAATTCTGTGTCAATTATAACTCCTTTGCCGTTACTTATTGCCAATTGTGGACTCAGACTATTGTCCTATCATCTCATAGAGTCCCTGGCACGTAATAATATGCTACACAGTGGCAGTGGGGGTCGCAAAATGCCAATTTATTACTAATAAATCCCAATTATTCTATTAAAATTGGGGATTTCGATCGGATCATGGAGGGGGGGGGGGGGGCACGTGCCACCCCATCCCCCCACTGGCTCCGCCAGTGAGAGCAAGGCCTCGGTGCAGATCCCACTAATACCGCTGATGTTAGCGCGTTGTGGCCGGGATCCAGGTGGCCTGGATCATAGCGCAAATGTATGACGACTGTCAGGCAAACACTCCTGATTTCTAAACCCAGTAAACGTGGAACGTTAGGTCAACGTTGGTCCACCGGTCCCAACCACATTCCAACGTTGGTTCAACGTCGGAATGTTGACCGGGAAGGAATTGGCCGCACGACTCGTTGCAGAGGATTCGTGAGTGTTACGGACGCATGGCGAGACGCGAACTTCGATTCACAACTCAGACGTGGCGACGAACGCGTGGATTCGAGAACACACGTCACGTCGACCGTTCGTAAAAAAAAAAGGTCAGCGTGCTTGAGCAGGGGACGTCGTAAGGGCCCGAAGAGACGATTGCCCGATGGACAAGAAGTGCCGGGTAGTCGGGGAGCGGCAGCCGATGCAGTGGATGCGCCCGACAGGACGCGCCCTCCGATGAGCACGGTTGGCTACGTGCGGTGCGCAAGAAATTCGACATGCAAGAAGACCACTGCGGAGATGGATGCGATGAGAAGTTCGGCTCGTGTGCGGGAGTGAGGGACGTCGTGGATTGTGGCATTGCGGGACCCGGAGGGTTGGTGATGGCGTGGGTAAGGCCTTAATCCAGCAGAGTAAGTGGGACAGACCACGTCTCGTGGTGGTGATGATGGTGGTGACGAGGAATGTAGTTCCACCAATACAGTTATTTTGTCGTAGAAACAGAAAACGCACTGCTCATATAGATCGATCAACTTTATATCCTATAGCACACACACATATATAACGCACTTTGTTATACAATTTATGTTTAAACATAAGAAAAATAAAACTATGATCGGAGCTCACATACGTGTTACGCACGTGCAAGGGGACGACTTATAAGATTTGGATTGGAGGGGGGGGGGAAGTTAAACATTGGGGCCCCCATTAAGGGTATTAACTTAACAGGCACGTCTATAGCTTGGCCGGTGGTGTAGCTGTCGAGTGTGCAGGCGGTGCAACTGCGGTGTAACTGCACCTGGGTTCAATGCCAACCACGCTATGCCACTTAGACCCATAGAATCGCATCGAGACCCACAGACTCACATGGAGACCCATAAACTCACGTAGAGACCCACAGGCTCACTTGAAGACCCATAGACTGGCATTGAGATGCATAGACTCACATGGAGACCCACAGGATATATCCTGGAGACCCAATGGCCGTAGTTATTGAGTGTGCAGGCAGTGCAACTGCACCGAGGCCCAGAGGCCGGAGTGGCCCAGAAGCCGGAGTGGCCCAGAAGCCGGGCCACAGCGGTGGTGGGGGTGGGGAGAAATGGATATGGGAAATCATTCAAATCCTGGGGGAGGGGCCCAGTTGCCCCCATCACGATCATGCTAGTATCTGGCCCACCTGACGCAGCGTGCGTTATAAGCACGTCATTGCAGGGCCGCGCCTTTACCTTTGCAGTGGCCAGAAGCACGCGCACCACGTGCAGCACCGAGCCCCCTACGCTCTTGTCCCCCCCCCCCCCCCCCCCCCCCCCCCAAAGTCGGCCATTGCGAACCCGCTGTTGGCCATTATGGAACCAAGACTGATCCGAGTTCCATCGCGGCCAGAGCGACTGCTCCGGTCAACCGATTTTTTTATCAAGCGACCCGGGTTCGAGTCCGGTGTAGGAGGGAGACGGTGTCGATGTCGTTGGGTGTTTCCGTCACTGAAAGTCAAGGGTGGGTTGAAGAGTGTCTCTGATCGTACGAGCAATGCGGGCGGCGCTCAGCTCGATTGGCCGTCTTGAGTCAGTGGTGGGAATTCCACGTTCCTGTGCCGGGGGTCGGTCTGCGCATAGTATACCACTCATGTTGACTTCCCGCAAAGTGACGCTCCCGTAATTTATCGGCCCCACAGGGACTATGAGTTAATGGTCGTTCATATTGTGGCACCACAGCGGCCAACGCCATTGATGTCGCCACGCAGCGACCTCGCTTCCTTCCTTCTGCCTGCTCCTCCGCAGCGGTTCCAACGTGAACGCCTGACCTCCACGGTTCGATCTTGCAGGCCCATCACCACCTCCACCACCACCAAGCCAAGCTCCACATCTTACTGATTGCCCACCTTCTGATGTCCAACGTCGATCTCAGGGTGCCAACTTCACGACGACCACCACCACCAACCACCACCAACAAGTTCAGCTCCCCATCCTCACCGTCTGATGTCTACCGTGAGGCGCACAGTGGTGGCGTTGAGTTGGGGAGTTGTTCTCGAGTTGCGCACGCGTGTGCTCGCGGGGGGGGGGGTGGGGGCGGAATTGGGGGAGTTGTCACGTGCACGGACACACGGGGGTGGGGTATCGCGCGCTCAGTCGTGCACGCGCACGGACACACGTGGGGGGGTGGATGGGGTGGGTGTCGCGCGCTAAGTCGTGCACGCGCACGGACACACGTGGGGGGGAGGGGTGGATGGGGTGGGTGTCGCGCGCTAAGTCGTGCACGCGCACGGACACACGTGGGGGGGAGTGGTGGATGGGGTGGGTGTCGCGCGCTAAGTCGTGCACGCGCACGGACACACGTGGGGGGGGGGGGGGGGGGGTCGCGCGCTCAGTCGTGCACGCGCACGGACACGCAGCGGCAGTGCTTCACTCTGCTGAGCCGCACGCGGCGCACGGGCGGCTCCAGGCCCGGGCAGCTGAGCTCCACGGTGAGCGACGAGAAGCGCTGCGGGCGGCACGCGGCGCACGCGCGGAACGAGGCGACGCTGCGCCGGGCCGACCCCGCTCCGCCTCGCCCTCCTGCACCCCCCAATGATGATGATGAGGAGGAGGAAGATTTCCCCCTTGCTGCTGCTGCTGCTCCTTTTCCTCCTGCTGCTGATGACGACCTTCCTCTGGATCCTGCTGCTGTTGATGTTCCTGCTGCTGTTGCTGCTGATGCTGATGATTTTCTTGATGTCCTTCCTCGGGCTCCTCCTGCTGCTGCTGCTGCCGCTTCTGCAATTCCTTCCGCTCCAGCGTCATCACCACCACCTCCTCCTCCTGGGCATAAGGGAGACAACCATCATCATAATAATGCCTGTCTCAGTGTTCTGATTACGAATACGCTGGATTATCGAGGAAAGCCTCAATGAGTCTCATTGACTTTTCAGGAGGGCACTGCCAAGTTTTCACAGCGACGATTACAGCCGCTGCTATGTAATTTCAATGGAGTATTTTACAAGGGGGGACGGGGTTTCTTTCACATTTTCGCAAATCCGAACGTCGGCACACAATGGCCTACTCCTGCGAATGGCGTCACGGAATCGTGAACGTCCACTGTCAAGACACCCGCGGTGTTAACCAGGGCGACCGCTCGGATTTCGAACCGCGAACCTCCACGCCTGGGTCACGTGGCCGCGCGGTGCGGATTCCGAGCGTGCATCAGGGGCCACGGTGCCTCTTCGCGCACGCTTTTAGTTTCGGTTCCGTTTTAGTCGCGAACGACGGCGTGTCCGAGCCGCGCATCAGCACCTGGATGAAGACGCACGCCGCGCTGTTGTTGACCATACTTCACCTTGTTGGTCAGTGCTGGTTGCTGAAAGGGGAGGGGGGTAGGTGGAGGGTCTCCCAGAACGGGATCGGATATCACTCGCAGCTGGTGTTAGCCACGGCCGGGAATCGAACTCGGGTTGCCGGATTTAGAGCACAGAGCGCTAAACCCCGCGTCACCGCTCTACCACAAAACATCCAATTACCCTGGTCCCAGTAAACATCGCACGGCGAATCAACGTTGGGCAGACGCAGAGAGGATATCAGATTAGGTAGACACAATAGGTATCCATGTATGGGGGGGGGGGGAGTCATGATAAGTACTGAACGATTTATTTCTGGGTAATATTTTACAGAGCTCAGCCCCGGACAAACAGCTCCGGCTGCAATCAACCCTTAGATGCAACCACTTCCGAATGCTACGATACAAAATCAACCCACGTACCGTGCAAGAATTTACTGTCGCTCGGAGCTCCCAGCACCTCTTCATCATCACCACCACCATCATCTTCCCCACCTTCATCACCACCACCACCACGATCATCACTTTCACCCTCACCGCCCTCTTCGCCATCGTCGTCGTCAGCCGTGGCCCTGCGCGGGATGTAGAACGAGTTGCACTGCCCGTAGCAGAAGCGGTTTATGACCGTGCGAGGCACGCAGCCGCGCTCGCGCACCGTCTGCCGCAGCGGCTGCGACTTGCACCAATCTCGCCGCAGATAGCGCCGCTCCGTCACGAACAGCGCCTCGTGGCTGGAGGCCAGCACCTGGCGCTCAGCGTCTCGGTCGTGGAAGTGGGCCGAAGGTCCTCCTGGAAGCCCGTGTTGTTGTTGGTGGTGGTGGTGTCGTGCCACGTGGCCGTGGGATGATGAGATGTTGGAGCGGCCCTTCCCCGGTGGAGGAATTGCTCCCTGCGGGAAGAGAATCCGGCCGCTGCTGGTGATGTCTTCATCAATGCCTCTGCTCCTCGAGTCCCTGTGTCTGATCCGTGAGTCTTTATCCCTGATCTCTGATCTGATATCCGAGTCTCCGTCTCTGATATCCGAGTCTCTGATCTCTGAGTGTCTGTCCGTGGCTTCTGAGTCTGTGTCTCTGATATCTGGTCTGATCTCCTCGTCTTTATAACTCATCTCCGAGTCGCCCATCAGCGACCTGACGTCCGAGTCTCCGTGGGATTTGTCTCTGCTCCCTGAGTCTCTGTTGCGAGGACGAGACGGGTCAGACGAGGTGCCGGCGAGGAGCAGGGAGATGGACGAGAGGAGGAGGAGGAGGAAGAGAGGGGAGCGAGGCCACGTCATTTCGCACGGAACTCGTGCACCTCCTCTTGACAGTGAAGATGTGGAAGACGACGATCGCGGCTCCTCTTAACGATGGAGGCGATCATAGCGCCTCTTCATGGTGAGTCTGCGGGATCTGCCGGCGTGAATAAACACACACGCGTGGATATACCACCACCATCATCACCATCGGACATGCTCAATCCACTGCTGCATACACCTCTCCCCGATCCGGCGCCATCTCTCACGGTCCGGCGATTTAAATAATCCCATGTCCATGCAGCGATAGAGCGGTCGTTTGCAGGCTCGGCTGGCCACTCGCGCAGCGACCAGAGCAGCTTCCCAGCAGAAGGGACCCGTGACACTGGCCGAGACGCGCTCGTGAGCGTCGCGATTGGGAGCCGCACGTTCGGACCACGCGAGAGAGCCTGGCTCACCCGTCCTTCATCCAGCAGTGGATTTGGTCACCGCCTACGACGAACGTGTCACGTGTCACCCTGCACTCACCTCTCCGTGCCGCCCCCCTCCCTCCCCCCCACACCGGGTCGCCTTCGGTGAAAAGTCACACGGAGCTTCCAGTCGCTGCCCTTGAAGGACTCACAGTTGTAGTCGGACCCGAGGGCACGAGCAGGGTGAAAGGGCAGGGCAAGGGGAGACGAAGAGCAAGGCCGAGTAAAGGGTAGGGGGAGGGAAGCGGCGTCAAACCGTGGCTCAATCACAGCCACGGTCCGGGGATCCTGAGAGTGACAGGCGACAAGAGGTCGGAGTCGGCACAGAGAGGACACGGCAAGCTCACACGGGGAGATATCGGAGGGTAGAGCACAGAGGGAGAAGAGTCGTCGCAGTAGATAGTACAACCAGAGAGTGGAGCCCACAGTAGATAGTACAACCAGAAAGTGGAGCCGACAGTAGATAGTACAACCAGCGAGTGCAGCCCACAGTAGATAGTACAACCAGAGAGTGGAGCCCACAGTAGATAGTACAACCAGAGTGGAGCCCACACAAGATAGTACAACCAGAGAGTGGAGCCCACAGTAGATAGTACAACCAGAGAGTGGAGCCCACACAAGATAGTACAACCAGAGAGTGGAGCCCACAGTAGATAGTACAACCAGAGAGTGGAGCCCACAGTAGATAGTACAACCAGAGAGTGGAGCCCACACAAGATAGTACAACCAGAGAGTGGAGCCCACAGTAGATAGTACAACCAGAGAGTGGAGCCCACACAAGATAGTACAACCAGAGAGTGCAGCCCACAGTAGATAGTACAACCAGAGAGTGGAGCCCACAGTAGATAGTACAACCAGAGAGTGGAGCCCACAGTAGATAGTATAACCAGAGAGTGCAGCCCACAGTAGATAGTACAACCAGAGAGTGGAGCCCACAGTAGATAGTACAACCAGAGAGTGGAGCCCACAGTAGATAGTACAACCAGAGAGTGGAGCCCACACAAGATAGTACAACCAGAGAGTGCAGCCCACAGTAGATAGTACAACCAGAGAGTGGAGCCCACAGTAGATAGTACAACCAGAGAGTGGCGCCCACAGTAGATAGTACAACCAGAGAGTGGAGCCCACAGTAGATAGTACAACCAGAGAGTGGAGCCCACAGTAGATAGTACAACCAGAGAGTGGAGCCCACAGTAGATAGTACAACCAGAGAGTGGAGCCCACAGTAGATAGTACAACCAGAGAGTGGAGCCCACAGTAGATAGTACAACCAGAGTGGAGCCCACAGTAGATAGTACAACCAGAGAGTGGAGCCCACAGTAGATAGTACAACCAGAGAGTGGAGCCCACAGTAGATAGTACAACCAGAGTGTGGAGCCCACAGGGCGCGCACAGAGAGGAGAGCACGCGGAGAGAAGAGAGCACGCGGAGGGGGAGAGCACGCGGAGAGAGGGGGAGAGAGGGGGAGAGCATGCGGAGAGAAGGCAGAACACGCAGTGAGAACCCGAGCGAGAACCCCGTGCACGGTTTTATACGCAGCGAGTGGGCGCGCCACCACCCGCCCCCCAAAGATCTCCTCGAATCGTCCCTCCTCCCCATCATCAGCAATAGCATCAGCAATCCATTATCAATACCAATCCATCATCATCTCACGACGGCTCCACCGAGGGTTAGGGGTTATGGACAATAATTTTGGCATCCAACGACCACGTGGCCGACGACACGTGGTCGAAGACAGCGTGCGCCCTGTGGGGAGGACGCACTACGCGGAGACGGAGCTATGCAATCGGCTCGCGTGGAGGCGGAGCGACGGATGGATCGTGTGGATCGCGAGAGGTGGCGGCGGTCTTGGTTCCAGCAGTGGATTGACCACGGCTGATGATGCCGAGTGACCCGTAGCTCGCTTTGTAAGCAGCTTCTCGTTATTGTATGCCGTGCGAACGTGGTCTGGCGTGATGACCACGAGATCATTCCATCATTAACCGACAAAAAAAGCTCCGCTCTCAGACGCCGCCTTAACGCACGAACGCAAACGTTTCGAAACAACATTTTTAATTGGGAGCAAATACATATTAAAAAATATAAAGTCCCCTTGATTCTGAGCCAGACACCACCGCACAGCGCCACCGAACTTGGCACCGTAACCTACAACCGTGTTCGTCACTGGAGCTCCAGTCCGCGTCCAGTATTACCTCTATTGTAATTTCCGCAGGGATAAAGAGGTAAAGGTGCAGCCCTGCAATTTCCTGCTCGCGACACTGCTAGCAGGAGCCTCCACTATGCGTGCTCGTAGAACTTCTTTCGCTCCGTACGTAGCCAACCATGTTAATCAGAGGTGCGGGGGAAGGGCGGCGAACTAAAAACAAAAAGCAGTTCTAAAGAAATGAGCTGTCAATCTAGACGATTTAAAAGTGCTCGGGGGACGAGTTCAAGAGAGCCCCTTCTAGGGTGTACTGTGGCTTACTCTTCCACGGCGGCCAGACGTCTTGGAAGATGAGAGGACCTACACTTCACCCCACCACACGCGACATTCTGCCGAGTGGAGAGGCATGGTCAGGCGGGTGCCGGGGTGGGTTGAATAAACTTGCTCCATTGTTTCAAATGACACGCCGGGAGATGGAATGCAACCTGAGATCTCTGCATTGCAAGTCCAGTGGTGCTGCTGAACATTGGACCACCGTGGTCAGCAAGCGTGTATTTTATAGTTGGGGACAAATGAATAACAAAGATTACACAGAAAGGGTACATCCTTTATTTAAAATGTACCCCCTCACTCAAAACCAGTACAAATATTCGCACAGCCTTCCCGCGTTTCCCCGATGTGTTTACGGGCATCGACTCGTCGTTACCATCACTGTTACCATCATGGTTACTCAATGTGAGTGTAGGGAGTTGATAAACTTTCACTTCGTTTTTTTTTCTGAATTCGCTATCGGCATCGCGCGAACGCAGCGGCCTCTGGTGGCTGCGGCAAGGGGCTACGTACGAGCCCCGATCGCCGTGAAATCTGGCAAAAGGCAAAATGTGTTTAAAAACTATATTAAAAAAAAAATCTAAATAAATAGAGACTCTGGTTAACGACCCACACGGCCCAGCGACGGCATCGAGACTCTTCATCCGGCCGAGCGTCTATGCCCATCCCGTCCCAAAGCCCGTCTCCCGGCACGATGTTCCCGGCGGTCCCATTCTCCCCGTAGTTTTGTCCCGATCCGGGCGCCGGCTGCGGGGCTGGGCCCGGTCGCACGGAACGATCCACCGCGCGGACTCCACGCGCAAAGCGTGGAGTAGTGTTGCGTGCCGGACGAGACCCGGATGACGGTGGCGGTGGGAGCTGTGGGCGGGGGTGCTCAGAAATAGCTCTGCAGTGACTCCCCCAGGATGGCCTCCAGCTCGCGCACCGTCTTCTGACACTGCTTCTCCACCTCTTCGCACTCGTCTGTGGGGACAAAACGGGAGGCAATGATCGTCACGCTGCTTGCCCTCTACCCCCCCCCCCCAGACTTGTAACTCATCTCCGTTTGAGTTTGTGAACGTGTTCTGCGCATGGTGCCACCAAAGGTGGCCACTAGGCCCAAGCGGAGCCTGGCAAGGCGACGCACCTTCCATGAGCTCGGCGAGGAAGGGGATCGTCTCGGGGAGCAGCACCGTGAAGTTCTCGCGCAGCCGCGTCGCAAACTCCAGCAGCACGAGCAGCGACGCAAAGCGGACCTGCGCACGGAACGACGAGAGGCCACGTGTCAGTGCATCCGCGCGTCATCGCGACGCTGACGACGAAGATAACGAGGCCGAGTGGATGGATCGCCGCATCGTGGGAGCGCGAGAGACGGCGCCGGTTCGCCGAGGGCCTTCATCTATCAGTAGATTGGCCATGGGCGACGATGACGAAGGTGACGACGAGGCACCTTGGGCGAGGTGTGGCGAGTCTTGAGCAGGATCTGGTAGTTGAGCGGCTTCCACAGCGTGTCGTCGCCCATGGCCACGGCGAACTGCGCGATGCACGGCACGAGGTGGCACGCGACCCTCTGCTGGTAGACGTCGTCACCGCCCAGCGTGTTCTCCAGCTGCGTACGCACGGCCAGCGACACGCGCACACGTACAGACGCACGGACGCACAGAGGCACGTATGCAGACATGCGGGAACAATTAATCATCACCTTCACGTCAAAGATCTACGACAAGAGGACCAAAATTCACTTCAAGAAACGCCGACGGCAACTGCATAATGCACAAAGGCCGAGTGCTTGTACACACGTGCGCTTGCGTGTTGTTTGATGCGAACAGTTTCTGGTTATTGACAGATTTGACTTTTGTAGCCAGTCTATGTACTACACATACACATATAACATATATATTTTTTGCTCATTGTTTATGTTTTAAATTTTATGTTTTAAATTTTATGTTTAGTGTTCATCCGATGGCGCTTTGAGTGGCAGATACGTTTCCGAAACAAAATTAAGATAAACTTTACTATAAATTACATATATAATGTATTTACGCACAAAGACTAATAAAACACTAAAATAAAACTCAAGGAAACAACATTTCTCAGTTTAGTCCCTCTCTCTGTCCTATCTACATACTAATAATGTATTATAATACATTATATCTGTTGCCTTCCACTGCCTGAACCTCTCCGCCCGCCACTCACCTGGTCGACGAGCGGCAGCATTAGCGTGTGGACGCGCTCCTCCGTCAGGAAGCGCTGCGTGTCGTACAGGAACACCTTGTGCAGGCAGTCGAGCACCAGCTGCAGTAGCAGCTGGTTCCTCTCGTCCGCCGCTTCATCACCAGCGTGGCCAAACACCGCCTTCTCATCTGTGTTGGGGGTGAGGGGGGGGCGGAAGCGGGAGCAGGGGTCAAAGGTCAGCAAGTCGGCTCGGGCGGATTTAGCTTTTGACTTCTCACGGCACAACGACACGAAAATGATATCGATGTCGACAATGATGTCATTGCTCGAGGTGACGATGACGTTCACGTTGGCGACCACGACATGCGCAATGGCGACGGCAGCGACGATGAATCCGATTAAAGGCCTGTCATTTTTGACCGAGTGGCTTGCGAGATGCGTCAGGTTACCGGGCAGGGCCACGTTGAGGCGGTTGAGGAGGTGCGCGCACGGCTTGACGAGGTGGCCGGCGAAGAGCACGAAGAGGCCACGGAGGCGCTCGGCGACGCGCTCCGACATGCGGTAGAAGGTGAGCAAGCGCTCGCTCGGGCGGTCCTCCCCACTCGCCCAGTCGAACAGCTGCCACGCACGCGGGCGAAGAACGCACGCGGGCAGGGAGGGAGGCAGAGAGGAACGCAAGACAGGTAGAGGATGAAGGAAGGGCAGGTAGGTGGGCAGACAGGCACGGAGGCACAAACACAGGCGGGCGAGGCAGACAGGCACAGAGGTCGAGAGGCTTGTACAGGGGTAGGAAGGTAGGCGTGCACGGCGACAGGTTAAGACAGACAGGTATGCAGACACACAGGTCGTCAGACACAGAGACAAGTAAGGCAGACACATCGCCTTCATTCATCCTGTTTAGAACGCAGGTCACAGCATGTAAAGCGAGCACTGATACAGCCATGGCACCGCCAGGGTCCTTGCTGTCATCGTTTTGTCTACCCTTGGGTGACGATGAGATACCACGAGCACGAATGTGTTTTAGGCCGAGTCGATCTAGAGGCGGCACAGATCATCCATCGATACTGACAGCTGATAGAGGCACGTGCACGGAAACTGAATCCAGTCGCAGATACAAAATATATATAAAACACGATTTTACTTTTTCAGGGGTAAAAGCAACGAAAAAAATATTGTGACCGTCGCCCCCCAATGATGACCGCCACCGCCGTGCGCCGTCCGTGCCGACCTTGAAGAAGAGCGGTCTGAAGGTGACCTCTGACATCTTCATCACCATGGCGACGAGACTCGTTATCACGTGGCCCTCCACGTCGCCCACACGGTCGAGGGAGTCCTGCAGAAACGACGCGGAGGACGAGCAGTCGGTTAGCGAGCGACCACGTGACTCGTCCCCAGGCACGGGCTGAAGAGGAGGAGCAGGAGATGAAGTAGTGGCAGAAAACGCAGAAGAGGAGGTAGAGGAGCAGCAGGCGGATGAGGTGGAGCAGGAGGAGGAGCAGCAGGTGGAGCAGGAAGAAGATAAGGTGAAGGAGTTGGAGGTGGTGTCAGAGCGAGCACCTGGGCGTGCTCGGCGCGGAAGTCGAGGGCCTTGGTGAAGAGCGCCGTCAGCTCGGCCTGGTGCGAGGCGAGCTCCTCCTTGCCGATGTGGGCCAGGTGCTCGGTCAGCACCGAGAACAGGGGGCCCAGGCAGCCCTGCGAGGCGCGGTGGAGGGGGGGGAGACGCGCAGCCACGACGTTAAACATTCCATGCTGTCATTCAAAATAGAGTGGGCCCACCTGTCACAATGAGATCAATTACTCTCAAATTACTTAATCGAGAGAAGCCAATAATCTTCATCGTCCCCTACTGGCCGACTAATGCCGCCACACTTGCAGGGGAACACTTTGAGAAGTCACTGCACGGGAGGCACGAGATGCAAATAATAAAGTGATGACGATAGGGGTGGTGGATCACGGGTGAGCCTATCCGCAACACCACCGTCGTCGTAGTCGCGGTGCTCGGCAGGGGTCAGCGTTAGGGTCAAGAGGTCGCGGCGAGGGAGGTCACCTCTCGGTGGAGCAGCAGCATGCGGTCGTAGGCGCGTGACATGGCGGGCAGTAGCACACGTGCCGGCAGCTCGTGCGCCAGCGTCGCCTGCAGCTGCGTCAGCCGCTGCTGCAGCTGGGCGACGTGCGGCCCGGCCACCGGCACGATCGTCCGCACGTGCGTCAGCTGCACACACAAAAAGATCCCCCATGTAGCCTTGAACAGAATGTTGGGGCAAGTGCTGTTAGCGAGTAGTGCCTACGAAAGTCGGGAGGGGTGGCCGGCACCCACGTCCGGCCGCCTTGTTTACACATCGCACCAAATTTTAATTTGAGGCTAAATCAAGCTAGCGGAAGGCCAAAGACTGGTACAGATGTGACTATTATCTGTGAGACCCCCTCCGCCCGACCGTTAGAAAATAGCCTCCAGTAGCGGACATCGTAGCGCTACCTCTTGAGGTCCCTTTGAGTGCCCTCTGATCCACACGAGCGGTGGGTGGGGGGGAAGAGTGCCTCCACCATCGCGAGCCACTTGAGAGGGTAGTGGCCTCCTCTTCCACACCGACCAGACGGACGTCTTGGAAGATATTTCACGAGAGCCGCGGTACAAATGACTAAAACGACGACGACACTCACCTCCATGAGGATGTCGAGCAGGTAGGGGCTCAGGAAGTACGGCAGGGTGGCAGAGACACGCTGAAGGGCGGTAATGGCGCTCAGCAGATAGAGGTCGTGGGTCAACAGATCCTTCCTGCTGCTCATCAATCCCAGCATGCTCGGCAGCAGCCTGCGCGGCACGGCGGAAACGGCGCCGAGTTGGCAACGCGGCGGCTGTCTCTGCGCGATCCACTAACCCCGTTTGCGAATGCGGTGGATTTTACAGACGTGTGCTGCCGGTACCGCCGACAGGCATGGCGGCCACAAGCGAGAGAATTTCAGCGCCGGCACCCCTGAGATCCTGAGATTGAATCCGGGAGTGAGCCGCCCGCCCGTGATAACAAAACTTGGTCGTCAATGACTGCACCAAGTTGTCAAGCGTCATCGTCCTCCTTCTAGCCCAGGGGTCGGCAAACCTACGGCTGCGGAGCCACATGTGGCTCTTTATGGACTGCTTTGTGACGTCATTCATTATGGACAACCGTCTCGCATTCACGCGCATCGGGGCTCTTGAAGTATTGAGTTTTTTACCGTATTAGAAAAAAAATTGCTTTTCCTGATGACGACCGCTTGTGTTGCGATCGAAACGTCGTGGTATTTTTATTCACTTCATTTTTATTATCACTTGTTCTATCTACGTGACTTTACCGAAAGAACCAAAGAATATAAAAATAGCTCTTGTTGTTAATTTGGTTGCCGACCCCTGCGCTCACCCGTTCTCCGACACAAACGTAAGCTTCTCCACCTCGTGACACTGTGATGCCGATAGAACAAGTAGAATACAACTCATAAGCGGCCACGATCAATCTACTGCTGGATGGAGGCCTCTCCGAGCCGTCGCCACCTCTCGCTATCCTACGATGCGCCGAACTACGTCCGGGCACGTTCCCTCCTCTGACTGCAACCGTCGTTAGTCTCGACAACAGAATATAACCGGGGAAACACAAAACGTAAAAAATATAAAACCTCAAATTTTGAAAACCACAAGAGGATTAGAACCGCGACGACCACCCGCGACGACAACCCCCGACCTGGGCAGCAGCGGCACGGCGAGCACCCGCACAGCCGTGGCCGTCTCGGCGGCGCAGAGCAAAGCGCCGGCCAGCACGTTCACGTCCTCGTCGGCGCCCTCCTCCAGCAGCTGCACGGCGGCCGCCAGCACGGGCAAGAAGCGTGCCGGGCGCTCCGCCCCGAAGCTGCGGCAAAGCAGCTTGAGGCTCATGAGCGCCGTCTGCCGGTTCACCGCCTGCTCAGGCTCGTCGGCGTCGCCGTCAGCGAGCGGCTTCGCTGTAGCGGCGGCGTGATCGCGGTGGTGGCGATGGCGCCCGCACACCTCCAACAGCAGCTCCAGCACCTCCAGCAGCAGCTCCACCTGCAGTGCGCGAGAGAGAGAGAGACAGACGTTGCGGTTGAATAGGTCAAGATTTACGTTGCCGTGTCCAACGACCAAGGGGAAGGCCTTCTAAAGGCCAGCCAGTGGGATGGTGACCATCAGGGCAGACGTCGGCGGAGGGGAGAACGCGTCACTAGCAAGGAGGAGCGGCGGTGGCGTCAACAGCCCCGACTATGATGACAGACGCAACGGAGTTGTGAATCCGATTGTGACGATTCCTACATCCGCAGAAGGGGTGAATCACCACCCCTTCCCACACTCCGTCCCACCCCGTGCCTCCCCCCACCGCCCCCCGCACCTGCGCGTTGCTCCAGCTGGCACGGTGATGCAGCAGCTTGCTGTTAAGCAGCTCCATGGCTTTGCGGCGCACGGACGGCAGCTGGTTCCCCATGAGCCCCCGCACCACCGGCACGAACGACTCCGTAGGCATCAGCGCGTTCACCTGCAGTGGGACGCGCATGGGTTCGGATGGGGAGTGGGGGGCGAGAGAGGGGGGAGTGGCAGGTGGGGGTAGGGGTGGGGCAGGTGGAGGCAAGGGGGGGGGTGTGGGGGCAGGCAGACAGAGGGGGACAGTTAATCGAGTCGAGCAGAGAACCGCGGCACAATGGATCCCATCTCGTACTTCCTGGCTGTTTTGTTTGAGGGGGCAACAACACAGTTGAGTACACGCCTCTCTCCGTGTGGAGTGCCAGTCTGTGTCTCTCCACATCCAACTCTCTCTCCTATGACCACTTCTCTCCGTGGCAGATCCAGACCGACTCTCCCCGTGTCAAGCTACGTGCTCCCTCTCTGTCTCTTTCCCTCCGGTGAATCTGTGCCAGCATCCCTCCATTCGTCTCTCTGGATCTGTCTGTTCCGTATCTCTCCACGTCTATCCGTTTCGTCCGCGTTTCTGTTTCCCGTTGTATGCGTGTCCTTCTCCGTCGCGTCTCTCTCCGTGTCCGTCTCTTTGCGCGTCTCTGTCCGTCTCTCTCGGTATCTCTCCCGCATCACTCGCTCCCGGCCCCCCTATCCTCCGGGGGCCTCCGCGTGGCTCCGAGACGACCCAGCGCACCTTGTCCATGCCATCGTAGGCTCGGTTGAGCATCGCTCGCCAGAACCGCGCCGCGGGCTGCTCGCCGTTCTCCTCCACGCACTGCGCCACCTGGTTGATGTAGCACAGGATCTGCTCCAGGAGGCTGGAAGGGAAGGGGGGGGGGAGGTCACAGTGCGGAAACAATCACGGCGGCGGTGGTGACGGTGTTGTCAAATGCCCCTTTGTACGGAACGTCCCGAGATGCACTGCATGGGAGGCGCGGTATCCAGTAATACATTATGGCGATAATGGATCATGATGAGTGAATGAATGAAAGGGTGGGTGAGTGAATGAGCAAATGGGTGAATGAGTAGATAGGTGAACAGGTAAATGAGTGGGTGAATAAGCGAATGAATGAGCAAATGAGCGAGTGTGTGATCGACTGTAAATAGTCTATACGGCAACATTTCCGACCACTGCATTTGCTTCTGCAATCACTTCCTCGCTGCCCATGGAAGGTTTGGCCGAGGCTGCTGTTGGTGCGGTGGGCGGGACGCGCGCGGAGGGTGCAGGGGGCGGGGGGGGGGGGCGATCGACTCAGCCGACGTAAAAGCGACCGTACCTCTGCTCCAGCGGCCGTAGCTCCTCCAGCTCCGCGGGGGTGCACTTGGCCACCTGCAACGACGACAAACACCCCGTTGGAGTCAGACGCGGTGAAAGCGCGGGGGGGGGAGGAGGGGGGGGGTTTACACCGACGCGCGCCAAAAAACAAAAGCTCCGACCTTGGCGATGAAGGTCGGGGAGCCGAGCAGCTGGGAGAGGAAGGAGACGGCCGTGAACTTGAAGTGGCGCAGCTGCTTGGCGGAGTGGGCGCTCACGCTGAAGAGGCCAGACCCCTCCGCCTCCGCGCCGGCGGCCACCGCCGGTGCCGGACGTCTGCCCCTGGAGGCGTGACTGGCAGCTCGAGCGGTCGGCTTGGGCTGCTCGTCCGGCACGTCTGAGGTGGGGGTGAAATGCACAAGGAGATCCAGGGGAGGGCAAGTTTGGTGGCACGTGGCGGGTGTGGGGTAGGTGGATGGTGTGGGGTAGGTGGCGGGTGTGGGGTAGGTGGATGGTGTGGGGTAGGTGGATGGTGTGGGGTAGGTGGATGGTGTGGGGTAGGTGGTGGGTGTGGGGTAGGTGGCGGGTGTGGGGTAGGTGGCGGGTGTGGGGTAGGTGGATGGTGTGGGGTAGGTGGTGGGTGTGGGGTAGGTGGTGGGTGTGGGGTAGGTGGAGGGTGTGGGGTAGGTGGCGGGTTGTGGGGTAGGTGGTGGGTGGGGGGTAGGTGGTGGGTGTGGGGTAGGTGGATGGTGTGGGGTTGGTGGATGGTGTGGGGTAGGTGGCGGGGGTGGGGTAGGTGGATGGTGTGGGGTAGGTGGATGGTGTGGGGTAGGTGGATGGTGTGGGGTAGGTGGTGGGTGTGGGGTAGGTGGTGGGTGTGGGGTAGGTGGCGGGTGTGGGGTAGGTGGTGGGTGTGGGGTAGGTGGTGGGTGTGGGGTAGGTGGTGGGTGTGGGGTAGGTGGTGGGTGTGGGGTAGGTGGCGGGTGTGGGGTAGGTGGTGGGTGTGGGGTAGGTGGTGGGTGTGGGGTAGGTGGATGGTGTGGGGTTGGTGGAGGGTGTGGGGTAGGTGGCGGGGGTGGGGTAGGTGGATGGTGTGGGGTAGGTGGCGGGTGTGGGGTAGGTGGCGGGTGTGGGGTAGGTGGATGGTGTGGGGTAGGTGGCGGGGGTGGGGTAGGTGGCGGGGGTGGGGTAGGTGGTGGGTGTGGGGTAGGTGGCGGGGGTGGGGTAGGTGGTGGGTGTGGGGTAGGTGGATGGTGTGGGGTAGGTGGCGGGGGTGGGGTAGGTGGCGGGGGTGGGGTAGGTGGTGGCTCTTGCCTTCCTTTTCCTGTGGCAGCGCCGCCAGGTACTGCACCACCTTCACCAGCGACGTCAGCTGCACGGCCGGGCTGAACTCGCCGCACAGCGTTACCCAGAATTCCACTTCCCTCTCCGCCTCCACGTCCTGCGTGAACCAAACGACGATAACGATGGAGCCACGAACACGGTCCATCAGCACCACGAAGGGTGTTGTTGCCGTCGTTACAATCGTGAAAGTTATTCCTTACACAGCATTATCGTCAGACCTCGGAAGCTAAGCAGTTTTGAGCCTGGATGGTGCTTGGATGAGTGACCACCGTGCATAACAAAGGTGTGGTAGGTGGCTTGCTGTTGCTCTGTCATCAGAGGGCATAGCAGCGAAAGCCACTGTTGTACTGTACAATGCTGTCTACTTTATCCAACCTGCGCTGGGCAACATCCCCCCCGCCCTCGTTACCACCCCAGCCCTCCCACCTTGTCCCCGGCAGCCAACGAGGGCGCCACGGCACGCTCGTCCGCTCCGGGGGGCGCGTCGCGCGTGTCGGCTCCGCGCGTCACGCGCAGCTCCAGCGCCAGCAGCAGCAGCGCCCAGAGGAAGCGGTCAGGCCCCACGGTGCGCGCGAGCTGCACCAGCACGGGCGCGCGCCGGTGCTCGGGCATGTAGGGGCACGCCTCGGCGAACACGCGCATCACCCGCGTCACGGCGCCGTCGACGTCCGCGCCGGTGCGCCCGCCGGCCTGTCACGCGGAGACAGGAGTGAGCGTGGGAGGGTTCTTTTTTTTTTATTTATTCACTTCGTCGCGATGATACAACCGGAATCGACGACGGGGGCACCGCGAGTACGAAAGCAAAAAAATAAGTGTGGCTGTGGGCCATCGTCACCTTGATGAGCGCGGGGATGACCGTCTCCACCGTCTTGCCGATGACCTGGAAGCTGTAGGTGTCGTCCATGCGCATGACGCTGGCGCCCATGAAGGTGAAGATGGGCATGATGTTGTGCAGGACCTTCTCCTGCTCACAGGAACGCACGCGGCCAGTGTCAGATGGGGAGCGCGTGCAGCGATTCACAAACGGTTCGTCGATTAAAATTACACGTTCAAGGGGACGTGGTGGAGGAGCGGTTAGCACGCTGATCGAGAATGCAGCGGGTATGCGCGGTTAGGGTGCGGCGTTGGTGATGTGGTTAGGATGTGAAGAGGGCGTGTTGGGGAAGTGATGGCGATGCGGTTGGGATGCAGCGTCTCACGGGAAAGATGGAGGCGGTGGCTCCCAGCAGCAGCAGCGCGTGGTGGTGTGTCTGCGGCGTGCGTGACGATCGCACGCACCGCACGATCAGCTCCACACTGAATTTGTCTTCGTCTACCAGACCTGCAGCAGCACCATCACCACATCAACACCACAAGCAGAACCACGTTAACATTGCCACCACCATTACACCAACACCACCAGCACCACCATGTTAACATTACCAACACCACCACGTTAACATTACCACCACCACATCAACACCACCAGCACCACCACGTCGTTAACACTTCCACCACCAACAGAGGATCCATGGGGAGCGGTAGTGTACCGGTAAGCGCGCTGTGCTTCGAACCTGGCGACCCGAGTTTGATTCCCGCTCACGGCCGACAACAGTGACGCTTATCTGCACCGGTCCTGGGCCTCTCCGACATCGACTCGGCCGGGCATAGCGCTGGTCAACCACCCCGTGTGCCGTACCGGCATTCAGAGGTGCCATCTAATACCACAGTGTATATGTGTGTGTAGATGCGTGTGTACTTGTGTGTGCACGTGTCTTTGTACATGCGTGTGTGCGTGTGCGTGCACGTGTGAGTGGGATTGCCAGGGTATGCACCGGGTGGCAGCGGCGCGCCGTTGGGGGAGAGGCGCGTGCATGCGTTGAGCAGACACGCGAGCACCAGCTGCTTGACGTACTCCATCGCCTCCGGGTCCTCCGCACTCGCCTCCAGGCACCTGCACGCACACACACACATACGCGCACCCACACAATACACACGCACCCACACACACACAGCAGACAATTGTAAGATCAGGACAGACGACAGACATGAGAAAGACAATCACAGCGCAAGGGTACATGACTGTGCCCCCCTCCGCGCCCCCGGCCGTGCCGCCCTCCGCGGCCCCCTCTGTGCCCCCCCCCCTCTGTGCGGGTCTCACCGCTCCAGCAGCCCAAACAAGGGCGACACCAACGCCTCTGGGCGACGGAGCTTCTTCTTGTGCTGCAGCATCTCCAGGATGAGCGTGGAGCGGCGCCAGCCACGCGACTCCATGTCCTCACCCCCATCGCTGACGGTGCGGGAGCACACACACGCAACATTAGCAGCACCATTCAGGACCCAGCCCGTCAGCAGATCTCGGAAGTTAATCAGGCCTCAGGTCCGGACAGCGCGTTTCGGCGGGCGAACATCACGCACGGCTTTAAAGTTCTCGCGCGTGCCAATCGGTTCCCTTGTTACGAAGATACAACCGGAATCGACCGTTGATTCCGTCACCTTTGGAATTGAAAATCGATCCGCAACTCCGCATGGTGCGACTCACTGCAGCTGCTGCTGCTCCTTCCGCCTCCGAGCCTGGGCGACGGTGGTGCCCGATTTGGCCGTCGATTTCGTGGGCACCAGCTCGAGCGCCACTTGCTCCGCATCGACCACGAGCTAAGGGCGCAGGGGGAGCGTGGCATGAGCACGGCACGCAGCAGCACACGCGACACACAGCACACGGTATGCAGAAAACGACACAGAGCACACGGCATGCATACGACGCAGCATACGACACAGCATAGCATATAAGAAACTGCATCACAAGAAACACACCAGACGGCATGAAGCACGCACCATACATATGACACAGCAGATAGCATTCGATGCGCAGCACACAGCGGTGCGCTCCGGTAACCGGCACCGGGGGTGGGGGATCACACCCCAATGGGCGCCATCATGCCGTGCGCAACGCAAACGAGGGACCGCGGCATCTCCGGCGCGAGCCGTCGCGGTCGGTGCGAGCAACGCACCCCCTTGAAGGCGCTGCCGATGGCCTGGGCGATGCCGGGGGTGGCGCAGTCGGCCAGGAGGTCGAAGAGCACCCGCAGCACCGTCTGCTGCTGCTCCGCGCTCGGCAGTGCCGAGAAGAACTCCTTGGTGATCTGTGGGAACGGCGGACGACGGAGGTTTAAAGCGCACACCACCGCCACCGATAAAACCATCGCCGCAATGTGGCACCGGCGACCGCACCGAATTGACACCCAGTGTCACCTCGGCCTCTGCCCTCGCGGGCAAAAAATAGAACTCCTCCCGGACATGACACTGCCAAACTAGCATCACCGCAACCACACCATCACACCATCATCACAGCTGGCATCGTCACTGCAAACCAATGTCACGACAGCCACACCATCATCACAGCTGGCACCATCATTAGCCACACGATCATCACAGCTGGCATCGTCACCGCAAACCAACGTCACCACAGCCGCACCATCATCACAGCCAGGCCATCACTCTTAACCTACATCATCACAGCCACACAATCAACACCATTGACAACACCACCACAGCTACTCCGCAAACCAACATACCCGCGCCAGCGCCGTCAGCTGCAGGGCGGAGCGGCCCGTGACGGGGTCGGGTGGCGCTCTCAGCGCCCGCACCAGCAGCTCCATGCAGCGCGGGTCGCTGGAGAACAGGTGGCATGAGCTGGAGTCGAACTTGGCCAGCACCAGCTGGGCGAGCAACTCCTCGTCGCGCTGGAGGGAGGAGGCGGCGGCGGCGGCGGCGGGGGAGCCTGTTGCGCTGGTGCCGTCCGACGCGCCGTCGCACGGTCGCCCGTATAATTTGAGCAGCAGACGCTCCAGTACGGGCAGCAGCAGAGACAGCACCTTCTGTGTGGTGGGGAAGGATGCCCCGTGTGGGTCCAGGGGAAGGTTCACAATGGCCACGTCAGAAAAACCGAGACGAGATCGCCGACAGCATGGGTTATAGGCCTGGGCATTTTGGATCCGTTAAGTCATTGTCTGGGGGTTCATATTGGCCATGTCAATGAATGAGTGTATGTATGTGCCGTGCCAGCCTTCATAGGTGCCCGCTAACAGCACTTGCCCCCAGTCTGTTAAGGCTATACGGGAGATCTGTGTCTTTGTGGGGAGCGGTAGTGTAGCGGTTAGCACGCTGCGCTATGAACCTGGCAACCTGGGTTCGATTCCCGCTCATGGCCAAGACCGGTGACGATCATCTGAACCGGTCCTGGGCCTCCCCTAGGTCGACTCAGCCTAGGGGAGGCCCAGTACCTGGTGCAGTGTGTAAACATGCCACTAGGGAGACAAAGGCGGCCGGGCGTGGTGTTGGCCACCCACCCCCTCGTGTGCCGTGCCGGCCTTTATAGGTGCTCTTGCCCCCACAGTCTGTTAAGGCTATACGGGGAATCTTTGTGTGTGTGTGTGTGTGGGTATGTGTGTGCACGTGTGTGTGCATGTGTGGCCTGGCACAAGCGTCGTGGTGACGTCACCGCCACTTAGTGGCGAATGGCGGTTGTTGTTGTTTGCGTGTCTCAGTCAGTCGACCCGTGGCACCTGGGTCTGCCCCGTGACATCCTGCCAGCGGGCGTTCGACACTTCAAGGTGCACACAGCCGACGGTTGTTGTTGTGTGCATGCGTCACTCACGGGGCCGTGCACGTGCTCAAGGCTGTGCAGGGCGGCGCGCGCCACGTATGACGGGAACTCGGTGCTGGCCATGCACGACAGCATGACTGCCAGCGCCACGCCCGCATGCCGATCACCACGACCCCTCCCCTCCTTCGCTTGAGACTCAAACAGCAGCCCCAGTGCCTACCGGGGACCGCGATAAACCACAACTTCACATTAAAACCCCGGAGACCACGGCAAACCACACACTAACCGGCGACTTCACATGATAATCCCAGGTACCGCGTCAAACAGCAAAAGTGATTCTACCAAAGTGTCATAACGGCGTGCTCAAGCGCAACTTTAAACTCATTGCCAGAGCGGCCAGCGTGTGGGTGCGAGCGCCGGGCGGACCTGCGCCGTGTGTGCAGGGTCGGCGACAATCTCCTCCTCGCTCGCCAGCAGGGCGGCCGCCAGGGGCTGCAGTGGCATGGCGCTGGCGGCGGAGGCGTCGGGGCCCAGCAGTGCGCGCACGCAGCGCAGGGAGGCAGCGCGCACCGCACCCAGCGGGCTGGACAGCGCCGCGAGCAGGCTCACCATTGCTACGGCACACACGCACACACACAAACGCACGCACGTGCACACACACAAGCACAAATATCAAATAAAAATTACCGGTGTGACTGTTGTGTGATGAACACTCTTGTCAAAAGCAGGGAGTGTGGGAAAGTGTTGACCCCACTCTACAGGTGCCATTTTAAGAGATCTCAGAAGTAGCTCTGTGATATCCACTTCCGTGGGCCGTTCTCCAACACGAAGGGTCGCGCTCGGCTCGATGCGAGAATCCCTAATGGATCATCATGCCACGATGCCGACGCTCCCACCGGCTAGTAACCTCAGCATTGCGTCGGCCCGGTAACCATGGCTGCTGCCGCTCTCACCTGGCACCGCCACGGCTGTGGGCGTGGCGTCCGGCGCTGCGCCGAGCAGCGTGGCGCCCACGTGCAGTGCCCGCGCCTGCATTAGCGCGCACGGCGGGCGGCCCAGCCGGCGGCTGTGGTCGCAAGCGCTGCTCCACACGAGGCCCAAGAAGCGCAGGCGCTCCGAAGCCGATGGGAGGTGAACCTACGCGAGGGGCGGGCGGGCGGGGAGAAGGACAGGGCACGTGGGTTGGTACAAACAGGGCAGGACGACTCGCTCGGGGTTTTTTTTTCCACAGTTAAGAGACCAACAGCCGCCCTGGTAAATGCTGCCCAAGTTTGAGCCTCATGCACGAACTATTTTTGTTATAAATTATTACATTGACGCGAGTATCAGAGCGTCGTTGCACAATCCCCCACGCGTGAGCAACGTGTATTGAACCTGAGCGAGCCGCACCTTCCCCACCCCAGGCCCCTCTGCCCCCGTTCCCTGAGGACGGAGACGAGCGTGGAGCCGTTTGACCTCTCGACCTCTATGCCGCTCACCTGCAGCAGCGAGAACAAAAGCTGGCGGAAAGCGGCGCCGGTGTTACCGGTGCCCTCCGTGGCGCCGGCCACAACCACGTCGAACAGCCCGACCAGCAGGCACAGGTACCCCCTGGTGGCCTCGTCCAGCGACTCCACGTTCCACCAGGTCAAGCCTACCACCGGAGAGAAGGTCAAGGGTAAAGGTGCAGCCTTGCACTAGCTCTCCTAGGCGCAAGTTCAAGCCGCTGCACAATTGTTTCAGACGGAATGGAACGTGCAACCTCTGGGTTGTGTGCTCGCCCCGCTGCACCACGGCAGCTACTCCAACCCCAGATGAAGAGAGGTAAACTTTCGAATTAAATCCTCCTACGACAGGTTGCACCAACACCTCAATTCTACTCCGGCCAATCAAGAGGCTGCGTCTCATTAGGACAACAGAAGAAAGTGGCGGTCATCAGACAGAGGCAAGGGTAACAAATCGTGCAATGTTTAACGCTGATAGCACTGCGGCACCAGCCTGGCCCCGGCACAGTCTCAGGGTGGCACCAGCGTGGCACCAGCATGGCCCTAGGGTGGCACCAGCGTGGCACCAGCGTGGCCCTAGGGTGGTGCCAACGTGGCACCAGCATAGCCACTCACCATCGTCGTGGCGCCGTGGGGGCTGCAGGGTGGTGACGAGTCCACGCAGCTCGTGCACGTACACGAAGGTGACGTCCAGCTCCCCGGAGGTGTTCTGCACAGCGCGCAGCATCCCCGCAACAAACGCCGGCGCGAGAAGCCCGCCGGCGCTCGTCTCCGCCATGGCTGACGGAAAGTCCTGCGCCTCCTGCGGACGGCAAAATGAGGTGACACTCTCTCCACTGTCGCGTTGTACGTTAGAACGTACATTGGCATGAACCAGCGTAACAACACACGGTTGTCAAGCCGTCTCGCAATCCTGCCAGCAGATGCGCTTGCGCACACCTCGTTGGTCCACCGGGCGAGCTCTCCACGCTTCTTTGCCCCCTCTTCAGATTTTGTTCCACTTTCTTTGGCAGTGGCCGTGTTCATCACCCATAATTCACATAGGTGATACAAACCGATTGAAAAACTTTCCTCATCGCGTCGCTAAGCTCATTTTCATCGTCACGTTCAACTAAACATCAGCATAAAAAATAATAAACGACCTTTAAATAGAGCGTTTGAAACAACCCACACCCGGCGCCAGCTCCAGCCACGCTGGGACGCACCTGCTTGAAGGTGTCGGCCGTCAGCCTGTGCAGCCGTTCCTCCAGCAGGCAGAAGGCACGCACCGCGAGCTGCAGGTGCTCACGGTAGCCAGACCCCTCCTCACCAGCCCCCTCCCCGGCCCCCTTGCTGGACCGCTCGCCGGGCCGCGGCCCCTCGGCATCGACCGTCCGCGCCGCCTCCGTCAGCATCAGCACCGTCGCGTGGAACAGGAGCTGCTGGCGCGGGGCGGGGTCGCGAAGCTGGACTCTCGCAAGCAGCTGCTCCACCTGCCGGTCATGGCGGAACAAGGGGGCGAAATTAGACAAACAGTAAGAATAATATAATCCCACCTGGTGCTCACACCATGCCTACAAACACGGAGGCTATCGTGAAGGCGCCCCATGGTCATCGTGGCTTTGTCATCTCTACGGAACATTTTCGTCTTGAGTCAATGACTGCGGGACCGACTGAGGGTTGGTGACAAATATTCCTTGCCATTTTTTTTTTCTTTGCCGTTCCTCCAGTGTTTCTGACAACTTGATTTGGTTGGCTCCATCGGGTGGTGGAGGGTAAAGCTGGCATTTTACATGCTTTAACCCACAGCCAACTCATTATCAATCAAATTTCGAACGGTGACCGGCATTGAGTTCCATGTCGATGACTTGGTGAGTAAGTCAGCGAGTGGGTGGGTGGGTCGCGTGGGTGGGTGGGTGAGAGGGCGGATGAGTGGGCGAGTGAGAGAGTAGGTGAGTGGTTGAGTGAATATGCGGTTGGGTGGGTGACTAAAAGCAATGCATCATCTCCATTGGAACTTGTAGGGTTTTAGGTTTCCACGAGTTGGCACCGGCCGCCTAGTGAGCTCGGTCTAGTCACGGGGCTGTTCGCTCTCGGCTAACGACGCAATGAACGACACACGCCGGAGCGACGCCGATCGGTGAAAACGATCTCAACGTGACATTACGTGACGTTACGATCGACTGGGCTCGCTTCAGCTGAACGTGACCAGGTTGTTTGGACACCTTCAGCTTTGTGATTCACAGGAGTACGATGCATCGAGTGCGCGCCATCATCCGCCAAGGAGGCGGTCACGTTGCGAGCGGACGACGGACGAGTCGCGGACAGAGGAGAGAGTCTTTACCGTCTCCTCGCGGGACACAGGATCCATCGCCACCAGGTTCTGAGCCAGCACTTTGATCGCTTCCACGGTGCCCACAGACTCCGGATCCACCTTCTTGCTGTTCGCGTTCAGCCTTGACAGAACTAGGGAAGATGAAAACGCGTGACATGAATGCGTCTACTGCGGGGGTTGTTGCTGTTTTGTCATCATTTAATAAAAATGTTCATATTATTAACATTTATTTATTATCGAGCAACACATTTCTGCGGAGGGAGCTGGTAGGAACGTTGGGTTGCTCGGTCAATGGCCAGGGTCAACGGCGGCGTGGTGTATTCTGCAAATGTCCGACTGTGAGGGCAGGCACAAGCCGGCGTGAGTAGGTTAAACTTTGAATTTTGTAAGGGCACCACGGGGTGAACAGCCCCTCACCACCCAGCCCCACCCCTCCCCACCCAGCCCCTCCCCTCCCAACCCTCCCCTCTCCACCCAGCCCCACCCCTCCCATTTTTGGATACACGACGGACGGACACAATAATCTCCTGTGGGCTGGTGTAACCAAGAGGTTCCTATTTAAAGCTTTCGTGACTGCAAGGATTCATCTTCTTTGGTTCTTTCGGTAAAGTCACGTAGAATGAGAATAAAATAATAAATTGATAAAATAAAATAACACAATAAAATTCTCACGACGTTTCGGCCACAACACAAGCGGCCTTCATCAGGTGAAGGGACGAGACTGTCTGGAGGACAGCGCTGGAGCGAACACAGCCAAGCTCAGACCGCGACCTTTAAGCTGTGTGAGAAGAAACAGAGCGCCTTGACAAAGGAATTAGCATAGAATTTAGCATTGAAATAGCTGAGTCACAGCTAATCACTCAGCTATTTCAATGCTAAATTATATGCTAATTCCTTTGTCAAGGCGCTCTGTTTCTTCTCACACAGCTTAAAGGTCGCGGTCTGAGCTTGGCTGTGTTCACTCCAGCGCTGTCCTCCAGACAGTCTCGTCCCTTCACCTGATGAAGGCCGCTTGTGTTGTGGCCGAAACGTCGTGAGAATTTTATTGTGTTATTTTATTTTATCAATTTATTATTTTATTCTCATTCTACGTGACTTTACCGAAAGAACCAAAGAACAGGAGGTTCCTACCAGTAAAATGTAAATATTACTTTCACCGACGCAACTGATAGAGCCCGTCACTGTAACACTTCCGTCACGACCGATGCTCCCATCACAACCCAAACAACTCAATAAAAAACTAACAAACCCTGCTGCAAGAGTCACACGAACACCCGAGTCGTCTCCTGAACATGCGACAGGGTAATCAATTCGCAAAGACCAATCATGAGCGAGGTTCATCAATCAGTGACATTTGTTACAACCGGCAACACCGCCCCTCCCCCCATCCGCATCTGCCCCCGCCCACTCACCCCCCCCCCCCCGACACATCGTCACTTCCGATGCCACCACCGCCACCCGCCCGGTGGGTACAGCGACCGCAGCGCCACCCACCCTTGTCGAGGCCACGCAGCAGCGGGTGGCTGCGGGCGAGGGGCGACTGCGCCACGGCGAGTGCGGGCGCCAGGTCGCGCGGCGCCATAAGAGGCAGCGCGTAGGGCAGCAACTCCAGGGCCACGATGTCGCGCCACCGTTTGTCGGCGAGGGATGCGGCCTGGCTGGTCAGCACCCGCACCGACTCGAGGAACACGCTCCTCCTGCACCGGGAAAAAAAACGTGCCGTCAGACGGGGGGGGGGGGGGGGGCGGGCGGCACCGGTGTCGCCCAATAAAAAAACGCGCGAGCACGACGAACGGTAAAGGCCGATGCCAAACTGCGAGGTTCCGCGCGAGGACTTGCACGGGCCTAAAGTTATAGTTCTCAAGTAATAATAGTTATCTCCGAGTTCACGTCTGTAGTTCAATTGCAGCCTCTCTCACTGAACACGAAGCCTTTTTAGGTTTGACGTGATTGGAGGAGTCCAAGGAACCGCGGTTGAAATGCCAACGAATCGTGGTAGCCCAGCACACGATTCCTGACAGGGTAATGCCCTGCTAGGACGCAGCATGGCTATTGTGGCATGGGGGAAGCTCCTTGGCTGATGGCGCAAGACCACCCCCCCCAACCCCCCCCCCCCCAACCCCCCCCCCCCCCGACGCGTCGCTGACACGGCACGAACCAAGCACTTGAGTCTGGCCAGGGGGTTCAGCAGGCGAGCGAGCGACTCACAATAGTAATAGTTGAGAGTTCAAATTCTGGTTGAGGTGGGGGTGTGTTAGCTCAGCCCATCATATCTCTGGGGTCGATAAAATGAGAACCGCTCTGCTGCCACTAAACACGCTTTGCCGAATCGGACGTTACCGGAGCTCAGGGCTGCTCCTGTCACTTTGCGATGCGCTCATATGCGTGCCATGACATTTGGAGAAAGTATACAGATCACTTCCACTGAAGCGTCTCGGTGGAATAAAGTCACTGCTCTATTAATAACGTGGAGGATTAAGTTCGAGGTTAGGCGGCCCTGTCTGCTCCCTTGGCCGCCGCTCGGCCGTTACTCTGGGCCACCGCTCATCGTCCCCTTCCAGCCATGGCGCGTCATCTCTTGCTCGAGTATTCTCGGGCGTATTCCTCCTCCAATGCCCCCTGCCGCCCCCTGCCCCCATCCCCTCAGCCCCCACCCACCTGTCAGCCGCCCCCCCCCCCACCCGTGCTGCCGCAAGATAGATTAAGCTCTCACCATCGCTCGGGTTGCTCCAGCCTCCCGATTTTCTGTATCAGTTTGACGAGCACCGAATTCGCCTCCACCGAGCAGATCCGTCCACCGAGCGTCTGAACGAGGAGAGCAACGAGAAAAAGTCATCGCGAAGGACCTCCACGTGACCTCCACGTGACCTCCACGTGACCTCCACGTGACCTCCACGTGACCTCCGCGGCAATCACGCGCGTCCGTCGCCACGCATCAACAAATTCAGCCGCCGAGTAATCACCGCTTGCCATCTCAAGGTAACATTTGGTTGGTGTTTAAAAATAATAAAATATTATAACGGAACACGACGACAGTCCGATGGCGCTGCAGGGGCTCGGACCGTTAGGGCGGCGAGCGCCGCGGTCACGACAGCGGGCGTGTCGTCGTGGAGACGGCTGCACACGGCCTCCGTCAGGAACTCCTCACCAAAGCCTTCCTGGGGGGGGGGGGAGGGGGGGTGGTGTTGGGGTGGGGGGTGGAGATTTTCAGACGAAGGTCACAATGCTGGCAATATCGTCACAATCACCATCGTCACCATCATCATCACAATCATAATGATCATAACGATCATCATTACTATCAACCGTCATCACATTCATCATAATCATCGCGATCATCGTGACAATCATCATTTTCTAATGGACAAGACTCAACCTTCTGAGTCACTGCAGAGTTTTCCTGTGTTAATAAGTGCTGTCCCTTAACGAACCTCTGTTTAGAAGCCAGATTATGCTAAATATTCTACTCTTTTATTTTGGTATATTTAAACAATTAACGCCGATTGTGCTACCGGTGTTATCCCGTGAAATCAAGAATCCGTTTGGAAATCTCACCTTCACCTGTTTTTTCCATGGTGGTCGCCTATCCCAAGCACGGTCGAGGCTCAACCCTGCTCAGCTGCCGAGAGTCTGAGAGCATCGGGAACATCTCCATCCTCCTATAACCCCACATGACTCATGTGTGGCCACCCCCACTCTGAACCCATTCCCTCTCCCCACTGTTGCCCCTCGTAAAAACATACGCTGCTCCTCCGTGCAGCTCACTTCTGCATCCTGCTATCTTCTCTCTCCCTTCCCTCCACTCTCCCATCATCATCATCATCACCACCCTCTCATCTACGTCATCTTGAGTCAATAATGACGTCTCCCCCTCCTTTGCATACTGCCCGGCGCTCCTCCTCTTATTCCTGCTGCTCATCTCGATTCCTTGACTCTACGCCCCTCCTGCTGCTCATCTCGATTCCGGGCCATTAACGCAAATAATTATAGATCTGCCTGTAGTGGGTCGCACTGTCTGCACGTGGCTGCGCTGGGCATGTGGAGCGTGCGATGCGATACCTTGCCGGACAGCACCAGAGTGCAGAGGTGGGAGAGTGCGAGGCAGCGCACCACCTCCTGCGGGTGGTGCAGGCTGAGCAGCAGCGACGTGTCCGAGTCGGGCACCAGCTGGAGACACCACACAGCAGATTCGTCACCATCGCCGCCACCGCCGCACACGCGCTCAGAATCATAATCTTTTTAATCAGAATCTTCTTTACCCTGGAGAAATCCGTTCACCCCGGCCACGACTTGCTAATGTCGTCGAGTTACAGTTTACTGCTGAGTTATTCCAGTAACAACAATCCGTGCGGTTACTCAAATGACCAAAGTGAGCCGTCAGCCGCCCGGTCTGCCACGGCCGCCGCCACCCTGCCAGCATGGCACCGGTGGCCACTGCCACGCTCTCTGCCGCAGGTCACCTGGTGCTTCCCGCTGGCGGCGCCCAGCGAGATAAAGTCGTGGAATGCTTCCTTCCCTGTGCCGGCGCTCTCCCCGTGCAGGTGAGCTGCCATCACCTGGTCCCAGCTCTCCGTGTACCTAGCACGACGAGGAGGAGAAGGAAATTCATCATAAATCGGGAGCCGGTACCGCGAGCTCGTTAGAGTACAACTAAAGATAGAGATCCTAACACTACAGCAAAGACAGCTGGGGGTAAAGTGTTATTAGAGAGCACCTATTAAGGTGGAACATGCACATAAAGCGGTAGGGTGTGGCCAGCACCATGCCCAGCCACCTTTGTCTCATTTAAGGCTGATTCGACCTCGGGGAGGGCCCAAGACTGGTGCAGATATCACTCACCATGGATGTTAACCGCGGCCGGGAATCGAACCCAGGTCCACCCCTATTCGTGGACATTTATAGAATCACCTGGAATTTGTAAAAGTGAATTATCACTCGTCTCGTTATGTCCACGCTTGAGGTCGCGTCTTCGCAAAAAAACGCCAGGTCAGAATAACGAGGCGGTAGGGGGGGCGCGTGGGGAGAGGAGGGCAGGGAGAAGAAGGAGGTGGCGCTCACCTCTTCTCGAGCGTCCGCAGGATGGGCAGGAGGCGCTGGTGCAGGACGGCGAGCCCATCCGATGCCCCGCCCTCCTCCCTCTCTTGTGCTGAGTCGACTCCCCTCCTCCTCATGTAGCCCTCCAGCAACAGCCTGTCGCAGGTAAACACGCCACGTTCAACGCCCCCACCCCAACCTCCAGTCTTGCCCGGCTCTCGAGCAACAATGGACCTCGGCTCCGCGACCTCAAGAGTCACGGTTAATTTCCGTCCGTGAAATACTGCGCGCGTTACAAGTTGTATTGTTATTAAAACAGACGTGTGTATCGATCGCTATAACACGACACAAAGGCGTGCTCACGATCAGCAGGAAGGAAACACTCCCACCGCGCTGTTTGCTATCGTCTTGCAGAGAGCGTGTTGGGTTTGAATTCGTGGAATGATATTGGCTGATGGATGATTGTTGCTGATGATGATGACGGAGGAAACTTTAACCACAGACCTGCTCTTCGGCAGGAGGGTTAGAGCCTGACGCTGCTGGAACTTCGTTGGGTCAGGGTTAAAGGGTTAAAGGGTTAAAGGGCAAAAGGTTGAGGGGTCGCCAGGTACCGTATGAGCTGCGTGTCGATGCCGCGGTCCAGCGGAATGTCCCGGACGAGACGCAGGAGGAGTTTCTCTGGAGCAGGGAGATCCTTGGCAGCTTCACCTGGACGACGTGAATGTAAAACCTCACACTGCAGCCATGGCAACGGTTCGGGCGGGGACGATGTTCGCGGGCGGTTGCCAAATGATGAAACCCACACCAAAAGGGAAAAGGCCTCAACCATCTCTTTCCAAGTACATCTAGTGCATTAATTCAGAAATATTCTCACCTTAAATATTTAGTCACCTGACGTACCAGATACAGGTCCTCTAACGGATATGTTTCTTCGGACTTTTATATTAATCCAAAGAATCTAAAAATTTGACCCTATTACAAAATTGTCACTTTTATTTAGCGGAAACACACATTAATATATACCAGAAAAAAAACTTTAACAATATCGTCCTTAATAATCCAAAGTCTGCAATGTTACAATCTAAAAACTCGTCCCTAATTGTGCCGGCTAATTCCAGTTGTTTCGCTTCTACCATTGCTCGTCTGGCCGGGAAAACAGGGTGCTCGCCGCTCTCTCACCATCGTCGGCGTCATTTGGTGCCAGCACCGGCTGAAGCGCGGCGGAGACAAGGGGCGGCAGGAAGGCACGGAGCAGCGGGGCAGTGTCGTGTGTGGCGCCCAGCTCCCGCAGGGTCTCCAGCAGCCCGTCCAGCGAGCACAGGCAGTTGAACGGCCTGCGACGCCGCGATGGAGAAAGCGCGACGCGGTCGGCAAGGTTTTGTAAAAATATTTTCTTTTATAGTCACATTACAATTTACTCCCTCCCCCCCCCCCCCAAGGTTGTTTCACAATAGCGTTATCGGTGTCGTGAGTTGAGGTATCATCCATTCGGAACGCTCGCACCGCAGTGCAACCCTTCGTGTTGGGAGCACGGCCTGTGAAAGTGGATCTCGAGCACACGGTCGGGGGGCAGCGCTTTCACACCGAGCCTGCCACCAAAAGCGATGGTCGTCGCACAACGATCAAACTGATATTTAAAAATCTCAGAACAGGAATTTAGCCAAGTTAAGTGAAAAACGAAGTTTACCGCAAGGGATTTTACCGTTGCTTTTTTTCCCGAGACCAACAACAACTCGCCAATCTTGACGACTCACGGACACTCGCCCATAATCTGCAACGAAGCAACTCGTCCGTGTATTTTTGTTCGTTAAAGCGCTCACTTCTTTTTGAGCGTCCTGCTGGGCTGCGTCTGGAGCAGCACGATGAGGCAGGCGACGCCGTCGCGCGTCTCCGCGTCTCTGCGCCGCCGCGCCAGCGAGCGCACAAGCTGCAGGGTCAGGGTCTCGGCCAGCGACTGCTCGAGCGTGGCGCGCACCGCCAGCTGCGCCACCAGCATGAGTGACGACGCCCAGTAGTCCGTCAGGCCCGAGCGCAAGCCCTGCCGCCGGCGCCGACGCCAACAAGACACGCGACACAACACGCACAAGAAGATAAAACAAAGGATCCCCCGTGTAGTTGACACAGTGTCAAGGGAAGTACTGTTAGCGAGCGCCTATCAAGGCCGCCACGGCCTATGATGGGGAGGGTGGGTGTGGAAAACAGCACACCCGGGTGCCTTTGTCTCCCTCGTCCTGATGTTTACACACTACACCAAGAATCATTAAAGGCTGAGTCCACCGCACAGAGACCCGAGACAAATACAAATATTCGCCACCGATGTTACCCATGGATGGAAATCAAACTTAGGTCACAGGGTTCGTAGGGTAGCACGTTAACCAATGCACCACCGCATTCCCCTGACACCCCCCCCCACCCCCCGCTACACACGCACGATGTTAACATCGAATGCGCCGCGGAAGGAAAACAAAACGCACGCAAACGGTGCCCGGAGAATCTCCGGCGCGTGCGAGGAGACTCCCACCTTCTGGACATGGGGCAGCAGCTTGGCCACGACGGTGTCGGTGACGCGGTCGGCCTCCAGCGCCGCCACCAGCGTGGACGAGTAGAAGGAGAAGAGGACGCGAAGCTGGCATGCGGCCGACGGCTGCTCGCCGAACACCTGCTCAGCGAGCACGAGGGACGGGAAATCCGTCGTCGGAGACGGCCGGGGGACGCAATGCGACCGCATCGGTCTTCGAGGTCGTGCCGCGCGGCGCGTGCCGTTCGGCCACGAGCGCACGTTCCGCCCCGCGCACGCTCTCGCGGCTGGATTCGGAAACCGGGTTCGAACGTCGCGGTGGAACTTTTTCCTTACCGAGGGCCGAATAATCAGTTTAGATAGCCCCACGGTGTAAAGTGCGGTCTCCAACCCTTAATATGGACTCCGTCTCTGTCGCCTCTCCATTCGTGTGCTATGAAGGACCATTGCTTGAAACATCACCTATTATATACATGCTCCCTTTTAAGGCCACATTGTTATTGACCAATGTGTTATTGACCAACGAGTTTGTTTTTCTTCAAATATCAAAGAACATCGACTCAAAAGGAAATTAAGACTTAAATTAGCTGCTTGTGTTACATTTACATAACTCAACACGCAGCCACTGATGTCGGGGAAAACAAACGAGCTCACGGATCATTGCGTTGCCAAGCAGTCGCGCATCCCGCTGTTGCGGAGCGAACCGTTTTTTTTTTTTGCGACGTTAAAACCGCGAGGCCGCCCGAAATTCCCGAGCGGGCCGTTGCCTCGGTTACCCCGCACGGGGCACCGCCAAGCGCCGGCGCGTTCAGCCAACGCGATGCCAATACCTGCACGGCGTGCGTGACCAGGCCGCAGATGAAATCCATGAAGCCCAGGTCCTTGTAGCAATGCATGACGAGCGTGCTCCGCGACAGAGGCACTCCCGGTTTCTGCGAGCGGAGACACGGATGGGGCGCGCAGGGTGACAGATCTTTCTTTGTGTTTCGAGTTTTCTGGCGTAAATGTGCCGACGACTCACCAACAATTACCGGATTTCTGAATCATTTGGTTACTCGAATAAGTGCCGTTTAATCAAACAAAAGTTGTTTGGAACATCGATATGACGGATACATTTTATATGATCTTCCTAAAAAGGTACCCTATTCACACAGAATAAAGAGGGCTCTGTATTTTATAGAATTAGCGTGTTTTACTTTCACACTGCTAATTAAATACTAATAACACAAGCGTGTTGGGAGATGTTACAGAAACCACGTTCGTGAAGCCTTTTGTAACTAGGCCGAGACCACCGCGTCTGAATTTTGGATTCAAAACGCAGGGATCTCAGCGATCACCTGCTCGGCGGCTCTGACCTCTGAGCCACCCGGCCTCCACGGTTGTTGTTATTGAATCACCAACCTGCAAAGGGTGGAGCCAGTGCCAGCGGTGCGTAGGCTCGCTGATCTTTAGCAGCTGCACGACCCTCACAAAGACCTTGGTCTCGTGGTAGGGCAGCACGCAGCCGATCAGTGCCTCCGTGTTGTACTGGTGGATGTGGAACCTGGGGGGGGGGGGGGTGGGGACGCGTGCGGTTATGGGAGCCCGTGGTCACCACGGCGCGTTTCAACAACCAGCAGGTGACATTCGGCACGTTCCACGGCGGTGTGAAGAAAAAATACGCATGCTGGAGTTGCCACGTCGCCTGTTGAGATACGTAAGTGGGCCCGGGGGAAGGGACACATCATGGGCTAGCAGGGATGATGGCTGGTGGTCAAAATTAATGGCAGGAGTGGCTGCCAAAGCAATGAACTCGCTTGAGAGTAAACCCATAGCGGAGATGGAGTATTGAAATCAACTCGTGCAGCAGCAAGATGAATTGTTCTATAGCAGGATCGTGAGTGATGGTGGCGGCTGGGGCGGCCTTCATCCTGTGGTCAACTAATCATGGCCAACGATAGTGATGATGAAATACATCCAGCCAATACGTTAGTCTGGGGCTGAGGACCTTAAACTGTACGATATATCATAGAATCCCATCGATTGTTGTCCTTCCCTCACACCTCCAATTGGTGCGGTTGGTTGAAAGAAGTTCAACATACATAAATACGACTATACGGTCTACCCAGAAGGAGCTGTTTAAGTCTGAATTAAATTGCGTAGACATAGCAACGGCCAATACCTGTAGAGGAGCCACTCGAGGCACTTGTGCGCGGGGCGGAGCAGGAAGAAGGGCGAGAGACGCGCGAGGAAGAGCGCGATGCTCTCGTCGAGGCGCGCGTTCACGTCGCGGCTCTGCACGCTGCGCTCCATCCGCTTGGACGCCTCGCTGAACAGCGTGTCGCGGAAGTCGTCGAACGCCGGCTCGATTCCCGCCAGCTCCTCCAGTCCGGTGCAGCCTGCGGCGAGAAAAACTCGGCATTGGCACCGTCTCTCACCGAGCTAGCGGCTGCGATGGTGAACGGTGTGTGCGTTTTGTGAGCCGTCAGCCCTGCGCTGGTATTCAAATGTGGCGCACAAGAACAAATAATTACGATTCATTATTCCTCCTTCCCCATTAGCTGCATGTCCCAGACCTCCTTTGTAAGAGGACTGTAGTTCTCAACACTCACATCATCATTAGCTACCCTAAGCCATTGCCATTATCTCTTGCTCTTGCGATGTTACAATCCATTGAGCTCCTGCACGAGAGCTGATTGCATTGCTCCCAATGTCCGACCATCGTCCCTTCTAGAGACATACCCTGACCAAGCAACTAACTTTTCTTAAGTCAACATGACGTCTCGAACGAGGGTATTTTCTCTCTGTCCCTCGGTGCAATTCCAATTAACCATCTTGCTACGCTTTTTGCGCACTTTTTAAAAATGTGTTTAATTCCTGATCTGTATGTCATAGCAGCTAATATGCGCCAATAAACCTCTTTTTAATAAACAAATTGTTATGCTACTTTTCAATATCACGTTCAACGATACGCACCAAAATGAGATTATACATGCAAGGATCCAGCACGTTTGATTCCCAAAGAATTGGCTCACGGCAACCTTGCCAACACTGTGCCTACATTTTCCGTCCAAACGTCACAGCGGGCCATAGGCACCGATTTAAAACCCTTTTTCTCTCCACAGGGCAGGGGGCTCTCGCCGCTGTGAATCCCTAACCCGTGCACCGACGAGAAGTTCTCCGTCGTACCGATCGCGTGGAAGAAGTCGCCATCGAGGGAGGCCGCCTCCTTGGGGTCAAAGAGCAGCGACGCGCGCTCCTTGCGCATCAGCAGACTCTGGTCCGTCTGCGGCAGCGCCAGGCGGCGCAGCTGATTGGCGAGGGACGTCATCTTCACCGGCTCCGTTTAAAAATACTAAAATCAAGGATGAAAAACATTGTGGATAATTAATTTGCTATTTGTTTATTTAACATAGCCACGGTCCAGTGTGCCCGAGGCCAGGGCCTGCTTCTCCTGGTTTCGCTGCCCAGGTCCCTGCACCGATCCTGCGCAAGGGAATCGAGGCGAGATTGGTGTCGGTCCATCATCATCACCATCACCATCATTATTAGGCATTGCGTGCGATGTCACGCAATGGACAAACAGGCCTATGTTATGTGGGCTTCAAGGGAAAAAACATTATAGGCGACGTTTCTGGAAATGGCCCTTCTTCAAAGCAGATATATCAATATGCCTATTAAATATTGTAGTACTCTCCTTTAAGATATGGAACCATCACCTTCACAAAACCTAATCGGCTGTAAAAAAAAGGGGTCGTTAAATCAGTTGGGTATCTATAAATTGATCACGTCGAACACTAACGGATTATGCAATACACACTACCCCACGGTTCGATAAAGGTGGACAAGCTAAAGGCGGAGCCCTGCAATTCCCATCTCGCACCACTGCTGGTGGTAGGGCCTCCTCCAGAGGAAGCTGTAGGCAGCATCAGCCCCGAGAGAGGTCCAACACACTTGTGTTATGGCCATTATTATTGTGTTATGGCCATTATTATTGTGTTATGACCATTTAGATTATAGCCGTTATTATTATTTTGTTATGGCCATTATTATTGTGTTATGACCATTCATATTATAGCCGTTATTATTATTGTGTTATGGCCATTATTATTATTGTGTTGAGGCCATTATTAGTGTGGTATGTCCATTATTATTGTGTTATGACCATTCATATTATAGCCGTTATTATTATTGTGTTATGGCTATTGTTATTGTGTTATGGCCATTATTATTGTTATGGCCATTATTATTATTGTGTTGAGGTCATTATTAGCGTGGTATGTCCATTATTATTGTGTTATGGCCATTATAATTGTGTTATGGCCATTATAATTGTGTTTTGGCTATTATTGTTATTATTATTGTGTTATGGCCATTATAATTGTTATGGCTATTATTGTTATGGCTATTATTATTATTGTGTTATGGCCATTATTATTGTTGTGTTATGACCATTCATATTATAGCCGTTATTATTATAGTGTTATGACTATTATTGTGTTATGGCCATTCATATTACTGTTATGGTCATTATGATTGTGGTATGGCCATCATTATTGGGTTATGATCATTATTATTGTCGTCATTATTGTTGATATTAAGCTGCCTTGCGGTGGTCGGGGTGGTGGCGGTGCAATTTGAACTTCTATACTTGATCTATCTTTAATACGTATTGTTATTCGCTTACCTTTGCTAAACGTTTCACTCCCTGTCGGTTTTTTTAGTACTGTATTGTTTGTTGTAACTTTCTGACCCGCCACCTTTCTGGACGTCTGTGAAAGAAAAAAAGAGCTTAACAGCTCATCGGATTCCTCCAGTACGAATAAAGATTCCGATTCAATTCCAGAGCACGCGCTAGCATCAGTGGCCCTGGGAGTCCTCGCCATGAACCTCCCCTCACCCCCCGCGACCCTTCACCAACCCGCATTGACCAGCGTGGTGAAGTATGGTTCAAGCAGGTAACGGCGTGGCGGGCTTCATCCAGCAGCGGAGTAGACAGGGTATATATGAACGAACACTCTTAATTAATTTAAAGACAAACTGTCCGAGTCTGTTTGGCTCTTGAAGCCTCATCGGTGGAGGAATCCCGAATAACTCACTCGGCAAGCCTTAGGCCGGAACCACGTGTAAGTCGCACATTTACCACAATTATACCCAAGACTGTGTGTGAACAATAACAACGCGAAGGCAGCGGGGCGGATAAAGCGCGACTCGGTAAACGCGTGAACATTGTAACAACAACAATAACACAAAGATGAGACAATTAACCGAAGGATAAGAAGTCGGCACTCACCGATCGGCGAAACCCCCCCCCACGTGTGCACTACTTTCGCGCACCCACCACTCGGGCCTCAGAGCCGCTTCACAAATTTCCCCGCCGCGCATGAGCATCCGCGCCCAGGGCACCACGTGGCGCGGATTGAGCCAATCACGGCGCGCGCATGGCACTTCCACCCCCCCACCACCGCCGCCGCCACCGCGCGCCCACGTGTCCGGTGTAGGGAATTGTAAAGGCGGGTCACGTGGGACAGAGGAGTCAAAGGCGCAGCCCTGCAACAGTTACATGCTGTGTACAGAATTAGAATGTTGTATTTGTCGTGGGGGAATCCGATGAGCTACAAAGCTCTTTTTTTCACAGATGTCCCAGTCGGGGCGGGGAAGAACGAACAATACAGACACGTGGTATGAGTGCAAAGTACAAGCAATGTTAAACAAATCACTCAAACGCATACGCATACAAATAAAAACTAAACCATTCCGAATCCTACCAAACAAAGCCCCACTGAGTTATTAACTTGTTTTTTTTTAAAGCGACCTGGCCACAAATAATAGCTCAACAAAGTGGCTTATCATTTGGACATCAAAATCATCGAAACGGTCTAAACGCACGTGTCTAAATGTACACGCATACGCAATAAAGGTTTTATTTCTTAGGGGGAGTGGGGTGGGGAGGTTAGATTGCGTGAATATAAATGTGTCGTTAAACCCGGCAGGCACCACCCGACACAGCCAATATAAAGTGAGGTTTGTCACGTGAACGTGCCAGTTCGTTACTACTTCAGCACACCGCCGGGGTGCGATGGAGAGAAACACCCCACAACATTTACAATTCGAGTCGCGTGCGACGTGTCGCTGGCGATTACAACAACCCAGCTTCATCATGCGATATACAGAATTGTGTACGTGTGTGTTGAATTTCTTTTGCACCGTACGTAGCCAACCGCGATAACCGGAGGCACATGACGGGAAAACCCCATCACCAGGAGTTACAGTATTTAATTTGAGTTTAACTTAATTTACTTATTTATCCAGGAGTCGCATAAAAACATTTTTTTTCAGGAGGCTTATTACTTGTAAAAATTTTTCAGCCAATCTGTGTGCCCATACATGTGCGAGAGGGGCAACACTCTATCCCCGTACAGATGGAAACAGATGGCGATGAGTCCACTTGCTGTACCGCCATCTGCTGGCGATCCAGGGAAGGGTATGGGCTCCCCCTCGATGCCCACAGAGGATAGGTAGTTTCGCTCCATCTGTGCGGTGATTTACCAACCCCTAGCTCAGTGTCGGATTATTTTCGTAGCAAAAGTAGCTACATATGCTACGGCCCCGCAATTTTAAGGGCCCCGCGCTAAATGCTTTCAAGCTATAAATTCCGGTTCAGTGATTCTGCACTTGCTCTATTACTATAGTACTATACTGCCTTCAACTTTTATGAACGACTGGGCGTTTAACGTTAGCGGGTTGTCGTATTATCTGGCTGTATAGCAAATGAAAAAATACAATTACTTTACTGTGCAAGTTAAACATTGATGTTTTAATATTTGTGGGGGTTTTTTTTATTTAGGGCTCCTTTATAACATATGCTACAGGCCCCGCACGAGCTTAATCCGGCACTGCCCTAGCTGCTGCTGTCTCCACAGTGCTGGACTATAGGCTTGCACAGTGACAACAGCAGATCTTGTGGCCAAAAAGTACGGGCAACTTCACGATTCATAAACTTAACGAAACTTTTCATTTTACCAGGTAAGGCCCACTGAGCTATAATCGCTCTTTTTCAGAAGCGACCTGGCCACAAATGGACACCTCAACGAAGTGGCTTATCATCATGTGGACAATTATAGCAGCCAGATACTCTAAACGCGTGATGTTGATTGTAAATGTGGAGGGGAAAAACCGGAGGACCCGGAGAAAAATCCACGCGACCACGGGGAAGGAGAGACACGCAAACTCCAAATATACAGCAGGCGTCAGGGTCAGGATCGAACCCACGAACTCCTGTATACCAGGGGAGGGAGTTAACATCTCCTAGCCACCGGACCTGCAAGCCAGAGGTTGCCGCTTGAGCTTTCTGATTCAGATGTTTTTTTATACCCCCCCTCTCTCCTCTGCAGTCCAACCCAGGAGCCACATAAATGGGTGCAACACCACAGTTAAAGTCTATGATCTGGAGATCGCGTGTGGCGGGGTAAAGTGTGGGTTCTTCCACCTCATCCAAGACGTCTGACCGGCTTGGAAGAGTAGGCCAAATACTCTCCGAGAGCTCCCTTCCAGTGGAGGCTCCTTCCGCAGGCAGTGGCGTGAGCGAGAAATTGTAGGGCCGCACCGGTCTTTACACGCTTTCATTTAACTCTGTTGCTGTTGTTGTATCCTCAAATCTTGTAACTCAATTTTAACCCACTTCCCAATGTGGTATCGACTGCAAACTTGGTATACGTATGTCATACTGATGACAATACTATATTCTATCATAAAAATTAAATATGTATATTTTTAAATATAATTTTGTATATGTAATGTTTCGGCTTGGGTCTAATTGTCCACTGTCAACTGACGTTGGCTGTAATTGGCCACAGTCTCTTACGTTACGGCGAGCTTCGGGGCCACTTCCTGGAGTCGTGGAGTTCTTCCATTACTAGCACATTTCATAAAAGCGCGTTTTAAAAAAATGTATATTATTTATTTTGCACCGTTGTATCACAACACGGGGCCAGTCACTGCCGTACAAACATCGATACCGTAAGTGGGCAGCAGAGGGCAGTGCATCGACATCCATTGCGCTGGGGAAAGCCTTCCACTACCTTCACCGCGTGTACCACGCCTTGACCGTCGTGGTGAAGTATGGTCAAATGACCCCCGCGATTAGCGAGAAGGCGTGAGGAGGATCTCATCCAGCAGTGGATTGGCGAGTGGGCTGTACACGTTAATGACATGTTGAACATTGTGGAGGGTGATTTGAAGCTTTCGTGACTGCAGGAATCCATACGCTTTGGTTCTTTCGGTAAAGTCACGAAGGTATAAAATATTATATTTTTTTTATTTTATACCTACGTGACTTTACCGAAAGAACCAAAGAGTATTGTGGAGGGTATTGCATTCAGCATAGCTATAGACGATCGCTACGCCAGACTGAACACCGCCTCTAGTTTTCAATCCTATCACTAACATAACTCTATCCCTACCTATATCTTTACACTGACCCCATCCCTACCTATCCCCCACCCTATACGTGTATCCCATAAACATAAACCTAACCTATCACTATTCCTACCTGAAACCTATCCCTGAATTCTATCCTGACACTGATCTACACCAATCCTAGACTTTCCCTAACAACATCACTGCCTATACATACTGCCTACCCTAACCTTGTTCACACTCTAGCACAACTTTCAGCCGACCTCTACTACGAACTCTACCCTTTACCATAGCCATACCCTACCTCTACAACTAGTTCTACCCTTTACCATATGCCTATCGCTAACCCGACCGCAAAAAACTAGCCCTATACCCACGATCATATCCACACACATAACCTCATCTCTTCCCAAAAACTAACCCTATACCTAACCTTATTAATAAACAAAAACTGCACTCAACATTTTAACTTCAGGGCTGTTCTTACCCTTAACCCTAACCTTAACCCGAGCCCTAACAATAACCCAACCCATACCCATGCGCAGAGTATAAACCCCGTACTAGTGGATTCTTTGACCTCGTCAGTATATTTTTTTTGACTCGAGGCAGCGCCCCGTGGCTATGAATAATCTGCGTGAGTCGAGGCGGCGTGGCTCGGTTATTTATACTCCGAGCGGCGGGCGGGGGCGCGGAAACCAGAGCAGGGGCGGTGGTGGGGGGCAGCCGAGACATGGGCTACAGTACCAATACAGAGGTCCTCGCCTGACGGCATGGGAGCAGATAGACGGGGATGGGATTGAGAGGGAGGAGATCGAAGGGGGTGGGATGGGAGGGAGGACATGGGATGAGATGGGGAGAGGGCAGATAGAAGGGGATCGGATGGGATGGAGATGGGAGATGAGATGGGATTGAGAGGGAGGAGATAGCAGGGTATGGGATGGAGAGATGTAGGAGATTGGATGAGATGGGGAGGGAGCAGACAGAAGGGGTGAGATTGGATTGAGACGGAGGAGATAGCAGGGGATGGGGTGGGAGGGAGAGGGGAGGAGATTGGATGAGATGGGGAGAGAGCAGACAGAACGGGTGAGATTGGATTGAGAGGGAGGAGATTGGATGGGATTAAGAGGGAGCAGATCGAAGGGGATGCGATGGAGAGGGAGGAGATGGGATGAGATGGGGAGGGAGCAGACAGAAGGGGTGGGATGGGATGGAGAGGGGGGAGATGGGATGAGATGGAGAGGGAGCAGACGGAAGGGGATGGGATTGAGAGGGAGGAGATTGGATGGGATTAAGAGGGAGCAGATCGAAGGGGGTGGGATGGAGAGGGAGGAGATGAGATGGAATGGGAGATTTGTGAGATGGAAAGGGATGATATGAAAGGGGGTGCGATGGGATGGAGTTGGAGGAGATGAGATGGAATGGGAGATGAATATAGAGGAGATGGCATGAGGTGGAAAGGGAGAAGATGGAAGGGGATGCGATGGGATAACACTGAGGAGTATATGCAGTGAAGGAAACAAGTTTTTGATCCCCTGCTGATTTTGTACGTTTGCCCACTGACAAAGAAATGATCAGTCTATAATTTTAATTGTAGGTTAATTTGAACAGTGAGAGACAGAATAACAACAAAAAAATCCAGAAAAACGCATTTCAAAAATGTTATAAATTGATTTGCATTTTAATGAGGGAAATAAGTATTTGACCCCTTTGCAAAACATGACTTAGTACTTGGTGGCAAAACCGTTGTTGGCAATCATAGAGGTCAGACGTCTCTTGTAGTTGGCCACCAGGTTTGCACACATCTCAGGAGGGATTTTGTCCCACTCTTCTTTGCAGATCTTCTCCAAGTCATTAAGGTTTCGAGGCTGACGTTTTGCAACTCGAACCTTCAGCTCCCTCCACAGATTTTCTATGGGATTAAGGTCTGGAGACTGGCTAGGCCACTCCAGGACCTTAATGTGCTTCTTCTTGAGCCACTCCTTTGTTGCCTTGGCCGTGTGTTTTGGGTCATTGTCATGCTGGAATACCCATCCACGACCCATTTTCAATGCCCTGGCTGAGGGAAGGAGGTTCTCACCCAAGATTTGACGGTACATGGCCCCGTCCATCGTCCCTTTGATGCGATGAAGTTGTCCTGTCCCCTTAGCAGAAAAACACCCCCAAAGCACAATGTTTCCACCTCCATGTTTGACGGTGGGGATGGTGTTCTTGGGGTCATAGGCAGCATTCCTCCTGCTCCAAACACGGCGAGTTGAGTTGATGCCAAAGAGCTCCATTTTGGTCTCATCTGACCACAACACTTTCACCCAGTTGTCCTCTGAATTATTCAGATGTTCATTGGCAAACTTCAGACGGGCATGTATATGTGCTTTCTTGAGCAGGGGGACCTTGCGGGCGCTGCAGTATTTCAGTCCTTCACGGCGTAGTGTGTTACCAATTGTTTTCTTGGTGGCTATGGTCCCAGCTGCCTTGAGATCATTGACAAGATCCTCCCGTGTAGTTCTGGGCTGATTCCTCACCGTTCTCATGATCATTGCAAATCCACGAGGTGAGATCTTGCATGGAGCCCCCGGCCGAGGGAGATTGACAGTTCTTTTGTGTTTCTTCCATTTGCGAATAATCGCGCCAACTGTTGTCACCTTCTCAGCCCATTCCAGCCTTGTGTAGGTCTACAATCTTGTCCCTGACATCCTTGGAGAGCTCTTTGGTTTTGATCATGATGGAGAGTTTGGAATCTGATTGATTGATTGCTTCTGTGGACAGGTGTCTTTTATACAGGTAACAAGCTGAGATTAGGAGCACTCCCTTTAAGAGTGTGCTCCTAATCTCAGCTTGTTACCTGTATAAAATACACCTGGGAGCCAAAAATATTTCTGATTGAGAGGGGGTCAAATACTTATTTCCCTCATTAAAATGAAAATCAATTTATAACATTTTTGACATGCGTTTTTCTGGATTTTCTTGTTGTTATTCTGTCTCTCATTGTTCAAATAAACCTACCATAAAAATTATAGACTGATCATTTATTTGTCAGTGGGTAAACGTACAAAATCAGCAGGGGATCTAATACTTTTTTTCCCTGACTGTAGGATGAGGTGAGATGAGCTCGTATGAGATTGAAGGATATTAGATAAGATGGAATAGAATAAGAGGGATGAGACGTGATAACCAGAAGTTACCTTCCACTAACACAAACTCTTCTCTGCGTTAGCACGCAAGGGCGGTCACTTGATATTGGTAAGGCAGCTGCTGACCAAGCCAAACATAATCACTCGGACACCCCCACATCGTGTCCTACTTTTACCAACTCCTCAACAACGTAAGCACCCTGAACACAAAAAAAATCGTGACTTCACATTTGTGCACATACAGTAGACGTATCACAGCGCATGCAGCACAGGACAGAAGTGGGGGGGGGCTTTGTGTATGGTGGCGGGGGGGGGGGGCGAGCGGCTGATGCAAGGTGGGGGGCTGATGTGGTACCCCAATCACTCACTCGCCCTCCCTCTTTGGTGTTGCTTCTGCATCACCAAGAGGACGTTGTGCATCGCTTTCAACTCTCCTCGTTCTGAACGCCAGGGCCAACCAGCTCGCGTGCAGCGGCTGGGTGGACTGGTGGCTTGGGGACCCCTTCATCCAGCAGTGGATGGATCGTGGCTGATCATGACGATGAATGCCAGGGCGCGGTTGTATAATTGCGATTCTCTTTGATTCACCCAGGATGACTTCGCTGAGTGTCAAGACTCCTTTTCAGGAGGGTCCTGTCTGGGAACGTCGGACATCGTTCCGAGCGGCACGCGGTACAACCCGAACACGCGTCAGAGAAGACTCAATACTCCCCTGATGCAGAGGAGCTCCGCGAACCCACTTGCTGTACTGTGTTTTACTGGCTGGAGGATACTCCACGCGTTGTAAGAACACACATTTGATGATGGCGATAATCCTTGTTTGTTTTGGGGTCAGGCCACATTACATGGCGAGCAAAACCCGACGGTTTAGGACTTTAGGTGAACAACAAACGGATTATCTTTCCTCCGATCTACTAACCCTGAACAATGGCAGGACACCACCCACCCAAAACCGGCGTGGTTTTGGTTTGAGTCCGAAGCTCGGCCGTGTGCGTGCGTGCGCGTTCCGCAGTCCACGTGTCGGGAGTTCCATACCATCGCGGGGGGCGAGAAGTGGAAAGGGGAGGCAGGCGAGGGTGGGTGGGGTGGAGGGGGGGTAGAGGGAATCGCGTCAGTCACTATTTATCGCGCTCAGCTGTTGCGTGGGGGGCCGTGCGACCGAACGGGTACATCGCGATACCCGCTTCGACAGCCCCCCCGCCACCACCATCCTCCTCCCTTTTCTCGCCCCCCCCCACCATTCCCCCCGCCGCCCCTGCCCCTTTGCAGCCTGACCCTCTCACACACTCTCTCTCTCTGCCCCACCCCCGTCACATCTCCTCTTCTGGGAAGTCCTCATCCAGCAGTGGATTGGCAATAAGGTTGTACAGTCGCATATCCATCGGTGGCATATGACCCCCGCCCAATTTCAACATCGCTGCCACGCGTCCGTCAAATCCCCAAGCGATTGTGAGCTTCGGGTTCTGTGGGCACAGAGAGAGACGCACACACAGGCAGTGTTTGTCTCCTCTCAGTTTGACTTGGTTCCTCTGGCCCCAACACTCCTCCCCCTCGTCCATCTTAGCCCCCATCCCGCGCCCACGGGGGGGGATCCTGGCAGCCCGAAGAAGGAGCCCCCCCATTACGTCACCCCACCCCCATTAAGGATTTCGCTCATTTATTTATAAATTGTGTACCGCTGGCCGTGCTCCGAGCAGCTGTCGCACATTCGCCGCAATGGGTGGCGCTGAAAGTATATGGCGTGCGATCCCCACTCTCTCGATCTTCGCCTTGTCCATGCGCGCACTGTCGCGTGCTCTCTATGGCATTCGTCCGCCGACGCGTCTTGCTTTGTGAGTCACAGATGGCGGTGAAGGGGGGGGGGATCGTGGCCGAACTGTTGGCTCGCTCTCTCCACTGAACGTGGTTGAGGCGGCTCTCCAGCTCAGGTCACGATCTCTCTCGTCGGCAGCGAATAAACAACGTGCGTAAAGCACTTGGGAATTATGATTATTGTAGTTTTTTTCTGATTCGCGGTGCGTTCCTCATCACCGTACCGCTCTCAATTATTAGCAGAATAACGGCAGACAGACACACATCTGTTCAACAGAGCAACAGTAATTAAGGTGGTGATGATGATGATGATATTGCCGTGTGGAGGCGCTGATGTCAGACGGGAGGCATCAGCTCAATTATCTGGTCCACCACGGAGGTACCTAATCGGAACATCCTGGACCCTCGCTCCTCCCTCCCACCCCCCCCCCCAAACTGTCCCTCTACCACACCACGACCCCCCTCTCTATCTCTCCCTCATCCCTATCAGCACCCCCCCCCCCACCGCCATCCTCCAACACCCCCATCACCGCCCCCATCACCACCCCTCCTACCCCAACTCGCACCCCCCATGACTCTATGAGGCTTGGAGCGGAGGGGTTCTTGCTTCAGTCGGGGGCGACTGCGGCGCACGAGGCCATCCCGTCCGTGTCTTCTGCGTAGAACTTCAGAGATATCGGGATCGAGAGATCAACACATTTTAAGAAAATAGAGGGATATATATAGGCACAGGGATTATATTAGAGGCAGACCACGCACACACGCAGAGACACTTACACACCACTCTCTCACCTAGAGGAAGCACCGCGGTGAGAGACATTATTGTAAAAAAAAGTGACATTTTGCAACAACAGACAAAAAATTCAAGGAGGTCATCGCCAGCAACCAGACTCGTCAGCACGATGGAGACGCTAGAGCAGAACAGCGTGCAGTACCAGTACATCCAGCACGAGTACGGCGGCGAGCATAGCTACATGGGGCAGGAGGATGACTGGGACCGTGACCTCCTCCTTGACCCCGCCTGGGAGAAGCAGCAGCGCAAGGTGGGTGTGTGTCCGTGTGTCCGTGTGTGTCCGCGTTATCTTCGTGTGTGAGTATGTGTGTAGTGGTGCTCGCTAACAGCACTTGCCCCAACAGTCTGTTCAGGCTATACTGTGGACCTTTGTCTTTGTAGTGGTCAGTGGTAGTGTAGTGGTTAGCGCGCAGCGCTACGAATCGGGCGACACGAGTTCGATTCCCGCTCACGGCCAACGCCAATGATGATTATCTGAACCGATCCTGGGCCTCCCCGAAGTCGACTGAACTTCAGATGAGTACCTGGTGCGGTGTGTAAACATCGGCACTGAGGAGACAAAGGCGGCCAGGCGTGATGATGGTCACCCCACCCCCCCGTGTGCCGTGCCGGCCTTCATACGGGGGTCTTTGTGTATGTGCGTATGTGTGTCTGTAGCTATGAAGCCATATGAAGAGCCTCGAGGTGCACCTAGCCTGGCACAGGGGCCGTAGAGACGTCACTTAGTGGCGAATGACGGCTGTTGTTTGTGCTGTACTGGCCACACCTCCCCATAACATCGTGCGGCCTTAATAGGTGCTCGCAAACAACACGAGAGACCTTTGTCTTTACGCTGGACACATGTACCCATGTATCTCAACACACCTGTATGTGAACACATACGTCTATCTGTACACCAGTGTTCCACTCGCACACACACCTGTATGTGAACACATACGTCTATCTGTACACCAGTGTTCCACTCGCACGCACACCTGTATGTGTACACATACGTCTATCTGTACATCAGTGTTCCACTCGCGCACACACCTGTATATCTCCGCACAAACGGCGACTCGTATCTAAGTGCATCCGTCCGCAGGCTGTGTGGTCTCTCACCCCACCGCGTGAGAATCTCGGATTTGGTTTTAGTCATCGCCTGATGCGCCTCTGACCCTCCTGTCGATGTTACATTTGTTACCTCCTTGCTATTGTGAGTCGGCTACTCCAAGTTGCCGGATTATGAATCGCCTCCCCCCCCAACTGGCTGCATGATCCCCCCCTCCCCCCCCCCTTGTCACACCCCCCCCGCCCCCATTCCTCATACACCACCCCCGACTTCTCTCCTCGGCTCAAGCATCCTCTAAAAATAAAACCTGATGTTGCTGAGCACTTTTAACCCAGCACGTGTTCATGCCAGCCATGTGCAGATTCACCACCAACCCCTCCCGCGATTCAGTTAATAGTCACGATTAGGGGGTCACGGTTCGATTAATTATTGAACAAATAAAACTAAACACATTCGGAAATACCAATTCTGCGTAGCCTTAAAATAAAACAAATCGATACTTTAGACGACGTTTCGGGCAATGGCTCTTCTTCACGTCATAGCACATATCTCTATTTAAGGCCACACAGTGGTATCCACAGTGTTATAATTGACGAATGTTTTGAGTTTTTGATCATTCTTCTTGTGCACCACTGCCAGCAGCAGCAGCATCATCATCATTATCACAAATGAATTTGATGTAGTAATTGTATGGCTTTTAGTGTCTTGGTCCGCGTGTGCCGGTACCTGCTGTTCGTGTCGGTCTCCATTGTCCCTCTCAGTGGGGGCTGTCTCGCTCGGCTTGTTTCGGCGTCGGTGCCGTTTCACGGGTGGCATTTATGTCGTCTACCTCGTTTGCGCCGCGTGGTTTGTATTTGTGAGTAATATAACTTGCAGATACATTTAGGCTCTCATGATAAATCATAAATTGATGCCGAAAAGGCGCTGTGCGTTCCACGGAACGCGAGCGTGGTAATCGCTCTCAAACTGTGAACCCATTTATCGTTTGCAACACAACTTGGATAATGTGGAGGAAGAAATAATGTTAATCGGGAATCATTTGTATAATTAAATTCTGATCAGGCCCTGTGGTATATAAAGTGCTCTCACCAATTCGTCTCCACTGTCCCTCTCTGGCCTATGTGTGTAGTGAAGAAGGGCTATTGCCCGAAACGTCGTCTCTTATATATGTTTTTCTTTCTAAGGCCACAGTGTTATTGTGCTGAGTCGTTTCGATTAATCGTTGGTTCGATACTTGGCCATGTATCACCACTGCCAGTTCACAGCTTGAGATATGATTCCACATTTTTTTAAATTAAATATCGTTCTAATTATTCTCATTCACGTCCTCCTAATCGCATGTATTAAACACAGCCCTCCGCCCTTTCGATTGACCGTTGCGATTAATTTCACTATTCGATTAGAACAATCGACTGCTTATTTTTTTAAGTGGTAAATGTAGCGGCCACGAGCGGCTGCGGGTGTCACGTCGACCCCATTTCTAAAAAAATCACGAATCGAACTAAATTTAATCGATTGATATTCAAGCAACTCAAACGCACCCCTTGAGTCCTCGTTCAAACACCCCCCCCCCCACGCACACATTTCCAGCCCCCCCCCCATCCCCCCCCCCGTTCCCCCTCCCCCCTTTATCCATGGCGCTACCGTCACCGCGCGACCCGCTGCATCGCGCGCTTTTCCTCTCGGCCTAAAATAATCTCAGAGGTCGCTCTCAAGCGGAAAGCGAGACCCGCGCTGGTTAGGGACACGATGCTCTCTGTTCTGTGCTCTGCTGTACACCGAAGCACCCCCTCCCTGCCCCCCCCCCCCCCCCCCCCCCCCCACATACGGACAGCTCTAGTCACAGCGCATCAATCATCGCGACCAGGTCTCAATTTGTCAACCCCGGGTTCGCTTTGTAAGAGTGGGGGAGGTGGAACATGCTGGCTCGTAGTCGTCACAACCGGTGCCCATAACGAGAGATATACTGAACGTGGTGTGCCGAGTGCCGAAAATATTTACCCGTGCAATACGACTCTAGGGGGGCCCTCTAAAATTCCCTCGGGTGGAGGAGGCCCCTTCCACCAGCAGTGGTGTGAGCAAACATTCGCAGTACTGCACCTTTACATATGTAAGTATAAGAGTCACTATGCAAGTCTATGAGTCTCTGTAAATCTATGGTTCTCTATGGGCCTCTATGTCCAGAGATTTAATTTCTCGCTGAATATTTTCCGGGTCGCTGGTAGACTAGAGTAGGTAGGTGGCTAGTGACGAGTAGCCACAGCTCATAGCGAGAGGTACACTAAACGTGGTGTGCCGGGTGCGGGAAAAAATGTCGGGACAGACCCGGCTGAAATAAAGAGCCCTAATCGTGACACAGGCACATGATTGACACGGCGAGTGTTACTCTTGCAGTCAGGGCTAAATACCCGATGGGTCTGTACGGGTCAACGACCCAGTAAATATTACCGCACCCAATACGCCGCATCGAGCACACTTCTCGCCGTGGCTATTACGAGGCACGTGCTATCTATTCCAAAGTCACAGACACCTGTAAAAAAATACATTCGGTGAGAAATGATGCCCAGCTTGCGGTGCTGCTGTAAGCGATTTAGACAGCAGTTAGAGAGGCGGACGAACGAAAGGAATTGAGACGGATATTCTGCGACAGACAGAGAGGCAGAGTGGAACATTGTGGAGTAGGAAGCACAATTTACCAATTTGCGCATCCACTCCGGGTTTTGCAAGTGTCCACTACTTTGGGGGTGGGGCGTTGATTAATTATGGGCGGGGAAATCTACCAGGTGGCTGCTCCGAGTAGGGGTGGGGGGGAAAGAGAAATCAACAGAAAAAACATATTCTTGGTTCTTTCGGTAAAGTCACGTAGATAGAAAATAAAATAAAAACAATAAAATACAATTACAATAAAAAATAATAAATTGAAAATAAAAAAGCAAAAAACCCACGACGTTTCTATCGCAAAACAAACGGTCTTCATCAGGCGGAGAGAAAAAAAAACAACCCAGAAATTCCCACGTGCCCACACCCAACTCCCCGTCCAATTCCTATCACCCAGACTGGCATAATCAGTCGTCGGCGGCGAAACGATTCAACCCCGCACGCTTCCATCAATCATTATTATCACGATCCGGGGTCACGATTTGATTCGGAGATCTCAAGTGGCGTTGGCGGCGCGTGTAGTATCTACAGTTGCGTGAATCTATAGAAGCTAGAGTATTTAATGTTAAGAAATCTATAGGTGGGTACGGATCTATCGCATCTTTTCAACTCGGTGTTCCGACTCTATCTAGAATGTACAGTTTCATAATGTGTAGACTACAGCGATGGCAACGGCTTGGAGAGGCGTTCGTTCAGCAGTGGATAGATCATGGCTGATGACGATTATGATACGATTATTGTAGTCGTACGAATCTGTCATACTTCGCATCGATGTTAATCGTGAAGCAACGAGCCAGGACCATGCCGCAAAAGAGTCACGAGGCAGAGTGAGGCTTTCCTGGGCTAAAGCAAAGCGGGATTAAAACAATTGCATCCTGTCGGCTATGTTATAAGAAACGCATGGCTCCCCGGAGCCGCGCGATTCTGTTCAATGAATCGTCAGCGAAGAGGCCGCATCAGCTGTTGCAGTGACCTCACAGCATCAGCACCACCACCAACCACCACGGTGGTGATTGTTGATATCGTTATCATTAGGCCATAAAGGTCGTGGGTGCGACTCTCCCCTCGTGCTCCCCACTGCCCCCACCCCACCCTTGGTGCCCTCTCCCCCAGCACCCCTTCCTCCGGCTGAGTCCTTGGGCGGCAGGGAGGTCGCCCCCCACCACCGCCCCCCCCTCCACTCGACATTCCTGCTCGGAATAACTCCCCTGCCCTCTCTACTCACAACTCCGCCCCCTTCATCATGAGCCCCCACTTTAGTTACCACCCAACCCCCTCCAGAGGCCCCGCTCTAATCCACCCCCGCCCCTTCATCCCCCCTCCTCTAGCCCACCCCTCTATCTCTGAGTCTCCCCCCACAGTCCACCCCTGAATCCCCCCCCTCCACCTGCCCTTCCACCCCCGTTCCCCCCCGCCCCTCCACCTTCAATCATCCCGGGTGCCGTGGGGGGGGGGGGGGGGGGGGGGCGAGGCGTCACCCGCAGTGGCCGAAGATGAGTTGGACTCCGGTCCTCGGGTTACAACGTATCCTATAAGGCTTGTCG